GAAATCCATCGCCTTCTGTTCGTGAAAGAGAGATTCGTTGGAAGTGCATTTTTCGAGCTAATCTTAGCCTTTTATCTCAGGGAATTGATGTGGGGGCTTTAATACCCCTGGGATTACTCGCGAGCCCGAACCACTCTGGATTCTTGAATAACTTACTGACCCTCATAAACTGTGAAAGTTTGAAAGAAATCGGTGAGATGGCATGTGTCACGCCTGCCTGCTCCTCCGGTGGACAGACTGTTAACTGCAATTATTTAAAGAACAGCCTAAGGGAATTATGAGTAGTATTTTGGATTGCTAAGTGATTTTGGAGTGTATGTTTTTCACTCTGTTTTGAAATTCTTCAGAGCAAACCAGAGCTTACTTACCGTGTTTGATGTAAATCAATATTAACTTGGAATAAGAAAGAAGCTTTTTTTAAGAATAAATGACATAAAAAAATTATATTTGTTCAGTTGCATTGGCTCTCACCGTTTCCCGGCCTTGAAATAATTTAAGACCGTCTAGGTCAAATTTACAACCCTTTTCTTGTCTTGATTAATTTTCTGCCTTAGTAAAAACCTACTCTGTGCACTGCGAAGCTGAGAGGTCATTCAGACTTCTCGTCACCAGCTGTTGTGGCAGTCCGTTTCAAACACTTCAGGATAGGAAAATATGATTTTCTGAAAAGGTTATGAAATGAATGTGCTAGCTGGACTTGATTGATGACCTCTAATCGTTGAATTCATCTTTTACTTTTACTACAACATCGGAGCAAACAAGAATATTCACCTTCTTTACATAAAAACTCTATTTTAATGCACTGCTACCTTTTACCTTTGTTGTTATGACACTATCTGAGGAAAACATTGTTTTAGACTTTTAATTCAACTTCCAGCCTCAGTAATAACTTATTCTGTGCATCGCTAAACTAGGAGGCCATTCAGACTCTTCGTTACCACCTCTTGTTTGCAGTTCGTTTCAAACGCTCTGTGTTAGGAAAAATACGATTTTGTGAAGTTTATAAAATGAATATGCTGATTAGTGGCGTCTAATCGTTGAATTTATCTTTTATTATCATAACACCATCCGAGCAAACAAGAATGTTTGTCACCTTACCATAATCACTTCTTAAAATTGAATGCCCTACTTCCTTTGACCTCCGCTGTTACGACACCGTCTGAGGACAATATTTTAAAAAGGAGTTAAGAGTGTTGTTACTTGAATTCAGTTAGCTAGCGATTTAACACGCCGGCCGGACATCTTTTATTTTCCATTAGGTCTTCCTAATGGCTTCATAAATACAACTTTTTTACGGAGCAATCATGTTTGTTAAAACAAAGTGACTTCATTAAAGGAAAAATACAAGATAAACTGTACCTATCTGTCGTAAATTTTCTCACAATGACCGAGGCGAAAATGTCAGAGGTGCGTTCGAACCACAAGTCTTTCCCTAAAAATAACCCTACCCCCATATCTCTGGTAAACGCCTCTTTTTAAGAACAATAAATGTTACGTTGGCGAAATAAAATTGAGGCCAAAAAAAAAAAAATAGAAAAACAAAAGGAATGAATGTAATGATTTTAATAATTTAATGCCACAGTTACATTAGATAACAAGTCAAAAACCTTTAAAAACTGTTCAAAAACTACAAACCCCTTACTTGCTCTCGTAATGTTGATGAATGCAGGCACCATTAAATGAGAGAAACTTATGTATAACTTCCTCGGCGATCCCTCTTCCCCAAGGTTGAAGTGAAAAGTACCCACGCGCCATGTGCCACGATGCACAACTTTAATGCACAACCTACATAAGCCGCAGAGAAAAGTTCCCAATGGTTTAGGATGGGGGGAGTGGGAAGTAGGTCAGGCACCATTGACGTATGGACAGGTGCTCTCATACACGACAAATACTTTAAAAATTTGCTCTAAGTGGTCTCTCTTGTTCGGTTTCTAATTGACTGAGAATGGCGCGTTTTCTGGACCAATTACAGGACGAAGTTAAGCAAAATTAACGCAATCCTAGACTTCTTTCGACACGCAATTGATATTTGCCCTGAGAGCCAATCAGAAACAAAGGATCGCTTTTAATTTCAAAGCAGATGTAATTAAATTAGAAATATGTCCTATTGAAGGCTTGATACAACTTCCAGCATTTCGTGCTTAACGATTAAAACTAACACGTTGATGTAGGCGAATTGATGGAAAACAAAGTGAGAGGTTTCCTTTCAAATTTAACACGTAAATGTAATGACTCGTGTGAGGAAAAACTAAAAATTTGTTCACAAACATGCGTCACATGTTGCGTGTCTTTAACGACATTTATCTCCTCACTGGTCACCCCTTCTGTGAAACGCCCACTGGTCAAGTAGAATTGTTACACTGTTTTGGGTTGGAAGGGAATCTAAAAAAATCGCGAGCTGTCGAAGAAAAGAAAGCGCGAGATGAAAAATTATTTTCACTCGTATCACTTTATACATGACCTTTAGGAGAAGAAATCCAAGAAATCGAGCACTAAATTGTGACTTTTTAATGTTACTCCAGGACAAATTCGATATCAGTTAAGTATGTGTCCTACTGTTTAAATACTTCACTTCTCTTAGATCTGCTCACTTAGTACGTAAGAAAGCCTAGCTTTGCCTAACTGACTTAAGTTATTACTGGATTTTTATCACAAAAATAACGTTAAAATAATATTCAGAATAGGGAGGTATCCACCACACCACCTAAAACCATGTCAGATCTGTTACGCTGGGACATGGCTTCAAATGGTTAACATGCGTATCTCAACTAGCCAGAAACCGAACTGTTTCATGTGACAATGATAATTTCCCGTGGTCTTTCATATATGAAACTAATATATTTTCAACTATTTAGCCAATATTTGATGGATACAGAAATGTACATTATTTACAAGCCGAGTCAAAGGCTTTTCATGGTGGTATCCCTCACTATACACAGGAAACTGTGACAAATTGAATGGTTTGAGTTAGGCGTGACAAGCCAGGACTTCTACTTCACCATCAGTAAATGTAAGTTACCTAATAATGACTAATCTCTCATGTCAGATAAAACACAGCAATGTCAGGATGTGCCAGAATAATTATAAACGTATCACAATGAAATGGGATGGGAAAAGCATTATACCTGTATTACTTATTAGTTACGAATCTTACTCTTTCTTTTTCACATTCCTGTACTTAGTATCTACGACCCCTTCTAGCAAATAATTCATGCAAAAAATTAACTAGCATCTTTAACTATGAAAATCACCAAATGATCACAAAATAACCACACTATCTTTTAAGCAAGAACTGTGAAACATTTGCAAAATACTAATTAGTGACAATCGAACTCTTCTCAGACATCCACGTTCAGTCCACCATCAGCACTAAATAATCTGAAAATTTCACACATGTTAATCATAAGCACACCATTTGAGGCTTGAGAAAGTTGTTGTTTGCTGACATGAATAGCACCTTCTTTGTTCTGCAATCAAGTTTAAAATATACTATTTCTCATGAGTAGCTAACTCATTAGTTGGTAATTTGGTCAAAGACATTTTTTTTGGGTATCATTTTTAACCAACTCAAGTGGGAGTAATGGACAAATGAGTACTTTATTAGCATTGAAAGAAATGATCATTTGGTGTTCATGAATTCTTTAATACCATCTGATATGTAAAACACAAAGTCCACACACTGATATTTTACAAAATGAAAAGGTAACTAAGTTTCATGTATTCTCGACCGCCAAAATGCCCAGGAAAATTTGAAGCAAAATTGCAATTTATAATATATCAATCCAAACTATGGACAGAGATTTCAAGCCCCCTATGGGTATCTGAGATGTACACGTACCCTCCATGTTACTGACATCAGTCATTTTTTTACACATGAAAAAGCTCATTTGGTATTTCCATTGCCTATCTTCAAATGCGCAGACTGTCTGAAAACCACAGACAAGCTGCCAATTCCAGCAGTAGGTGAACAAAGGGTTAACATGTTGACTTGGACTAGGTGTTACTTTTCCCATTATCTTAACTGATTAGCTTTTCCTTGGAGTACCAGTTAACAAGAATGGCTTTTTTGGAAACATGTTTGTTATAATGTCTCTGGTTAAAATAAATCTTTACAGTGAAACTGTTAGCATTCCAACATATACATTATACATTGTTACATAATGCATGTACAGATGCTGCAGATAGGCAGTTGTTCTGTGGCAGAAGAAAGAACTCCTTTGGAATACATAACTCCATTTGCTCTATGATACACATATGTTAACAATTATGAATACAAAAGGGTTTTGTTTTGGTTAGGACCATCTTATTGCTTTTTACTTTTAACCCTGAATAAAATACTAGTTAGAACTTATTTAACTTTACACAGCATGGCATTTTCATTGATTAATTGATATACATGTACATTAAAAAATAAGTTACCCGCAGGATAAAAACAGGTCACCACAATAATGACATTACTACAGCAATTCCGCATGGAAATGTGAAGCACTCTATTATCTTCCTTGCTGATTCAAGGCAAACATACAGCATCTTTCTTTAAGAAGTATTTTTTCCATTGTTAATGTAATCTTGTAGCTCTGCAATGAGATGACATATCAATTTAACACATGACTGAGGAGATGCAGTGTGAAACTGTCAATTATCAATTCACTCCTACAACATGCAAACATTTTCAGGAAAAAAAGCAGAAGGCATTTTCCCAAGGATTCCAGAGAAAGAGGGACTTTTTTGATGAGGATTCTGAGAGAAGTTTATTTGAACACTGAGGTGAAGGGCTTAACTCTTTTACTCCCAACAGTATCCAAGACATACTTTCTCTTTACAACTTTAGAATAATATCAGGGAGACAACTAATAAGATAAAGAAAAGTCTCAATCAAAAGACTATCATTGAAGCCAATATTAAATTCTCCGAATGAAAATCATAAGCAGTGTATGACAGACAGCATGAAGAATTGTAAAAGAGATCTTGCAAGTGAAAGACTCAAAAATACTTTCAACCTACCCAAGGCGGTCCAGACGAAACTGATCTTCAGTTGCAGCATCAGTGAGCTCTGAATCCTGGCCAGACAACATTTGAAAGCCTTCCATGTCCAATGGATCAAGCACAACTTTTTGTAATGGATCATCAGGGGCATACATATCGCCAGAATCATCACCACCAATATGGCCCATGGCTGTACTAAGATCTTTTGCAAAGTCTGATTTGACTCCGTCATCATCTGAACCAGTCACAATTAAATCTGGTACCCTTGCATGGCCTGGACCATAAAAATGTGCTAAGCTAGGCATTCCCTGACCTGGAATAGTAGTTGGTGTTTGTGCCAACAAAGTTTGGAAGGGCAGTTGCATTGAAGAATTCAACATCCCTCCTACTGCCACTGGGCGATGCATAGAAAATTGTTCTAGTTGTTGTTGTTGTAAAGCTTGTGTATTTGATTGCTGCTGTTGTTGCTGTTTAAAGTAGAGCTCAGGATTAAATGATGACAGTGGACTAGTGGGAAGGCTACCAAAGAGTGGAGTCATAGGTGCTGATGATGTAGGGGAAAGTGTTGGTGAAGCACTTGTAGTAGTTGCTGAGCCTCCATGTGAACCGAAATCGTTATTCTGAGGATAAAACTGGAATTGTTGCAACCTGCTTTCAAGAGGCCGTAGATTGGCATCCATTAATGGTATTTGGTCAGTGTATTGTGGTTTCCTCATTTGCTGCTGATTTGCTACTGGCCGTCGAACAGGACTCTGTCTTTGTGACATTTGAAGCTGGGTTGAAGACAAGGCTTGATTCACATGTTCATCATTGTCAAGGGGTGTTATCAGTGGAGAGGGAATAATATTCAGGTTTGTGAGATCTGGAAGAGAACCACCTGTACTGGCAGTGGCTATTGGTAAGTTGGGGCCTGTCTGTGATACATGTTCTGCTGGGAAAGTCCTAGTAATCAAAATATGAAGAAGAAGTGAAACTTCAGTCAAATAGCAATTAAACAAAAGATTACACATAAAATTTTAAAACATTGCCATGTTCTTGACAAAAATAGTCATTAGTGTTTGGGACAAGGCAATATTTTAAACCAAGAATTATATTATATTATAATATCAGTTTCCCTTTCTATACATTTCGACTGAATCAATACGTTTCTTAAGTGCAATTTAACACATTTTAAAGAATCACTTGAAGCTGTTACCTAATGCCAAAACAAAACACCCAGACATCACTTTGCCTCACTGCATTTTTAATTTGGGTTCAAAATTATCTAAGGATAGTTGAGAAAGTGGCTTTGTCAAAGAAAGAAGTTTTAACACACCAGAAGTGGTTTATCAGCCTCTAACAATGCAAAAGCTCTTTAGTGACAAAACTGTCAACCATTAAAAAAAGCAAGATAACAGGAGAGTTGAAAACCCCACTAAACTGGAAAATAGAAGGATTGAAAAGTTGTTGCTCTGTCTAGCAAGTAAATCAGCTCCATTATGTGATCATTTCTGACAATGACATCCTGGGTCAGGGAATTAGAGGAGGCAACCTGCCAAGTGGTTAGAGTTCTTGACTTGTTATCTGGTGGGCCTAGGTTTAAGCCCTTCATCCTGCTCCTCACTCCAATTGTTCGTGGTTATCCAGAGATCAACTCCTTGGCTGCACTTTGTATTTGGCCAAATGGTTTGGCTCTGGCAAAATGGTCTGCCTTCCGCTAATTTGGATTTTTAACCTCTTTGTCTACTTACAATTACTAATTATTATTATTATAATTATTATTGAAATTTTCCTCTGCAATCCTACAATAACTACACATTTTAGTTACTAAGCACGATACACATAAATATTGTAGATTATCAATATAAGATCAATACACTCCAAAGGAAGGAAAAAATTGAAATCTTACATTCCAGGCACTTCACAAGACTTTGGTCTAGATGGACTGCGAACCTGCAAAAGAAAAGTAACTGTCAGTGAGAATTTTTTTGCTATATCGGTTCAGGACAAAAGAAAGGACACAAGTACCTCTGATTAAATTAAAAAGATATCATTATTACAAATTTTCAGAGTAAAGAAAACATAGAGAAGTGAATTTTTCCTTTGAGTTTTAGTAGAAATTTCAACTCCATCTTTTCCTGATTTACATTTAGATAATCTAAACACAATTTGAAAAAAAAAAAAAAAAAAAAACTTGAAAAGTGCATTTATAATCTTTTTAAGTTTACAAACAGGAACATTAACAGAGAGCAAAGTAAAATACCATGAAATTAACGAGTAACCAAACTCTAAACAGTCCATGCTCATTATATCCTCAAAAAAACCTACAGACATAGATTTGACTTCAAACATTTGAAAAATTAAATAAGTTTGTTACAAAAAAGTTTTTTTTAAAATAAATTTATTGCCAAAAAGAAGACAGAGTTATCTTGAAATCTTTCTTTACATTTCAGTAACAATTTTACTAATGCTTAAGTTTCACTGAATGCAAAAGCAGAGTTTCTTCTTTTTCACCTTATAAAAGACAATAGATACTCTGTGAATATGTACTAATTCTACACTCACCTTTCTTTCATGGGATGGCAATGTTTTTTCTAAATAAACAGGGGTACAAAAAATAATTAAATGTTATCTTGTTGGAAATAAACATGATGACCAATGTCAAATTGTAATCAAACAACATTACTACATCACTACTGAGGTGGAATTTACAAAATAAATAAAAATATAATAAATGGCCACTGGCACTAAAAGGAGACACAGGGAAGAGAGGAAAGTTTTAGCAAGAATGGCTTGTCTTCAAAAAGCTTCCCAAGTGTAGTTTCATGATCTACTTTAGAAAAACTTGTTGCCATTATTCTGGACTACTATTCCAAGCCTTTGTATTTGTAAACACCATTTTAACTGTTGGTTGCAAGTCCAAGCAATAAATTCTATTTTTTCATTACGACCACTTCCATATTGGAGATAAGAAGAAATACCACTTTTTCAATTGTTTATCAATCACGTAAACCATTTAGCAAAGTTTGAGTCATGGAAAAAAAATATATTGAGGACACTACTGTGGTACTAATGATAATTTTCATTGTCAATGGATAGAGAATACCCAAATGGAAAATGTTCTCAGTGTAAACTAACAAACTATTTACTACAAATTTACCTTATATCTACAAAGTTACCTTATACAATAATTGTAAAAATAACAAGGAAACAAACTCATTCTGGAACTTAAAATGAAGCCCCAAATTCAAATCATTCTTTTTGTGAAATCTTTTGAGCCTTTTATGTTGTGACAGTTAACAAAATAAATTTTCATTCCAAATAACCATAGTGCTTGTTTACTCAATCCATATTTTTGCACTCCCAAATTGAAATGTGTTAAATATAAAAAAAATGTCAACGAATATAGGCATTTTTTAATATATCTTCATGGTACAATTTCTATATTTTGACAGAAATAGATGATAGAAATTTAATCGAAAGGTTATGACTGCTTCAAATAGGTTGAGTAAAATCATAACTAAATAACTACACACTAAATAACAAGATAACTAAGCACACAAAATCCTATGTCCGGGTATTAACCTTTGGGCCCCTGAGAGAAACCACCATCTAGTTTCTCCTTACAGTAATATTGCTGAATCATTCATTAAGATTATGAGAACAGAGGAAATAATGGCTACACCTATGAAGTTTTGATTGTTAAACAAATTCTCCTTGCCAGTACCAAAGGAAATGTACAGAAAAGAGTAAGGAGAATATGGAAACTAATGCTAGGGTTTACTGGGTTGATACTGATGCCTTTCTCAGTAATACTAATTAATGATTTCCACTTCTTTCCTTTTTGCTACACAAAAGTTAGTTTTTAGGAGCACCAGTAAGGTTTGAGTCTCACTTTAATGTAAAGCTGATAGAAGTCCTACCTTTGGGTTTCACCTCTGCACGGACAACACTATCATGGAGAGCAGAATCAGATGCAATTCTGTAGAAGATAATAAGAAGCAAAAATGCATTTCAGCAGATGCATGTCAACTAAAACCAACAAAAGATACTCAATGTACTGGGTAAGATACCATTTACATATTCAAATACACCATAGCATGCTAAAGGCGCTGTTCCATAGTATATTTCCTCTCTACCCCATGGAGAAATCACATGATGAGTTAATCATTAACCTATAATATTTGGTTGATACTCAGTGAGCATAAAAAGGTTATGTGATAAGTACATAGTCTTGATTTTGAAAAAGTTATTTCTGTTGACTGGGATGGGTCACTTTTCAACAAGAGTTTCTCTTTTCCTTATTTCTTTTCATCCAACTTGCATATTTGTATCTTTAGTTTTCAATTCTATACAGTGGTTTTCCACTCTCTGTTAATCTTAAATTTTTACAATTTATGCATGCATCTTCTAGTTGTTTGAGTAGAATCTGGGTCCAGTTAATCTACATCGTGCTGAGAATATTTGGTGTTAAATATAAAAACTGTAGATGTAGAATGACAATAAGTATTTTTATTATATAGCTGGCAGCACCCTTGGGAAATATGAAGCAAATCCTGTGTTCTGATTGGCTACTTGAGTAAGCAAGGCTCAAGGTTGCCTGCTTTGATCCTGCTCAAGAAAGAAATTGTGTGGAACAGAAAAACAATGTTCATGATTCTTGGGCATTGTTGGCAATGGAGACGCAAAAAGTAGCAGAAGAGAGTCAAAATAAAGAAGACAAACACAAATCTGGTGGGTTCATTGTGTCACAAGCACAGTTGACTTTCTTTCCCAGCTCTTAGAAGAAACAAGTCATTCTTGATTTGTGTTAAAGCGCAAAATCTCTGTAATATAGTAGATTCTTTACTGACCAAGCTTGTTTGGCAAAGATGGCTGAATATTAGCCTTGTTCTGTTTTTTCATTTTTATGGACCTCAACTTTTTCTCTGTCCAAAGAAATGCAAGAAAAAAAAAACCTTGGCCAACATTCAGCCATCTTGACCTCATGCCTCATGGAATGTTCAGAGAGGTATAGTAATATGACTAAAATGGGTCTGGAAAGGCAAATAATTTAGAGAAAGTTTCAAACATGAAGCAAGGGACACACAAAGGAAAAAGACTGTCACAGTGAATTAAAAGGGTTTACCCCTCATATTCTTAAAAAATATTATTTATTCAAAAGTATAACTGAGTGTGTCTAATAGTGACATAGTGCAGAAATTGAAAACTACTGCAAAAAGTTGAAATCAATGTGTAATAAATTAAAGCGATTTAATGATTTCTAATTGAGATTGGTTGGAGAGCACTTTAAAATTTTTTCTAAAATTTGTGACTGAGACTTGATCAGCACCCCCATGCTTCCCATGCATAACACAAAGCTAATCTACATCACATGCACTCTTTTCACTATATTAAAACTGCACTTTGATATAAAAGACAATACACATCATAGTATAACAAAAGTAATTTTGTATATCTATGGCAATTGTTAACCTGTGTTACTCCAGTAACAAAGATTTAAGAGTCAAAGAAAACATCAAGGAGTAAAGAGTAAGCATTTGATTTCACCAAATGTAAACACAGTTTTAAGTACATAAAAAATAATTAATTCGTATTTGAACTTCTAGTTCCTAACAATAACTTAATTAATAGACTCACAAATGAGGAAAAAATAGAAAACAAGCTTCTAGAATTATCCATGGAATTTTTTCCAATTTTCTGATTGTATTTTGGATTTAATTTAGACTTTGCGGCCGTTACCAAATTGACTACGATTGCCTGATGCACTCCTCAATCGTAATAAGTTGTACAAACACTTCCATTATCTCAACCAAACCAACAGGTGAACACGAAATCCCAAAAAGATGAGATCTTATCGAAAACAACAAAATTACCACTACTATTGCCGTAGTAATGACAACAAATCACTTGCCAAAAGAGAACAGACTCGCTTAGAAAATTTATGTTTGTGCAATGATAAATTTGCGCGGGAAACTAGAGGTCAATTCACCTTTCAACTAGAGCCTTTCGCTACCCAAACAAAATTTGAACCATATTAATCGTTTTGCTCTTCCTGAAAGCGCATCTGCTACAGCCAAACAGGTAAGTACAATATCACTGTTTCCAAAAGACCAGTATACGGACTCCTCAGCGTAAGTAATTGAATAACTACGCAAAATGCTAAGTAAGCTCATCAAGCTATTATGACACACTGGGTTGGGATTTGAATGTACCTACCTTCTATCTCGCCAACCTTGATCTTGCGAATACCGATCTTGAGGAGGTGATAAATGGCAACCAGACACATGGTAGGGTGATGTGTCTATGTGATCAAGGTTAAGGCTGACTAAAGCTTCGAAAAATCGATGTATAAACTATGTCATGTTCTTTAAATAACTTCTTTGCAACGAACCCTATAACGTTTCTCTTTCTACACCGTCACGATCTTGACACAACTATTTCACGAAACATTAACGTATTTACTTTCTAGTAAATCTGACTGAGAAAATCAAATAACCAGGAACAAAAAGTAATCGAGAACTAAAAAAAATACAACTTGTGATATCTGTAAACCGTATCGTGACATATGTTACCAAAGTCCCTTAACTTGACTAAGGTGACGATCTGAACTCTTTATCAGACTATGAGAAGGATATTCCCCGAAAACGATTGTTCGGGTTAAATTGAGTTCGGCCGCCTTGGAACCGTTGTTTATGACTTATAGGCATACGATCACCAACGCTGTGATGCAACCCTGTGAGACGATCCAGACTATCTAACGCGGTCTGAAGATCGAAAGCAGTATCATTTCATTAGAATCGAACCTCAAAACAAATGCACAGAAATGTACTATAATCCCGTAGCAGATGAACACAATCGTGAAGTGTAAAACAAAAATTACCTGTAGGTCTAGTCGGTGTGCATGCGCTAGACTGATGTTCACATTTGGCAACGATCCTCCAAAGTACTGTTGTTGCATCTGCTGGTGTTGGGGCTTTTTGGTAGGCTTGAAAACAGAGAAGAAATCCATATTCAGCTGTGCTACTGACATGTCAACAACGCACAACAAAACGAATAAAAAAAATATCTGTTAATCAAGAAAATTAAAAATACCTCAAGTATGGAAACCTCTTTCATAATCTGTTCGAAAGCACGCGTTCCCTCTTCCTGTTTCTGGTTGTGCAAGGCAATTTTCTCGGCAAATTTCCTCGGGTTCGCCATATTGGAAGAGTAAGTTGGAGCGTGTTGTCAGTCTAGAGCGGCGTTCCATTTGGTCACAGGGGGTCTGTGCATCGACCAATCAGCTAGCAGTAAAACAGAGCTCTACGACGTTCCTTGTTGCGCAAAATGCAAATTAAAAGGACGAAAAGTAGGGCCTTTTTTCAACTAAGCATTTAATGCTTATGAAAAGTGTCACTTTTTAGCTGAATAGTCACGAGAGATATTTAGGGGTCAGCCCTATCAAGCAATCGGTCCATTTAAGCAATAAATTTTGGCAGTATCTCAATCACTTCGTGTTGACAAATCCTTCCAAAATTATCAACTTCGGAACATCTCGTAACTCATTCGGGTCACCGTCGGAAATTAGTCCCATGTTGCAATGCGCTGTCTCCTCGCCCCAGGGGGCTTTTAGCGAAGTTGTTCATAGGATAAAGAGCTGTAAGAGGGGCGTTTTTTATGGTTGAACAAAAATATAAGAGAGGGAGAGAGAGAGAAAGGAAAAGGGATGTTTCCACGATGAAGTTCCATAGGGCCAGGAATAATGGGAACCAGGGAAAACTGACAAATTTGGACTTTTAAAGTCGGACAGGTGCGTTTAAGCAGAATACGGTTGCATCCAGAATCTCAGGCTCTTCGTCTTCAGTTAACACCCATATTTAACAACCGTTGATTTTATGGAACAAACAACTAAGGGCTTGTACGAAATTTTCATTAACAAATCAGTGTACAATTTACTATTAACTCTAACGGTTTAAAAGGTCTCATGGTACATTGATAAACCATGTGTGAAAAAAATTTAATTCCAAATATTTCGGCTTTTTATTTCATATTTCCAATGGTTCTAAATGGGGATTTTGGTCAGAATCAATAATCCTGTTTCGTCGTATTTCCGTTTTTGGCATAGTTTCATTAGTGAAAAAAAAACTTTTTCATTTTCTGATGCTGAAGTGATAATTAGCGATTAATTGATTGAACTATTATTCATCCTTAGTTTTCTTGATGCGCATGTCAATGGACTTGATGTTATTATGTGAGATATTTCTTCGTTCTTGACGGATTTACATGGAAAACGCAAGGAAAAGTTTGATCAAGAAGTCGATATGCTATACCCAACTTGGTTTAGTACTCAGTGTTAATGAACCACAATGTCAATACCGTAAGATGTAGCTCAAATTCGCTCAACTTTGAAATATTCAATACATTTTCCTCACGAAAAAGTCTTGGAATCGCCAGCCGTCGATCCATCAAACTAACCGGAAGCAAAAACTACCTTAGCTTTGCGGAAGTTTTATTTTCGTCTTCTGTCACGTGATTGCCAAATCAAACATGGCGGACGATGAAGAGGCTGACGCTCGTCAAGCTGATCCTTACGGACCCAGGTTAATTGAATTGTTTCGAGGAGAAAATGGATTTGGATTTAACGTCCGTGGCCAGGTATCAGAAGGGGGGCAACTGAAGTCAATAAATGGAGAACTGTATGCACCGTTGCAGCATGTAAGCGCCGTATTGGAGAGTGGCCCCGCTCATAACGGAGGGGTTAGGATTGGTGATCGAATCCTTGAAGTGTACGTAAACAAACATGACTTACTTTGTATATTATGACTATTATGATTATGCACAGATTGTTTAACGGGGGCTGGCGGATAGTTACAAGAGTGGTCCTGCGTGGTGTTAATGTAGATAAACGTACTAACTTCTTTGCTGTGATTATTGATAAATATCGCTGCCAGCTGTTACCAATTGAAGACTATTTACAATACTTGCTCTTGTGATTCATCAGCCGAAATTTTTCTTCTCGCTTTTTCGAAGGGAATAATCAGATTTTTGACTTAAGATGGAGCTATGGTGAAAGTGGTAATCTTTGCCAACATTCTTTAACCTCCGGTTGTTTTTTGAGATTTTTCCTGTTGAGAAATAGTTTCATGTAGTTGTTTCCACTTTAAATCATGGTTTAATTTAACAAGTGATTTTTTAACTTTTAACCTTTAATTTTATTTGATTCTTTCCTCTTGAATGAGAAGTCTCAATTTTAGAATGCAATGGTACCACTCTAACTTGATATGTATTTGACAAGAATATTCAGATTTGAAGTCATTACATCAGGATGAAGAAAACATCTTGAGCTTATTGAGGATTTTTTGTTTTGAACTAGAAACTACCTCGCTAATTAAGCAACTTATTTCTTTATTCCTCATGGTACTTTGCTTATGAAACCCATATAATGGTGTACAATGGTTTTTGCCCACGCTGACTCAAAGGATGATAGGTTTTTATTTTTTGAACAGCCATTGTTGATCAAATTGTTAGTCTTTCTGTTGATGGATCTCAATCCATTTTGTCTTTTCTATTTGATCTAGCTTGATTTGTTTCTATCAAAATAGGAGCTTCCATAAGAACTGGTCAACCCTTTCACTCTTAAGATCTCATTTAGTAATTTTTCTCACTGATAGCCATACAATTTTTCTGGTGTAAGTTTGGAGAATTTGGTATTGAATCAACCAATGATCTCTTGATTGATATTTTCCTTTATCCTCATCACTTGTTTGCTTGATATTGTATTGGTAGTGTAAGGAAAAATTCTGTCCTGGTCACTCATGGGAATTAAAGGGTTAAAAGTGGTCTACCACTGTCTATAAGACTTTTAACTGCCATCTGTTTAGCTTGTGAGAGAGGTCTTGTGTTTGGGTTTTTCCTTACAGTCCTTTCTGGACTGTTGTACTATTAGCAACCACTCATAGGAAAAGTTATTGAAACCTTTGTCAAAAGATACCTGAATGGTTTATGACAGTGTTATTAATATTTAAGTGAGATAAACACTGTAGTCACATGTGAAGTCACACTTAGCTCATGTTGGATTTTGTCTGTTGGAGATAAGATGTAGATTCCATTTGTTCAAAGTTCACTGTGTTTGAAAATTACAATCCTCAAAGTTTCACTGGGCAATTATTAAAAGCTGTACACTTTGAGTGAAAAATAATGGACTGAGTAGTATAGTCCAGAAATTAAAAGGAGTAAATTGGAGATTTGATAAAAACTACTGCAGGGTAAAATCATAAAATAACATATGTTTGGCTAATTTGCTATCTAAGTGTTGGAAATCAACAGTCTAATATAAGACTACTTTAAATTTTCCTTTCTATGACATGGTAAACAAGGTGTTTTGCAAACCACAGGTGTAAGCAGTGTTTTTATATAAGAAGTTTTTTCAATATTTATTGACAGGGGATAAAGGGGTAAAAGATCCCTTTTTTAGGCAAAAGTTGACACTGTTTCACAGTAATTATTGTTAGGTGGACTCTTTAACCCTTTTGAGTGACTGGCTTCTTGTTTCTCCTCGCCATTTCACCCTTCAATTAAAGAGTATGGTCACATGAATAAAGGAAACAATCATTGAGTTAAGAAGCTCCTGATCGTCAAACAAATTATCCTTTTCAATATCAGAGGAAATGCAAAGAGAACAGGATGGAGAATATAGGTATTAATGGTAAGGGTAAATGGTTAGTGTAAGGAAAAATTCTGTCATATTTATAAAGTGAAAATTATGTGGTCAACAGGAATGGTGAAAATGTGGAAGGTGCCACTCACAAACATGTAGTGAACCTGATCAAGAAAGGCGGAGATAAACTGACTTTAGTTGTGATATCTGTGAGTTCACATGAAGCTGAGAAACTTGAGAGTGAGAGTTCATCTGGAGGAGAATATTATGATTATACAGACAAGAGAGCTGTACCATTATCAATACCTGAGACAAGACAAGTTGTTAGCAATGGTGAAACATATGTGGTAAGAAATGTTAAAGTGTGTGTGTGTGGTTTTTTTTTGCATGGTACAGTTCCAGTTCTGTGCAGAGTATGAGATCTCTTGTCTAAAGATTATCATGATGTCATCTTGCACTTATAGGATGAAGGCAGTCAACCTGCCAAGAAAGCCTAATTTAATTCACCAAATAACCAGCTGCATAAATATTTATGCAACATGATTGGATGTTTCTGCTCCTGAAGTGGTGTACTTGTATTTGAGGGAGGCAAAGGGTCAGGAAAAGGGTTAACATGTGATGCATGACTTAAAGCCTAAAATTAGTATGTGACACATGTAGTAGTATATCAACCAGTACAATGCTTGATTTGCCTCCCAAAATATGTGTGAACCATAAATTTTTCTTTCATTTCAAAAACCTCAAGATTTCCCTGAAAACTTTGTATACAAGAAGAGAGATTTGGAGTGTTTCCTTTTACGTATATATGTGATACGTGAATTTTTCTAAAACTTGTGCATAAATTGGGATCAGGACTGCCCCTTTGTTAACCTCACGTTAGTGAGAGTAGGATATATGTCAGTAATATGTTGATATACCAGTATTCTTTAGGAAGTTATTTACAACAAAGGTTTTCCTAGGAAATGCAATCAGTCAACTACTTTAAAAAAATAAATTGATAAAAAGCTGTAACTAGGGTATATTTATCTATTTTTGGTGAAAGAATATCCTTTTTATAGGTGTATAATATCTACTATGGAGACAAGCATATTTGTTCCAGAAGATACAAAGAATTTTCAAATTTGCACAACCAGGTAAAGAGGTTAAGATTTTATAATTGAATTGTTTGCTGAATACAGCAGAGTTGTGTTTCCTTGGAATAGATATGTAGAGCCTCACTTAAAGTCAGTAAGCTATCATTGATACTTTCATTTTCAAATTTTCAAATTTAAAGTTAACCTAGTTTCAACTTTAGCACATTGGACTTGCCATCTAGTTGTCCAGGTTTGAGACCTGGCTGGCATATGGTGCCTTTTTATCACCCAGGGCACTGTTGTTCAAAGGTGGGTTAAGATAACTCAGGGTTAGTGTGAAATCTGAACCTTATGGAGAAAAATTCAGTATAATTCTTTTTGTGTACAATTTGATGCTTGGATGGACTTCAAACAACAGGAGTATAAATGGGTCTGGTAGCACTGTCAGGAAGGTAACATGTAATGGACTAGCTTCACATCAAGGGGGAGTAGCAACAATACTAATACCGGCGTTATGCCACAGAAACCAAAATAAGCTTTGGCCAGATGGGACACTTGGCCCAAGTGTTGAACTACATCTATTTTTGCCATCATGGTAATGATATACAGAGTCACATTGACATACAGGGATAATTTATCTTCAAATTAATTATCACTGATTACATTATTTTTAACCTTTAAGTAATCTGAGGCTTCTTTTGTCTTTGCTATCAGCTTAAGAAGGAGTTTAGAGATTTCCAGTTTCCTAAGTTTCCTGGAAAGTGGCCATTTCACTTATCTGATCAACAAATAGAGGCTCGTAGAAAAGCTTTGGAATCTTACTTTGATCAAGGTTAGACAGTAGTTTTTCAATGAAAATGTGTTCAATAAGCTCATAACTCTTGTTATAGTAAAGAAATGATTTACCGGTACTCTCAGACTGTCTTGTGAAGAGGAAGGTAGATGCCATGGAATATCAGACCACGGAAATTATAATATTTACACCAATGCTGAGAGCAATTTTGCATTTCTTCTACACACTACACACAAGGTGCAGCCAAGTGTGTCACTTATGTTCCTACCACATTTTAATATCTTCTCTGATCTATTAACAGACCCATGGAAATATAGAGTCTATTTGTTTTATATTCTAAATAAGAAAAAAAAATTGTCAGTGATGATGTGGTCTAGTTGTCTGTTCTCCAATAAATTTTTTTAGTAAATACCAATCAAATTGTGTGTGTGATTCAGATACCTGGCCTGACTCTTCTTTTGAAATCAATCTTCTCTCTCTTACAATTTTATTAATTAAAATAAGCTATTATTACCTAGTTAGTGTGTTAAGCATTGAGAAAATTCAGAATAGTTTCCCTGTCATGTCCTGGAGTTTGAATTTCTTAGGAACCAATTTGATAACCAAAAGACAATAACAAACTGTGCTTGCCTATTTTGTTCTAAGATGCAAGAGCATTTAAGTTGGCTGAGCAAACATTATTAGTTTTTTGCATGTTTACGCTTGCCCACCTAAACAGAAATAGATATACTTTCAGATTCTATTGTTCATATGTTTTTCATAAATGATCATATTAGTTATCTGAGGTTTCTTCGAAAGCAAACTATATGACAGGTATTTCTGTAAGCACCCCTTAAATTTGAAGTTAACTACAAACAAGAGTATTTTTTCTTGTAGTAAGATAAAGAAATGTTTCATTATCAGCTTGTTTCAAAATGTTTCCACAACTCTCCTAATCACTACATATGCTGTAATGAGGCCCTGGCAGGAAGGGAGGGGTCTCATTGATTACCACTGCCTAGTAAAGAGGAGGGCGTACATAAAAACTTATTGATGAGAACCAAAAAATTTAAACCCTTTTAATTTTCATTTGATGTAGACTGTCATTGTCATTATTATTGTTAGGGCTGTTAGAAACAAAAATTCAACTGCCCAAAAAATTTTCAATTTTAAGAACTTTTTCCAACTAGATGTAAGTAAGTGTGAATTGACAAGTAATTTTTTATACTTTCTTAACAGTTAATTCAGTGAAAGTTATTGGAGAGTCAGACATCATGGTAGACTTTCTCAAGTCTTCAGAAAACCAACTCCAGGTATTTTGTGTGTTTCAAAATAAATTTTCCCCAGAGATGGCTTTGAATAAGAGTAATTTGTTTTATTGAATTTACAAGTATACTTGAAGTAATGCTGTAAAATGGTATTTGTCTGTGTATTTTTGAAGAACATAAAGTTTGTTTTTTTGCCTTGAGATTGATATGTTAAAATTTTGAAAGATATTTAATAATAGTTCATAGATAGTGAGACAAAAATTGTGTATTATCTCAGTCTCTGGTGCAAATTTTTGTCCAAGATTAGGGAGCTGGATGCATTTTTAAGTTTTATTAAACCAATTACATCTAGGTTTAAACCTGAGTTGGGTCTTTGAGTGTTTTTAGATTAGAATATAAGGGCATTAGAGTAGTTAAAAGCATTTGGAGATTATTTTCCACATCTGAATCAAATTACTGGTGAATTGTTGAAGCCATCAAAATTTAGATGCAGAGGTCTCTGTAGTGTATAAAGACTTTTTCCTTCTTTTATGCATAATGGACTCCGGTGGTTGTGTTGTGTTCTTGGACAAGGCATTGTATTCTAACAGTGTTCTCCTCTTCACCTGGGAGTATAAGTGGGTACCAACAAACTGCCAGGAAACTGGACAAAGGGCTGGTGGGTGGGGTGAGTGGGGGTAACCTTTGATGGACCAGCATCCCCCATAGAGGAGTAGCAATACTCTTACTTGCTTCATTTTGTGTCTGCTATGGAAATGGAGATCTGATGGTTTTCACAAGCTACATGGCTCTCCTGCACACTTCACCTTTTTAAATAACTAGACAGGATTGAATGAGCTTTAGTTTCTCTAATTTCTTAAAGTGAACACAATGTTGTTGAGAGTGAGAACAAGGAGATTCTCTTCATTTTCTCTTCCAACATTGTATTTCAGCAAGAGAAAGAAGAGGAAGATGGTTCAATGAAAGTTGAGTTGAGAGTATTTTTACCAGATGATTCAATTACGACTGTGACTGTTCTGAAATGTCACAAAACAGTTCAAGTATATCAGGTGAGCAGTGAAAAACATTCATGCACTGTGATTTACACAAATATGCATGTAATGTTTCTTGATTCTTTTTTTTCCGGTTTCTGTCAATAGTAAGGAAGACTTCTATTACAAAATGAATTAAAATTTTTAGAAAGAATTTTGCGAATGGCTTGATGTGTTTACGGTCTCTAACAGCACTACACTTCAACTTAATGTATACGAGCAGCATTTAGTTCCAGATGGAAACATGAATAATTTTCTTCTGGGTTTCCATTCTCAGGCCACTTAATATTTGTGATTTCACATAGTTGTTCTGCAGAGGATGGCAAAGAAATGTACAGTTTTAAAACAAACATACTGAGCTGTTGTTCTGCACATGAGATCTTCTGTTTTGCCACATCCTCCATGTCATTGTGGGGTTAGGCTTAATTCCCCTAATGCATCATGTATAGGGCAGCAGAGAACTGAAGGACAGCAAAAACCTTACTGTGTTAAAACATTTCTTGCTTCAATTTATGCAAATCCTGTGGCAAAATATTTATCTGATCACAAACTCCTGTGTTTAGTGCATTTGGTTCAGTCACCAAGTTGTATTTTTTTTTAAAGTTTTTGAAAACCACAGATTTACTATTAACTGGAAGCAAAGGGTCTAGGGTGAAAGGTAGCTCATCCACCCAAAGTAAATTAAAGTTATTATTGTGAGCAACAATAGTATAAACAGATTTCTGTTGACATAAAGTGTGACATCACATGCAAAAAAGAGGGATGTGGTGTACCCTATGTTGATTATGAAGGAGAAATTAATAGTTTTGGTTATTTGTGGTTCCTAGCAACAATCTGATTGAGACAAAAGCTTTAATAAGGAGAGTTGATAGTTAACTAGAAATTGTCTCACTTGATTTTATGTTTATGGAAGGCCATGACAGAAAAGCTAAATTTGGACCAAGACAGCATCTCAAACTTTGCACTCTTTGAGATTGGTGATGATGGTTTTGGTAAGTGAAGCATGTTATGCTTTTGTCCATTAACATGAAGGTCGGGTTTTAGTGAATATGTTAGACTAGCTCTTCTGATCGGTAGTGTGAGTTTCAGTGATATGTGACTCTAAGCTGTTGTTTATATTTCAGATCACCACCAGTCCTGAGTTGACCTTAAAACTACTAGGTTTTCACCACTGCTTAGTATAGATTTGTACTAGTTATTCCTTGAATAGCTTAGCTCGGCTTGTCTGAGCATGTAATTTTCATTTTGCTTTAAAGGGTTAGAGGCATAACATTTTACTTTCAACTCTTAACTTTTTCAATTTTATTATCACCAAAATCTCTTTGCTTAGTGTTTCTCTATTGGCTTTTTTTTTCCCTCATATTAGAACGCAAACTTGAACAGAACGAGTTCCCCCACAACTTATATATCAAGAGTTATACTGCATCATCTACAACCTGTCTTGCTTTTCGAAAGTGGATATTTACCCTAGCAAGGGTTTGTATGCTAACGTTCTACCTAATGTTGAGCCTGGTCATTCAGGTTGGATCTGTTTCTACACAAGATATAGAGTAGACAGAGTACTCAATGTTTCATGAGAGAGCACCTCAGCCAAATTAAAGTGATGTACTGGAAAGGAGTGGTCTTAATAATCTTTGTGCTTTAGTTCCCACCAGTTTCCAAATGGGTGAAAGAAAATATCAATTTCACTTTTGTTTTCTTTTTGCTTTTGTCCATAAGAGAGGGCATTTACCATCTATGTTTGTTTTTCAATTGTCCCCACTAAGTTGAAAACAAAAAGTGACTTTGTGTTTTTCCCTTTAATTTGTTCTTTGGCTGAAGTAGGGTGGCTCACCCAACCCATACATTACATCCACTTTAATGGTGAAGGGGATGGTAGATTTATATAAAGGTTGCATACAAATGCAAGGACATCTGTTGGTTAGAGTGTGTAGAATTCAAAGTCTTTGATGAAATGTGGTACTGAGGATTTGAAAGGAAAGTGTTTTATGTATTTGTTGTGTAATTGAACAGGAAGTGCAGATGAACACTGATGAGAGTGCGGTTAACCTCCTATATACTCAGGTATTCATTCTTCTTAGCAGGAGAAAGATATGTTTACAAAGATTTTTCCCCTTTTTCTCTGTTATGTCCTTTGTACACAGTTGTTTTGGACTGAACCAGACCATTAGCTGCTTATTTTAAGTCTCAGATCTTTTTGTCAATAAACTGGCATGTGTTTATAACTGTTATAGTTTATTTCTCAGAGCTATTGAACCATAGTCTCCAGCCGCACTGTAGGAGAATGATATGTGATGAGCTTTTTGAGAAACCATGTTGTTCTTTGAACAGTTTGCGTGTTGGGCAGTAAAGGGTCAAACTTTGTTGCAAATTAAGCTACATTTTTGAATCGAAGTTCAACCCTTGACCTGCAATGTTTTTCATTCGCAAGACTGAATTTTTATAATTGAAAATAATGTAAAGGAGTGCCAGTGTCCGTTCATACTGGTACTTTTTTAGTGATGATTTGTCAACGTTAATCCCAAAGTAAGAGATTTTTGTAGCGCTGCAAAAATGGTTTCATAAATATCTTATTGAGTGTTCATATATTTTCTAACAGTTATGTTGTTATTTTAAAACACACGCAGGCAGTTAGTGACTTGAGAAGACGAAAATTGTCCCCTGGAAAAAACCTGCAAAAACTTAAAGACCTGCAGGCAGCAAATAAAAAGAAAGAGGTAGGAGATTCCCTGGTGTATTGATTTTTGCATAGAGCACTCTGCTGAACAAACATGTGCTGTGTTGTAAAGTATGCCTTTGTTCTGTTCAGCCACAGGCTGAAGTATTTGACTCAGTTGGTTCGCAATGTTCTTCCAGAGCTTGTTCAAAACATGGCTCACTCATTTGGATCCGATCATTTGAGATTTCCTGCAGTGGAGTGCTTTGTTCTTTTTAATGCACAGTTCCGTTTTTAACAACTCTTTCTTAATTAAACCGTCCACTGTTACGAGATTTTGTGCAAATCAAATGGCACTGAGAGAGTTGAATCGATGAAGAAAATGAATTCAATGCGTTAACCTAGCTTATTTTGTTTGCGAATTCGTTACTAACTTAGAGCAGCACGAACATTCTCGCTGCATACACCATCTCTTTGTATAATTTGTATGGAGCATTATCCAGTCATGGCAAACAGTTTAAACGAGAAATCTCTGTTAAGAAAAATCTGACCTATTTTTGAAATTAAGGCAAAGTTAATGACTTGTTACAGTGGCGCCAAAAATGTAATTGGAATCAGGTGAGAACAAGACCAAAATGTTTCTGATCTCCGGGACTCCTCCTCAATGGCCACACTGTCAGTCATGTCCTGTGAAATAGGAGGTAGGGGGTAGGGGAAGGGGATTGAGTGGTCTTTGTCTTTGTCTTTGTCTTTGTAGTGATGTCAGTTTAGAAACATGATTGGCACGACACCTCACGCAAAACAGTAAAAACTCATCCCTTTTAAAGCATGCAGTTTTTTCATTCAATGTTTGCAGTATCTTGATGTTGCAAGGACGTTGGATGGATATGCAACTGTTGTTTTTCCTCACTGTGGTTGCGATGCGAGAAGAACTGGTCATGTGATCGTTTCTATCGGTTTAAACTGTTTTCAACTACAAGCGTGTTCCTCCGAGGGTGAAAAAGAGGTCAGTATAGTCCTATTTTTCATTCACAAATGTTGACTCAATCCACATACATGCTAGTGTCTTACCCATTTTCTGCGATGAGGGTCTTGATGGGGTTAACCGATAACTGTAAAAGAGGCAAAAAATTTAGCCGTTAGGCGTAAAAATTGCCAAATTTTAACCGGTAGTCGTAAAAAAAGTTCACCGTTTAAAAAAATTTCTGGTGACGACAATGCAATGATATTAACCATTGGCCGTAAAATGGCCAGCGTTTCAACCGGTAGCCGTAAAAGCCATCACCCTATTGAGACCCTCTGATGCCTGTGGTTTTTGTGGCATTTGTAAACTGCAAAAACAATATGAGAGACAGAATACATCACCTAATTTTTTTTAAGCGGTTTTTTTTTCCTATTATTGCAATTGTCTTGACGTCACGATCTGCAATATTTAAGAGATTTCTAAGTCGTAGCAACAAATATTTTGAAATGGGAGGGAACAAGGATGGCTTAGTGGAGAGACCGTTCGCCTCCTACCTCTTTAGCCTGGGTTCAATTCCTGGACCTGGTGTCACATGTGGGTTGAGTTTTGTTGTTAATTCTCGTCCTTGCTTCGAGGGTTTTTTCTCCGGGTCCAATTCTACCTGGAAACAGCGGACAAGAAGAGCCACTTCGTGGAACGCCCTCTGCTAAATCCCACTTATTTTGTTATCATTATTAAAATGGCGAGTGAGTTGGCCGGCTTCTTTGTTTCAACAGGAGCAGGAGCACACATTTAACTGGGAGGAGCTGACACAATGGGAGGCTGATAGAGAAGCAATGGCATTTTGTTTTGAGTACAAAAAAGGGGATAAAAAGCCAAAATGGGTTAAAGTATATTCCACATATGTAAGTAGATATTTTATGTGCTTTTTCCATTCGTGAATGAATGACCGGCCAACTAAATAATATTTCCTAGCAGAGTGAGCGATCGCGACGGCCGCCGAGACTTGCGGAATTGTTTTAACCCAAGACAACAATGGCGCTGAGAACGTTTTGAAAAAAGACTCGACGAGAAGTTCAATGGTTATAAAACCATGAAATTATCTTAACAAACAAAGAATGCGAAATCAGCCCGTTTCGTCATTTTCTTGGCGCGAGAACCTCATCGGCTCGGCACTAATTAAGAAATAAACGTTGTGATTTAATTGAGAAGAGGTCGCTTTCCAACATGTCGAGAGCGTGTGGTCATTGGGAAAATATTAAAGGCCAAGGTTATCTGAAATCGATGTCGCCATAGATAGGGTTGACATGAATGGTGACTGTCTGAATGACTGGGTAAAATATCGTCCCTAGTGCGTGTGGTCGAGTGTATGAGGGTCATGGTGGGGAACAGTGAGAAATTGGACTGTGCACCGGCCTTACCTTGTTTTTCATGTTACATTTGTTGACCAGGGCTCTTTTCGTAATGTTTTTTTCGTCTTTTTTTTTGCAGTATGTTTATATGAATGCGTGCGTTGACAGAGTCATGGCTGAGATCGAAATGAATAACAAGGTTACCTCAGAATGGGGCACTTTATACACAACTTTATATATCTGAAATCGACTGGACTTTAAGTCGATAGGTTTGCAAGAAACTGAAATGCTTCCATCTGGTCTCAACAGGCTTGTGACCCACAAAGTTAGCGAAGTTGTTTTTTCATCGAAAAGTCTCGATACGCAAGGCCATTGTATTCTTAACTAGAAAGCTTAGTTACAAAGTTTAGTTTTCCCGCGAGAAATGTTTTTTTTGTAGTTAGGCATGGGCTTACTGATCGCTCTCTTAAACCATTCACTCCTAAGATCTAATGAGTGATTTTCTTTACTATCTGCCATGCGATTCGTCTCATGATGTTAATTCTGAGAATTTGGTATTGGATCAACCAGTAATTCCCTAATTTAAATTTTTCTCTTATTCTCCGGCATCACTTGTTTGATATTGAAACGAGAAATTCAGTCTTGGTCACTCATGGAAGTTAAAGGGTTAATTAACGGCAGTCGTAAGTTGTTGTTTTCTTTTGGAGAGGTTTTGCCAAACAAGATTTTGTTCGATTTGTAACTGATTTTCTTAATAACAGCACCCGAGCCCCGCCTTACAATTGATTGCTGTGTTCACTTTTTTAATGAAATGTGGAGAGCTTTAACATCCACGACTGTGGGGTACGATACAAACGATGTGTCTAATTGCTAACTGGTTTGTTACAGGATGGTATTTTACCATTGTATCCAGGCGGAATGGAGGCAAACATGCCATCAGAAGAAGCAACTGGGGACATTACAGATTCACAGGAAACGGTAGGTGAACGATATCTACTCAAGCTGTGACTGTGTCACGCGTACATTATACATACTTCAATAGCTTCGATCGACTTCAGTGTGGTCATTGAAGCACCGAGCGTGGATGTGTTTGTTTTGTTTTGCTTTGTTTTCAACGTAACTCGCTTTCGTCGCAAGTAGTATCATAAATTGAACATGATTTTATTTTCTTTACCTTATCTTGTGAAATCTCCTCCCTTTTACGGAACTCAAGTCTTACATTAGCGCCATGACTGTTCCAGACTTTTATAGAGAGCGTCGTGCCTCTTACCCAGTCCTCCTCCACTGAACCTACAAAGGATACCTCTTCCGTAAGAGGTTTCACGTGAAAGAATACAAACAAGACAAAACGCTCTAAGACATCTGAATTTAGACTGATTAGCGGTGACCCAAATATTCGCATTTCCTTGCCCAATTTTGTTTGTCATTTTTGCTTGTACTGACCACAGGCGGCCCAAGCTCCAGCTGTGAGATGATCATCTTGCGAAATAAGAGTCATGGCGAAATTATAAGAGTTTGTATCGGAATATTTTACGACCGCTCTTAGGAATAAAAATACAGTCAAATTCTCAATAAAAATACCTCACCTTACTTCCACAGTGCATCGCTTGCTATCTGACCGCTTACTATGTTGAAAAGAACCAATTTTGGCGAGTTATCCATTTCTAGGTTTACTGCGTAAATAAGAAAAGCTTCTCTTGCGTACGTAGTCAACAGAAATTGATAACTCGCTAAAATGGGTTCCTTTCAACATAGTAAGCGGTCAGATAGCAAGCGATGCACCGTGGAAGTAAGGTGAGATATTTTTATTGAGAATTTGACTGTATTTTTTATTCCTAAGAGCGGTCGTAAAATATTCCCATACAAACTCTTATAATTTCGCCATGACTCTTATTTCGCAAGATGATCATCTCACAGCTGGAGCTTGGGCCGCCTGTGTACTGACTTGCCATTAACACGATGTATTTCAACAAGTTAAAAATGAATTTTCTGCGTTTTTCAAATTTCCTTTCGAGAAAACATGAATCAAAAAAAGCTTGATTTAGCACAAATGCCAAAAGTCAACATCTTGCAAACGGCTAAAAAACGTGTTTCGCCAAACGTTTGTCAATCATCCATCACAAGAGACGATAACCAGTCGTTTTGTAATGAGACATTTCGTACTCAAATTCAAACGATTCGTATCCCGTTTGTGTTGGTTCGTGTCCAACCCGCTGGTCGATTTGTACCCGTTCCAACATTGAGTTACGATCAAAACGCAGGAGATTTCACGAAATACTTCACTATGATAGTGTGTATAAGATACATGTACAGTTCTACAAATAGAAAGTGCTACAAATAGCGACACGTAAACAATCGACCTCATCGCCTGATGAAGACTAACAGTATTGTTGTCGAAACGTCGCGACCAACATCCAAAGTGACTCCATCGTGTGACAAGCGAATAAAGTTCATCTCCTATGAACAGTTCTGTTGTGAATGTACTGAGTACTTGTGATCTCAGCCAGGTACGAAACGTGAAAAGCCACGGGACATGTCCAGAAAAAAGAGGGGAAATTTATATGTTCGGTTGCTCCTAGTCAATGATTTCTTATAACACAATACGAAACAATACAATACGATAATTTATTAGATACTCCTAAAATACACTTTTAATGTCTAATTTTACAACTTGATAATAATATACAATGATGTTGCTAATTAAACAAAGGGATAAAAACTTAAGATGAAAAACAGTTACAGTGATTCTTAATCATACATATTGACAACTACGCCATGCAGTGAATCATTTCCTGTCTACCTGTTGTGTGCCCTGAAGTTCTTTTCTTGCCTGCTTCTTAAATTTAGTTAATGTTCTGGAGTTTCCAGCCAGAGTATGTCGAGAACTGTACGTCCCAATACCATGAGAATAGGAGGACCGCTGAGCAGTAAACTTATATGCTCTCTTTCTTTAGGAGATCACTGCCGCTTCCAACCAGAAGAGTCATACCAAACCATACTCTGCCAAGAATAATAAATTTTCAATGCCAAGGACCACCTCAAAGAATTTTAATTCCGCCATCGAAGATGAGGACTTGTGAATTAAGTACAAGTAGAAATGGTCTGAGACTGGCTTTCCTCGCTGGATTTTTTACTTCACTAGAAGCACGTGTGTTGCCAACAGAGCTTCAATTTGTGCCTTAAAAGCTACTAGTGATCATTATTGAGGCTTCTTCGAGGCATATGAACTGTCAGCTCCTGATAGACAATACTTTTTTACTCACGGCTAACTTCTACTGATAGAGGCCTGTGTAAAGTCGATTTGCTTTAAGATTTACCGTTTTAACTCTGACTCAAAACTTAGTAATCAACTACAACCGCAACCTTGAATGAAGTCTGAAAGTCTCGCAACTTTGGCAGATAGAAGACATCGATGATTTTTCATGCCTAAAGAAAGATTGCACTGTTTCTGACCTTTGAATCTTTCGTTAGAGGAACCATTAGGATTCACGCCTTATCCACTTAGGAGAGTTCAACACATTTATAATGTTGTATTTGATTTTGAATACTACACAATTTTCATTTTTGGATGCGTGTAAATAAAGGTGATTGTACAACAAATTAACCCTATCGTTCCCACAAAGGAAGCTTGGGAAGACGGCAATTGAAAAAAAATATATTAAGAATCGTAGTAGGGGGTTTTCAGTTGGAAGAAAGACTACAGTAGTTTTCGGTTGTATAGGCAGGGCTTCAAAGAAATAGGCGCATAGTGTTTTGTCTAGCTATTCATATGATATAGATATCAAATACAGAGTCCAAGTAAGAAGTTGTATTAAAATAGTAAATAGACAATACTAGGACAAATACTTTCAAGTTATTAGATCTGAGTCAATAACCTATTCCTTGTAGCCAGTAAATATATTTTAGAAACAGGAAATACGTGGCGGGTCCTAACATTCTTTTGATCTAAATTATATTAGTACTTTGTTTAGTAAAAGTATAAAAAAAAATACTGATTGGAAGTGAGTCTGTTTTTCTTTCTTTCCTCAGATATATCTCTTACGGTATCGGATGTAAATATCGTCACGCGACTGTTGAACGAGACACGGCTCGCGACTGTTATACGGCTCTCGCGAATGTGACTTGAGCGCGCGACCGGAACCATGTCCTTTTTTTTAACCCTTTATTGTTACACTGGGAAAAATCAGCAATCGAGAAAATAAGATAAAGTAACATTTGTAAGTGCAGTCATATTGTATGTCTGCATTCGTTAAGTTACGAATGGATGCACGGACGCCAGTTTTTTCTTTCACAAATGCCAGTTTTCTCGTGCACAACCTTGGCTGCTAGATGGAAGGGGAGCTCTGAGATATGTGTAAGTGCTGTCGTTAACTATTGACCTCTGTCAATTGACAATCAAGTTCTGACAGGAGAATAAATTAATTCTCTCTGGATATTAATTATTCCATAGAAGGATTCTTTTTGTATGTCAAATTCTATTGTTACCTCACAAAATATTTTGAACGACTTGGCTGAAACGAGGTGGAGAAAAATAAAACTAAATCGATTATATAAACAAAACAGCGGCTGTGGAAAAAAAGATATAAGGAAAAACTGATCAAACAAGCATGAAGATTTCCTCGCAAATTGAGTGGTTTAAATGTTACAAGGTAATTTGGTATTATCAACCGAGTTGATAGCGTATAGGAGTTTGAAAGCTGACGTTTCGAGCGTTAGTCCTTCGTCATTCGCTCTAATGAAGGGCTATCAGTCAAAACGTCAGCTTTCAGACTCTTAACGGTGGCCAGTTTCCGTTACCAACTCGGTTGATAATATCAAATACCTTGCTATATTCTCCCACCGACGCAGCACCACAGTTTCTTTAGAAACTACCCCCCTTGATTATTATGGTTTGAATGTTGTTTTGTGTTATGTAAACAGATATGGGTCATTGGCAACAGCCCTAGCCAGTTATAGCCGTAGCTATAAATCTATATAACTTTCTCGTTGATTTTCGTTTTATTGATTTTCGTTTCGGTCATAACTGCTATATAGTCATTTCGAGGCAAAACAACAATGTGTCGTCAGAGGTTATACAAGTATGAACTTGCAGCAATGTAACAATCCACTGGTCAGAGCCCAAAGAAGGTTTCCTCACAAACTTCGCTCCTTTGGCAAATTTGGAAACAGTAAGTATTTAAAGCTAAACAGTTGGAAAAAAGGAGGTTGAAGGGTTTCACAAACAAATTTGTTAAAGAGATTACTCACAAAATGTGTTTCCTGTAAAATAATAAAAGCATTCTGAAACAAATCTTGGTTGAAGCTCAAGAGCCGGCAGCACGTGCTGTGGTCTGGCGCACTCACTGCCTCAACATTTATTTCCTTTTGCTGACCTCGATAATTCACAGAGACTATTTATACCCGCGGGTGAAAAGGCATTGGAAAGGGGAAAGATCGCATCCAGCATTCGCACGAGATCCCACGACACCCACGAATTGTTTGTTCATTGCGTTACCAATAGTAAGAGCCCCCTTCCATATGTTAAATTTTTGAATAATAGATGGTTGAATACCGTTGGAAGTGAAACACTGGCTTTCTAATGGACACTCATATCTAAAGGTCGATTAGAAGGTGAGGAAGACATTTCCTTTTTGCGTTATTTGCACTGGTATGTAGTCTCACGCTGCATGTGCATATGTGTTTGGCACGTTTCTCGTTTTCTCTCTTGGAGACAAAGAAAAATCTACAATTTCTTAAACCAAGCAACGTGCATGTATGCATTGTGGATGGACATTTCCTAAACAGTCTGGTAGTATGTTTATAAAGATTGTTTTTCGATCTTTACTTCCTCCAATTCGAAAAAAGCGCAAACGCTAAAAAGCACCAAATATTTATCGAGAGAAGTTCCATGAGGCGGAAACAAACAGAGACAAAAATACCATTCCACAGGTGAAGCGGAAAGAAAGGTTTGAATTGTAACAAAAACAATCTCACACTTTCAAGAGGGTAGGGAAGGGTTTTTTGAAACGTGACACGAGCATGATTAATGATTTGCAAGTGAAACATGTTAGTAATTAGGAGGGAAACGTGCTCCAGAATTAATGATAGGTTACCAACGTCTTCACCCGGAATGCACGTCAAACGTGCATCCCATTTAAAAGCATATAAAGAAAAGCTAGCGATTTTTCTGTGGATTTCCTGAGTTTCTACCCTGAGGTAGAGCTGCTTGTGCAAAGCTGGTCAACGGTGCAGTTGGTGAGATTTCTTTTCCGTGTCAGCTGTGAATCCGACTTAAACAAGGTATCATTTAAATGTCAAGTCGGTTGTTAGCTTTCGCAGTCAATGCAAACACATTTTTCTAAAGGCAGTCAATTACAGGATTTTCTCTCCCTTAGCGAAAATAACGAAATGATCAAAATTATAATGTACAAACAATATAGACACATTGAGACGGAGCCTCCGTAAGAGTGGTCCAGTCCATTTGGCCTGAAATACAGATTTCACTAATTTCTTGTGTGTTACAAGAAGTTCATGTTCTTCCAGTAACGATTCTATTGAGCGCCCGGGCTCTTATTTACTTATTGGTAATTTCCAAAAATGATAAAGGAGGGTGATAACAAGATGACTATGAATTTCGGTTTTTTTAAATTTTTTTTATTTTTGAGTATTTCACATTGAGTATTTTACGTTGAGTATTTCACGTTTCTCATGGACTTTAGAACCAAGGGCGTTAAAATACAGAATTTTGTGGGAAGTTCTAAGCCCTTTGTCTTCACCAGTGAATGATATAACAAAGGTAAGTAACTTCCTCCTGCTGAATAATGCATGAATTTTTATTATGATAATCAAATGACGAGACATCCATCCTAAAAGACATACAAACAAACCTAAATTCCACAGACTCACTGGTATCATGTCCAGATGAAGAGGCGATAAAGCTTTTAGTCTTACATTCATTTTGCTGTAGGCGGAAATTAGTATGCAATGATTGAGTGATCGGGTTAATTAGCACTTTATTCAAGTCCCACGTGTCTCATTCATAAGTTTCTTCAGAGTACGGATCAAGGCTTCATGAAAAGACTTACTTCTCTTGAATAGAAATTATGGAGTGCATGGTGGGCGAATCAACTTACTGTGGTCGCACTCTTTTATCCAAAGCAAAAATATTTTTGCGAATTGTTGGTTTCCTTAGCTCTTTCAAAAACGCTCGGAATGTACAGCACTCAGAAAGCGACACCCAGCCAGGATATCTAGCTTTGCATCAAACATGAATTAAAATTATTTAGAGAGACGATAAAGAGATTCCTAAGGTTCTGTTTTCTACAGATTTCGATGAATTTGGCTGTACGATTAAAAATGATCCGGCTCGAAATGAATATATTCATGTTTAAGGTTGCTAAAAGTTGAACCGCCAGAAAAATGGTAAAAATTCTATTAAGACTCTTGCTGATGATCAGCTTTCTGTTGCTCTGTCTTATAAAAGAGAATGAACGTTAAGCTAAAACTTTTTCTTTGGACATGCTTCAGCAAAGCGGGAATAAAACATGAGGAAAGACGGGTACGAGAGCGTTCAAATTTGATTTAATTGGTCACCACGTTTTAAGTTAAAATGTAGGCGAGCTAAAGATGTCTATGACTTTTCTAGCCTTTACTGGAATGAAATGGGGATATCAAGTCAACTAAAATGGTGCTTTTCATTTACGTTTCACTTTTAGTTACGTAACGTGGCTGGCTGCTAAGTGGTTAAGTTGGTCCAGCATGATATAATTGTATTTTTATTTTGTAACTTTTAGACGCACATGCACTAAAAAACCGATTAAAGCTATTTCATTTTCACATGATTTGCATTAAAGTTGCGTTTATTTTTTAGTCTGGTCGGTTCGGCTACTTGAAGAAACCACACTGATTGTTATTGAGTCTTTCTGCGCTCGACCATTACTTGACGGGCCGTTTTAATCTTTCGATCCCTTTTATTTCCTGAGAACTATATGAGTTTTCACTTCAGAACTTCTTGCAAAAACTAAAAAAAAATTAAATTATAAAAAAAATTTTAAAAATCCTCGATTTGAAAGTATGGGAGTACAATTTGTGTTAGAGCCAGCGAATTCATTGCTTCGGGAATTAAACTGCATCAAGGCTTAAAGTTCTGTTGCTTATCTCAATAACAACGCATGATAAATTTGTGCTTTTGAAAATGAGTCAAAGAACGCGTTTTGATGATAAAACTAGTAATGAGAAGAACCGAATTTATTCAAGGTAAGTAAGGGATTTTCTCATACATATTTCTTACTCTGTTCTTTTATGTAAAGTCTATTCTATCGGATCCCATTATCCAATTCATGGCGACTTATTTTACATATCTAGTTGTCGTTCTTGTCTTTGTTTTGTTCTAACGCCTAGAGATGGAAACCAACGAAAGAAGTGATTTAAAAGGGAGGAATTAAGTATTTGGTTATTTTGTTTAGAGCGGCGGACCGATCTCCTTGTTTTCGAAGACGTGCAGCATTCATGCAATGAGCATAATTCCTCACTGATGTTTATAGAGACGTTTCTCCTCATTGGCCAGTCCTTGGCAGCTGGAGATCACATATTATTTGCTATTATTTGCATATTCACAGTTTGGGAGGCAAGGTATAGACGCACTACAGCGCAAACTAGAGCAAAGCTCGTAGGTTTTCAAGCGAAAGTGTTGGCTTCACTCACACTTGACGATGTCTTTTTACAATCCTCAGCAAGCAGAAATCTGAGCTAGAGAATGCAAGACGACGTTCACAGGTTAGAATCAAAGCAAGAGTTTCAGGGATACTGTGATCAAAACAATTACCACAGAGATTGTGTTGATTTTTCGACCGTACAGCATTAAATTGGTTTTAGCAAAAAATGTTCAATGAAAAAGCGGACATTGCAAAAATTGTCAAGGTCCTCCTTCCGTGGAATTGCCCTTCAATTTTTCCATCAGGGGTGGCTATATTTTTCGGGAATAGATTTCGCAGTTGCGGATGGAAATGCCCAATAGTTTTATTAAAGTTGAGCGGCGGAAGGTTTTCATTGTCATGAACACGCACCTGCTCAGAGTTAGGAGTGAAATTCAATTTGTGTCATCTAAGTCTGCTTTTTGTCTTCTACTTTGCAGTTTTTCACGGAAAATTCTCTGTCGAAGCCATTGCGACAGTTGCAAAAAAGTCATCCGATTTCTTGGGGTGCGTTGCCAGGATTGCAGGTTGGTAGAAGCTTGAGGATTTAACCAGCAATGACCTGACTGTAAAACTACTCACTATCTATGAATAGTAATGTGTATACAGAGCACAACTGACTTGACAATCTTTCTGTTCTGTGTTTAAATGTTCAGGCGAGAACGAATATCTTCAAATATCTCTCTGATTTATAGGTTGAAATATCACCAACATTGCTCGACATCTCTTTCAGCGGAGGGCGATCGTCGATGCCGAAAACATCATGCCGGTAAGAGAAAGACAAAATATAACTTTTAAGGTGTAATTAATATTTATTTTAACTCGACAAATTCTTTTCCTTCCAGTTCATGTGTATGAATTAATAGTTTCCCAGCGTATGGATGGTTTTGTTTTGTAATGAATTTCAATTTTTTTCTCTTACTTAATGGCTATTCAGGAAAAACAAGAGCTAACCGATTTTGGCGAAAAAGGCAGAATGCTTGTGGGAAGTGGTCATTACATCACGTCACCCTGGAACAACTCGCTCGGAAAGGAACACAACAAACAATTGTACCCTTAAGTGCTAAAGGTAAAATCCGACAAAAACTTATCAATGGACTATACGAGTCCTTCTGTTACAGCCCGAGGCATGCTCTCGATTTTCGACCGAATAACTCGGATGAATTACAAGGGACACCGCTTACGGTAACAATTGAGCGACATCCTTCACCGGAAAGGTATTACCCTTCACGAATTTGTGAAAACCTGACCACAATAGACCAAGACGACGCGGTTAACGAAAATCTCTTGGCAAGCTCCAACTGGCACCGTGCAAACTCTTGGTCAACATCAGCTAGTTGTGCATATTCTTCCGGCTACTCGTCTGCGAATACATCGTGTCCTTCTTCAGCTAATTCACACCGCAGTACCTCGCCTACACCAGATTTTTCCAACATTAAACTTTTAAACGCAACTTTAGAGGATTACAACGGTGAAAATAACAGTTTTTCAGAGGATGGTGGTCTAGGGATTGGTACTGACGATGTGGATTTAGGAGATGAGTATTTAACAGAACCTTGCGATTTTTTTGCTACTTGGCCTCAAAAGAACAGAATGCAAGACAAGCAGAGAGTCAGCAAGCGAATATTTTCCGGTAAGTTGTGTCTACATGTTTACCGTTCACATTGAAACTTCGCGTTTTGCCAAGGGCATCTCAGGAAGAGAGGTTTCTTTCGCGGAAAATTAAACTGGAGAACTAGAAAAGCCGGCGTGTATGCGATATTAGCAGTATCAACTTGTTTTAGTTTATCATTATCCAACATGACAAAGCTGAAGTACTGAGTATCGGCGACGATACAAGCAAGGAACTCCTTAATTTTAAATGCCAAACTTAGATGAAGTCTCTGCTGACAGAAAAAATAGCTAAGTACACAAAATATCAGTTTCACTTCAATCACGTTTGTGATTCTTCATGAATATGTATTCAGTAGTGTGCGCTCGCGTAGTCAATATTGTTGATGATGATTTTCCTGTTGTGATCGCCGTCGATCTAAGTTGCCCACCTGTTTGTTCTTTTATCATTTCATCCGCCCTTCGGGGGCGAAAACTGAGCAAAAACCTGACTCATTTGATCATGACCTATGGACTTGAATTAAATATCATTCGCTACATGCAGCAGCCATGAGACACGATTCGCCGTAAAGTATCTTCAGTGTCGCTTACTGAAACATGGAAACCTACAATGTTGATATATATTTACACGGGAGTGTTTTTTCGTTAAAATCGACTGGACTTCCTAAAAATTACCGGTTCTGGAAAGAAATTCTTATAGCAGTATCAAATCAGTAGTTTATCTCGGTAGCGCTAATGCAAGTTTGGAATCGTCTCGGGATTAATTGCTCATGGTTGGATGATAGCATTCAATAAGCCTCGCAAAACCAGCTTCAGAGGAAAAGTTTCTGGAGCCTCTTGTGTTTTTAATTCCAACCCAATTCAACTGAATTTTAATCGTTGCGTGTTCATAGCTCTAAGAGCTATGAACACTATTATTCCCTCAGAGCTCAGTTAAAAAAAAGTTGGGAATTTAAGAGGGCGAGTTTGTAGATCAGATTTTTTTCCTGCCATATTTTTGACCCTATAGTCACGGAAAACCTGCTTAGTACTTCTAAAATTTTTTTTAATGATCAGAAGTCAAATGGAAGTCTATTCACTTCCGCTGGCCTGAGTAAGGATATGAAATTAACAAGTAAAGCGACAAATTTTTCTGAAATGATTCTTTGATCTGATCAAAATATTTTAAGGCCCTCTTAAAACCCAGCGAATGAATTCGAAGCTGACTATGGGTTATGCTTGTTATTATCTTTTAACTAAGATATTAAATTTAAAAGACAAAAAATCTTACTGCTTCAGGGGACACGTTCGGTTATGCAAATGCGGAGGACTTTGTTTAGTCTCTATGAATATGCTGTTTTTATTTTTCTTGTTTGGTGAAAATCCCCCGGAAAAAAATGATCAATGAAACTGGTGTTATCTTCATTTGTATGACAAGAATCCCCCAGGACATGTTGTGGTCTAAAGCTGTAGTTCGAGAAATTTACTCAGCTTGATGTCCAACTTGTCGATTTTAATGCGCACACCAGTTGGATGAAGATTAACTAGCATTTTACGACTGCTGACGTAAAATGATCATGACGTATAGATAAGCGATATTTTTTCCCGTTTTCCATTTAGACAATTTACTGAGAGTGAATGCTACCTTATGAATTAGAAATCTGCGCTTTTTCACATTTTTACCTTGTCGTTTTCAAAAGACACGTCAATAAAGTTATCGCATTTCTTCGAATTGCAATTAATAATGTATGCTGTATGTCTCTCATTAATGCACCAATTTATTTTTCTGCAGCTGATGACTTCCAGGCATTTAGGTATCACGAACCACTGCCCACGGTAAATAAAAGGTAAGACTGGATCTCTTCACGGATCACGTACAACCAATTAACTGCTAAAGGATGCAAAAAAAAAAAAAAAGGAAAGAAGGAAGAAAAAAATCGTACCTCAAGGTTTAAGGTAAATTAGATACCACTATTTCGGAAATGATTTTATCTTGTAAGTCTCGAAAAGGAGAATAGAAAAAAAAAAACGAAAGAACAAAGCGATTTTCAATTTTTTCTTCCTTTTGAAGCTTACTTTTACATATATTAAGTTACTGTTGCGCAATAAATTGAAAAATGCGATTATAAATGTTTAGAGGTATTTCTAGCATTTTAAATTCCTTGCGCGGGACTTTACTTTTTTCTTTGCTTTATAAAGGCTTTAGATTAATATTTTGATGAATGACAGGATATAAAATGAAAAGAAACCAAAAAAGCATCCACCCTCTATGTAAAGATCTATTTTTAGCCGTCTTTAATTGAATTCGAGCTGAATTCAAATCGTATGTTTAGTGAGTGTCATATTTTGGACATGAAAGCAGGACTTTGTCAATTCTTGCGAAATCGGACGCGGTCCAAGATGAACAAGAAGATAAAATTACAGTTGAATACACGCATCAGTTCCTTAAACATGCTACAGATTCTCCACTGTTTCCGGAAAAAATCTAAGTCCCAAGCGAGTCTGGCCAACAAGCTGATTACGGATAGGTGCCACATGTGATTAGTAACATTCATATTTAGTAGTCTTAATGCAAAAAGTTGTCTGGACTGCCAGACGACGCAAGCAATATGCACTTCATTTCAGAGGTGTTTTCTTAGTCAGATATTATGACACACGCATCGGAAGCATTCTGGCTTTCATTTAAAACATTCTGCAATGCATCTTCCGAATAATGTGTCTGGTACGATAAGTGACGGTAAATTTTATAGGCCTTACTGAATATTTTCTATTGGATCTTCTTTACAGCTTGAAAAGAGATGAGCAGGATGAAGAGGATATCAAGGTAGGGAACTTTTTTGCGGCATCTAACGTTGCAACGTTATTGTGTTTTCCAGCTAACTAATGTCGAGCACGATTGCATGGGGAATGTGTGACGTTCACGCTACATGTTCCTCCTCTCTCTTCCCTCCTTCTCCAATTCTTTCGGCGCCGCCCCAAATTTAACCCAAAACACCCATGCAAGACTATTTCCGTATGCAGATCGAACTTTATGAATGTAAGTTTGCTTACATGTATGATGCCTAGAGAAATATTTTGACTTTGAGCTCGAGAATCAGGTACAAGACTTGTAAGTGACAACAACTTTGGGCGCAGAAGTGAACTTGGTGTCTTCGTCTTCAAATGCAATAGCAAGTTAAGGATAACTTAAGATCATATTTGTTCTTCTGACCTCTTTTTTACATGAACCTTCTCTAATCCTTCTCTCAGAAATCTCTTCGAGAATGGAGCATCCCTTACTCAGACTTACAGTTTGGGGAAATAGTGGGTGTCAGCCCCAAAGGATATGTTTACAAGTGAGCATTCTATCAACATTAGTATAGGTAATAACATGATTTCGAGTGCAATTTGGTGTTAATAGACAGGAGTAAGTTTTTCAAATACAAAAAAATTGCACGAGCTCGTGTAGTCTTTAAAATAATGACAAGTGTTCATTAACGCCAAATTGCAAGAGAAAACATGTTATTACTAGTTAATAATGTACATGATAAAACATCACAGAAAGTCAACATAGACGAGATTTCGAAAGCTCTATTTGTAATTTGCACTCGTGTTACAACTTTAAAATCGAACATGTGACTTGTGAGCGCACTTTTTTTGGCCAGTCAAAAGCGCGTAATTCCTTCAGATTCATTATTAACGATAAAATTTTCTTTGTACAATGTTGGAGTTTACGGCTTTTTTTTTTTACAAAAAATTACTTTGTGGAATTGTGATAGCAATCAGCAGTGGCAAAGAAAGATGCGACAGCTCTTGCAGGCCTTTAAAAACAATTTCTAGTTTATTGACGCCTCAATTCTTTTATCATGTCAAAAAGAGATGCCATCCTTAGCTTAATAGATTAACCTGCACCGGTGTAGAAAACAACATTCTTCAAATCCACCTTATTAACTAAAAAAGTGCCAGTTTTGGGAATACTTTGTAATGAGAATGGGAAGAAGGTTTAAATATTGAAAACTCTTTTGTTGTAAAGTTAGCCTCAATTCTTTATTCCGTTTTATTCACTTGAAAATTTGTTTTTCAGGGGGAGATGGCATGGGGACATCATGATTCACACGCGGCGGAGGTCAACGAAAGAAGACGTCGAGGAATTCCTTAACGAAGTGTCTGTGTTGAGTATGATCAGACATGAAAATGTTGTTCTCTTCATGGGCGCGTGTCTTGAACCACCCAACCTTGCAGTCATCACCAGGTACACATTTTTTGCTGTCTGTCTTCTTGAATATTCATACGAATTGTTAGTAAAAATTGATATTCAATACGGGGAAAACCAATGTTTTAAATGCATTGTTATCTTTGTTTCCAGTGTAAGAAGAGGTTTATCACTCTACAATCATCTTCATGTGCGGCAGGATTTGTTCTCATGGCAGTTTAAGATTTCCATTGCGAAGCAAATAGCACAGGTTTGTGTCCACAATTCAGTGAATCTTCAAAATTAGTTCACTTTAGTTGAGGTAAATCTTCTGTTAAGTGCGCTTAGATTACACAGCTGCGCTCTAGAAGAATTTGATTTTTAGTACTATTTGACTGACACCGATGGAAATCGAAAAGAAATCAACCTTAAAATTAAGGTTGATTTCAAAATGCGCCAGAATTCTACTTTGAAAATCAACCTTAATTTAAAGGTTGACTTGAAATCAATGCACCAGAACCGGCTTTTTGTAAATACTATTCCTACTGGAAACTTTCCGTAGGTCTCGAAAACGCCTTTGTTTTTTTTTCAACCGACGCCGTTCCCTTAGATCAGGTATTAGGTTTGTTTCTGATCACTTGACTGGGTCATCGTTATTTTTTAAAATTTTTTGCAGGGTATGAGCTATCTTCATGCAAAAGGCATCGTTCTCCCAGCCCTTACCACCATGAACGTGTTTCTAGAGTCCAAAGTCAAACTCTGTGTTTCAGGATATTGCAACAGGACAACACGAGTTGAAAGGTAAAGGAAACTGTTTGTATCCGAAGCACTAGAGAGCTTATTCCCGAGCAATAAAATAAACAAACTTGCATTGGTCTGAAGTTAAGATGGGAGAGAGCCAACATTACTCTAGTCTATTATTTACGCCGTTCCCAGTCTATTACTAAAGCAACGCTTTTTGTTATTTCAGGGAGGGATATGCCAGCATACCACAAGGACACCTGACATACCTGGCTCCAGAGCTCATGCGCACACTTTCAAGGAAAGGCTGTGTTTTATCCACAGAGGAAAAGAACTCTGACTGGTCAAACGTGTATGCGTATAGGTACGTTTCCTAAAATTTGAAACAGAAAATGAGGGCCTTAGCTTGAATTATTTGCTCGGGGGAAAATTTTTTGGCACTTCAAAAGCTATAGTCATCTTAAGGTTTATGATATATGATATACGATATCGCTTTTGATAGCGACCCAAACATACTTACGAACACTCAAAAGGGTTGCAATTTGAGCTAAATTTTTTGTTAAAAAATGCCATGTTTTATAGCACGATCCTGTACGAGATTTTAACTGGCAGATGGCCCTTAAACTTCCCAACACATTCCATCATATGGATGATCGGCAAAGGAAAACAAGAAAGCGTTGCACATCTACAGTGCCCGGAATCCTTCAAGGTCAGTTGAACGACTAAAAAGCCATGATCATCAGTTTCCACTTTACCTCTGTTTTTGTGTCATTAAAACATAGAAGTGTTTTTCACCACTCACCTTAATTTTCATTCTTTCCAGAAACTTATAAAAGACTGTTGGAGTAACAACCCTAAAAGCCGACCGGAATTCAGCCGGATCGCTGAGTTTCTTCAGCAACAGAACGTACGTGTTATCGGTTACATCGCAGTAACTGACTCTAATAACTTCTTTGGCATCTGACACTTGGGATAAATACATTTCACTGGGATTCTGATTATGTTATCTCTTCCTTGATACGATCGTCGGGCTTTGTATCTCAGTTTGATCGACCTTTTTTTCAGAAACCGCTTCTTAAAGCTAATTTTTCTTTATTGCTATGTGGCTCTACACCATACAAGATACTGATGATAATTGATAAAATTCACGAAAGTAGAAAGCAATCCGTGCATTTTTAAAGATATTTATGGTTACTTTTGAGTGGTCAACGATTAACTGATATCCATTTACATTCAACGATAAGCATGGTCAGGACTGAAAATCAGAGATAAAATTAAACTGACACTCCGAACCCATGCACCACAATTCATGCAACAACACCACATAACACCATGATTAATTCTTCGAGCTAATCTTTTTTTCTTTTTTTTTTTATTCACAGGTCCCTCCAGAGCTTGCTCGTAGAAGAATCAGCTTCTCGGAGCCGGAAAAAATGAACTTTGTTGGCCGTAAGATGAATACGTTATCTATAAAGTAATTCCTGCTGCCAAACGTGTCGGCATCATTCGGCCAAATAGCCGCAGTGATTATGCTTTAAAATGATTACTTCGAGCAAGTTTCCCACAGCATACTTCCATACGTATTTGAAAAGGTGAAATGCTGTTGGAAGCGTTCGACAATAACTTAGGCCAATAGTTATTGTTTTTGCGAGATGAAGAGCTTTCAGCATATTTGTAAAATACTGAGTGGTGTTTCAACTCAGGGGGTTACCGTGCATGGGACGTCCTCGCTGCTTCATCGATAATAGAACACTCCACGAATATCTTGGCCAGTAAAAATTATTTGTAGACGATAATCATGGGTGCTCCCAAAGTTTTCAGATTACCTTCGTTTGAAATTCAGTTTTTTTATCTTCATACCTTTTCATGTTCAAACTTTCTGGGGCTGAACAATCAGAGAAAACTAAGAGTCTTGTAAATTCAAAGCTATTAGGCCAAAGCAGGTGCCTCTATGTTTAAGCGACAAGTTTACATTTGATAAAGAAAAAGCAAAAAGAAATAATAGTGCATACCGTATATGCCTTTGCTCCAAGCATGAAGACAGCTGTCGCTACAAAAACAATGATTTGTGATTTATATGTGATATTTTTTAACTTATATCGGGGTATTTTAGTAAGAAAAACAACCAATAAGCATCAAAAGGTCTATAAAAAGGGCTGATCATTACAATCGATTGAACTACTGAAATCAAAAGATTTGTTTTAACACATCAGTACGTAGAGATACTTTCATCTTTTATACTTTATTTGATATTGACCGGCATTGTTGCCTTTGCATTACTATTGTAGTTTTGTATATTTTATGAAAGTTTAATTCTTTTTATCTTTATGTCCACGAGGTGAACTTCGCCCTGTGTAACGCACACATTTTTTCGTATTGACGGCCCCTCTGTAGCTCAAGGGAAGGAATAAAATGGTAGAACCTTGAAAGTATCAGCAGAAAAAAAACTTGGATTATCCAATGAAATGTTTTGAATACATATTTAGTGCTTTACTTGCGAGGTTCAACATTGTGATACTGTTCCACCAGCATCATTGGTGGTTAGCATTTAAACTAATGCAGTTTAATTCAAGCTTATCGCGATAAGTTACTGACCGGTTCGTATCAAAGCTGCATCGGGCGCTCAAGTCTTAGTATGTGGCAAACCTTACTGTTCCTGTTAACAAAGTGAGTTAAAACTTTGAGGCACAAGAGAAACGGGTGACCCAGGTAAGGGGAGGTTGAACAGAAATTTTGCGATATGTTCCCTATATGTCCTAAACCAAAGATTCACACGGCAGTGTTTAGTGGGACTCGTGTCAAAGGGTATCATTTTTACTCAAATACAAAAATATTTTTATCGGTTGTAACTTCGTCCAACATTTGAGAACATGTTTTTTTTATACAGGTACTATGATTACTTTTTAAATTTTGTGGGGGGATCGTGTAGTAACTTCATCCAACAATTGAGAGCATGTTTTTTATGGTACATTTTTTTCTTTAGGATGCAAATTTAGCACTTTTTAAATTTTGTAGGGTATCGTTTATAGCAACGCAAGGTTCTGTCTCACTTCCCCATGGGGTTTCCCCGTGTATTAATATTTTTCGGGCGGCTTCCCACCTCTCCTTAGAGGTAGGTCAAGTTCACTGAGTTTCTAAAAGACGTTGAATAAAGGGATTAATTTTTTGTTTGTTGTACTGATCTCAAGTGCTGGCCACTTGATAAAACTTCTCCGACTTGCAGGCAATGAAAGAGAACTTGATCAACCAACAAACAAACAACATGTGAAGAAACAAGATATGATTAAGTTATAGGATGAGCGACAATTGATAGTTGAAAATGTTATCGCTAAGATCCTCTTCTCTTGATTAGCTATTCTTCTTGTGCTGGAATCGCATAGGGTGAGGGTAGGGTTTGGGGTACACTGCTAATATAAAAGTGACGGGGATGTGAAGAAATATCGATGCAACATTCTCAGGCCTTGTTGTAACGTCTTACTCGTAATGAACCGGTTTGGACTGAACGAAATAGCGATGGTACAGAGTTGAATGGCTGCGTTTGAAGTGATCCTTTTTGAAGTAAGGAATTCGTGTTTTTGAAAACAATCTTCATTTGTTTCTCCGTCACTTTGACTTCTCAGTTTTGTTAAAGAAATAGTTGAATAGCAGAACGTGATGTTTACTATGTAAACTTTGATTGAAAATCAATCTCAAGTAAGCTGTTACATCGCCGAAAACATATTTTGTTGTCGTTTTCGGCTGGTTTACGAATTTCAGTTTTATTTCTTTGACGCTTTTTGCATATATCAGATCAGCTTCTTTTCACGTGAATGCATGACGATTGTGGACATGTATAACTGATTTATTGAGTAACTGGTTAATTGAAAGCCTGAAATTATTGTATAAAGAAATCTTAAATAAAAAGTTTGAAAGGAGGACTGTCTTGTCTTAACTTTACTTCACACATGCATAGATCTACCTTAGAGAGACACATTATGGTTCATATGTCTTTAAGATTTTACTATCAGTTAAACTGTGCTCTTGGGACTCTTTCGGATTGATAAATCTCAAACAAGTGATGTCAGTATTCTGCACTTAACATTGAAAGTTTAGAAACTTTCTTTTAAATGGATTTACAGCTCCTCCTCCGGAGCCCCTTCTCTTCCAACGGTAATTTTGTCACAGCATCCTCTTGAAAGCAAAATAATGAGACACGTGACTTAATTTGTTTCGTTTGATTTAGAAGAACACGATCTATTTACAATGTATTCACTGTGTTAAGAAAAAAGACAAAGTTTATAGCTCCAGTTGTGCTTCGAAGAAACAAGTGAGTAAAGAAGGAATTCCTTCCGTAACCTTCTATGGTTCGTTTTCGAAGTCGACCTTAAGTTCAGTGCAAAACCTCCCGTTGAGCGTGATTTGCCTAACTCCTCCTTTAAAACCCTGTAATAAAAATAAGGTAAATGTTTTTTTTCGGTGAAGATTCATCTGGATTCCTTCGTTCTGGACTTGACCGGTACAGATTTCTAATCTACCTGAAGATTCGCAAGGATGGAAAATCATGAAAGTGGACCGCCCCGATCAATGAAACAGTACGAAAGAAAAACAGATTGTACTAAAACGAAGAGCATAAAATACCAAGGAGTACAACAGAAAGAAAAAACTGAAAACTTCATTATCTCTAATGGCAATATCTCCTAAATGTCTAATCATAAATTGATAGTATTAGGTCGAAGTCTTCTGTAGGCCATCATGGATAGAATGTATATGCAATTTCACTATGTCAAGTCAACGAACTATCTTATTCTTGATATGTAACCGATATTACACTGCTATGCTGATGTTCGGTGAGCTGACCCCTAGTAGCGCTGCTACAGCATTCGTGAACTAAGGGCCGGTACGAAGGCCTTTATTAGTTTCCGACATTTATCTGTATCTCTCTATCGGATACACGAGAGATTCAGATGATTTCAGACTTTAAGTCATTCTTTAGAACAACGAAAAGTGCAATGGCATCGCTCTTTAATGAGCCGCTAAAAGAGAGGGAAGAGCTGGTGGCGAGTTGATATTTCACTCCTCCGTACATGAAGCAGCCATACAGCTAAACTGGTAGAAACATCAGTAGGAGATAGCGTGGAAGAGAAAATGAGGAATGTGTCGTTTAGTTCTTCGGATTTCGAACTCTTTGACCCAGATATCACACCTCAAGACTATGAATTCTACCAGAAGCACAAGGACGCATTGAAGAGTTTACTGGAAGACCAGGTATTGAAATGATCCGTGAAAATAATGATATCATTACCATCGAAACTACCTCGAATCGAAATCGGTGTTCGATCATATGAATTCGTGTTTTTCCATTTCTACCAAGTTTAATCGTTCTCTAGTACTTTTAGGACAGTGGGTTCATTTTTCAATCTAATTTACCGATATTTGAAATCGTTCTGACGAACAATAACTGTGTTACTCTTCTCTTCATTCTTCAACCCTCTTCCCCACACGAAAAACAGTGTAAGTCCAAAACTAGTATACAAGCTTACCTCAAGAACAAAACAGCTGAACTATCAGCTTTCGTGTACATGACGTAACGCGATCAGTGTAAGAGACAAATTTTAACATAATTCGTTAACTAATATTTTGATGAAAATCAGCTCGAGTCATAATTGCCCCTGAGAGTTTTGTCAAATGTTTCTATCCTAGTTGCTTATCTGATTGAATCTTTATTTTGGAAACAAAACAAAAAAATAACAGGGATCTCAATAATCTTTTAGGAGCAGCAATGTCTGCAACAGTTGCCTATAATTTCATACTGATTTGTGGCACAGAAAAAAAAAAGGTTTAAGATTTGTTGGTGCTAATCATGCTAGCCACCAACACTGAGGTGAATAGTGGTTTTTGTCTGTGTGATGGAAGCATTAGCCATCAAAATTGTAATTCTCATTGTGGTACACCATGTGAAAATTTGAATCATTTCTAAATACAATTCAGGAAAGATTTCCATTTGCTAGGTGACATGATCAGCTGTTTTACACTGCAGCAACAAGCTCTGGGTCTCTGCTCTTGTAATGGCAGATTATACTTTGACAAGATCTTGCCGGTTTTAAATGTCGCTAACATTTTTAATCATTTTAGACACAAGAACGAAAGCAGAAGTTTGTTGAGGCTTTCAGGGATTTTTCATTAAATCATGGCTGTATGAAAGACTTTCCACTTAAGGTATGTATATAACCCTTGATAAAAATTTCAATCTCAGTATTGTGTAAAGAAACAAACCTTAATGAACATTTTTGATGTCACTTTTATGATCAATTAGGTTATAGAAAATAGGAAATTGTGGTTGATTTGTCAACCTGATATCAGTAGCATAAAATTATTTAAGATCTACTCCTTTCTTTAAGAATTGGTATATATGGGAGGAACATATATTTATATATATATATATATATAGATATATTGAGATAGGGGAAAAGTGAAGGGACCATAATTTCATCCCTACAAGCCTTTTTTGTGATTACTAACTCATCAGGGGATTTTGAAGTCCCATGGTGAGTCAGTAATCATGAAACAGGCTTGTAGGGATGAAAGTATTGTCTCTTTATTTTTCCCTATCTCAACATATATTGTGCTCTACTTCTATGAATCAAGCACTGCACTATGGAAAAATCAAAACACAGACTTCCCATATATATATGACTAATTGAAACTTCTGAGCTTTTGAACTAAATATCCTCCATTGATGATGCAATATTGAGGCAAAGGACCAAATTATTTATAATGAAATTCTCAAAAGGAAAGTATATTTTTCATCTTAGAAAGCTAATTTTTTATTTTTAATTGTTTTTTGCTCTCTCTTGACAGAATGAACATAGCTTTATAGTTGATGTCATAGAAAATATTTCCAAAAGTTTTGTTGAAGGTAATATTCAGTTTTGCTATTTAAAGCAGTAGGTTAAGAAGCTAAAGTAGGCACCCTAAGACAACAAACATTTTCAAGACCACAGTTTTAGTAACATTTTAAGTAACTGGATTGTGATACAAAATGGGTGGCTATTTCTCTGAATTTCATGCTTCAGTACTGAAAATTGTGACATAAGCATTTGGAAAAGCTGGCATGTTTTTTGGTGGGTGGTGAAATGTAGCGGCTGCTGGCATATTTTGACAACCTTGTAGGACTGTATTTGTTTTGTTTTTGCTTAATTTGAGTGTCAATGAAATAATTGACTGGAAGCTGTATCATAGTTTTAATAGGTGCTGACTGAAAAAACAGACTAACATTAAGAATGCAAATTAAAATGTAGAGCACAAAGAACACAGGAAAACTAGAAATAATGTTCTTCTGGTTCATTTTCCTTTGCTGTTTTTGAGCCCCATTAGCAGTATATACAATTTGTTAAGTCCTTTCTGCTCATAAACTTTTTCTGAGGTTTAAAAGTGCACTTTTCTGTGTTGTCACAGGTAAGGCAAGCAAAGGTAAATATTTGGTCACAGATGCTGTTTGTCTGCTTCAAAACAGGGGCATGATTCAGAACCTGGGTGGTAGTTCCTCATGTGGTAGGTAGACACCTTTAATTATTTAAACCTGAAATTGTTTTTGTTGTACCTGTGAACCCAAAACAGTTCTGCCCTTGATATTAGTATGATCTTGCAGTGTTTGATTTCCTTTACTGATTTGTTTGTATTTTGGGGAACATCAATCTTCAGCACATGATTACATTTTGGTGAACTTTGTAACTCTTATTTACTCTACATTCTATGCTTTACCATGAATTATAATACATGAACCAGTTTGGGCTTTTAGTCATCATCTTCTCACTTGCTCTTTAACTGTTGTATTAATACATTTGTCTCAACAGTGTGTTGGGAACTCCATTATTTCCTTCTTATCACAAGCTCTGAACCCTTTCACTCCCAAGATCTCAATAGTAATTCTCCTTACTCTCTTCCATACAATTCTTATGATGTCAGTTCTGTGAATTTGGCATTGGTTCAAATAACAATAGTTGATATTTTTCTTTATTCTCATCACTTTTCTGCTTGATGTTGTTTTTGAAATTGTAAGGAGAAATTCTGTCTTAGTCACCCATGTGAGTTGAAGGGTTAAAATTGCTGGGTATTTTGATACCTTACCAAAGATGTGTAGTATTGCATGTTCTAGTAACTCTGCAGTCTAAAACATATGTTAAACATTTGATTTTTATATCCTCAGCCAAAGATCCCTTTGTTCACAAAGATACAAGGTATGTTGTGTAAAGTGACAGTAGCCTGGGATTGATGAATCTATCACAGCTCTTAGAAATTTACATCATTTATCCTTGATGTAACGAAATTGTTGAATAACTGTGAGGTTGATTCTTTCTTTGTTTTTAGAGATGTGTTTCGAAGGCTCTTTGGAGAACCAGACCAAGAGTCCCGATTAAAGGTTATTATCTTTAGTTTCACCATACATTTATACAGACGGAACATATATATATATATGAAATAATTTTGCATTATTTTTCTTCCTTGCTTTTAAAAATTCTATTGAAGTTAATCAACAGAAGAATGTGGACTTGATGTTTATAGGCTGTGGTGGTATATTCTCTGTACGTAAAGTTCGGTGGATCAGTTTGTCGCTATTTAAGGCGTTGGCTAGAAGCAGGGAAACTCGATGAGCTTGGTGTCACGTCCTTGTCACAGGTGCCTGTCAGCAACTCTGAATCAACCCAAAGCGTAAGCACTAAAGAGGACAATACCACAAAAGCTTCGTCCACTGAAGTCGTCAAACCAAGCGGAGGTCCGATGGTGGCAGTGGCTACTATAGGTCGGAATGGAGGAGCGTCAGACAGCTCTGAGGAGGAGGAGGAGGAGGAGGAGGAGGAAGATAGCTGGGAGGCCAAAGTCATAAGAGGTATAACGTCAGTGCTAACGGACAGGGGGGGAGCCTCTGCTATTGATTTCATGGAAGTGTATAAACGGGACAAAGACGGCTCCTACAGGAGGCTGAGAGAACAGTTTCACCTTGGAAAGCCTCACCCGAACGTCGAATTTGAAGAAAGGTGTAGGAAGAAAGAGGAAGAAGTGATTGAAGGTAGTCGGCTACGTGAGGTGATTATGAAGGACTATGCTGAGAGCTGTACTAAGAAGAAACACGCCTGTGCTAACTGTAGGCAAGTTGAGAGATACGCGGGAACGTTTAAGAAGTGTCAGAGGTAAGGGTACCTTTTGTATCTGAACAATGGCTTCATAATGGTGGAATGCTTCCAAAGCGTACATATTCATGGACGAAGCAGGCGAACTCAGTCTCACCCAGAGCGCAAGTTCTGTGTGATGGTTTGTTTCGTTTTGTTTTTTTGTTCTTTTTTTCAGTTTTGCGGACTGAGGTGGTAATCCACGATTCTCAATTTTCGGCGAAAAAAAATCTCGTAAACTTTGCTACCGTTAGTAGAAAAAAAAAAAGTTGTTTTATGACATCTGCTTCCAAATGAGTTGTGAATTTGTATTGTTCGTTGTCAACTCCAAATAACTTGACATGTAAGGAATTGGAAAATGACGTTTCCTTCCCAACTTTTTCTTGCTTAGATAGAAAAGCGAACGAAGTTATATTCTTGGAAGAAATGTTACCCGTCTGAAACTGCAAGAATTTGTTCCCGCCACGCCGAAAACAAATTGTCAATTCGCGAGAAAAAACTCTTTCTGGATTCTCATTTTACATGATGTTTGTTTTTCTCTGGGAAACCTACTAGTCTCGATCGTTTATTCTTTTACATATTCTTATAGGTGCAGTGGAAAGGGTACAAGATTTTACTGCAGTCGTAAATGCCAAGGTGAGACAAAGTGGCGTGAATTTTGACAACTGTTGATGAGTTTCAATATTTTACACGAGTGAACTCAAACAAGTGGCTTGAAATGGGGCCTAACACTTGATCAACAGGTCACCCAGCGGGAAAACTTAAAGTACACAGGAGAGTGGAGGTTTAGGATTGAAACAATAAACTTTGTCTTTAGATGAGTATTGACTGCTCTATTCTATTACTAGGTGAAGACTGGGTTTCAAGGCATCGACAGGACCACTCTACAATGGATTTACCATCATAAAATTGTTAAGTTTCTGGCCTATTTCTCTCCACTATGGTAATCAAATACGATTCTCATAGTTTACTGAAACGATCACTGGAGAAGTTCTCAATAGTTACCTTTGTAAAGTTTTGGTAAGTAAGAAGTAAAACTTAGATACTGTGTAGCCATCCAGCTAAGAGATAACCAACGTGTGAACGTCAAAAAAAGAAATTATGCCAAACAATTTTTTATGTGCTAGACTGCTCTTAGGTTCATTGTACTGATTTTTGTTGACTGTTATGAATACAAGTACATGGAGTCTCCTTTGCAGCCGTTCTTTTGTCTCGTTACGCAACGCCTCTTTCCCCACTAGAGAGAGATAGGGCGTTGCGTGACGAGACCAAACAACGGCTGCGGAAATATGACACAAGGTGATCCTATCGAACGTAAAATGTGGATAACAATTTACCACACTGCCGTCTTGAACTGTATGTATAAGGTCAATTCTATATCTATGTGGTAATAAGATAACTCCCATAATAAAGGTGCAACTTGTGAGGTTGATGTTTAGTTCCTGTGGACGATGTTTTGAAGTACGCATGGTGACAAAACCTCCTAAGTACTGCACAACAAGACAAACAAGATTTCAAACCTTTATTCTCGTACTTACCACCGGCATCCGGTTAGATCGCACCATGGTTAGATCGCTCCACTCGGAAGTTAGATCGCTCCATCAAATAAGTTACTTCGTTACCAACATAAGTTCGCTCCATGCTATAAAGTAAAGTATTACATACCAATGATCTTTAAAGTTTAAAGGTGATGATGTGTCTCGCGACGATTCGTGTATCGTATTCACTCTGTCCTTCAGATTAGTTACCGATGTATGATGTATAGCGATGATGGAATAAATGATCGTGGAATAAATGATAACGTTATCGTCTGATTATTAGAATTCAAATACCAATACTATCCAGTGTGGCCTTTTTTTCTGTTTGATGTGAGGAAACTGATATCCGCCATCTTAAATAAATAAAGTAGATTACACTTCGTGAGTCCCTTTCATAAGGCTTTATTTGTTCTTTCTGCGTAGCTCGGATCTATTTCAAGCGCGCGCGAGCGATAATCTATCGTTCGGTAAGATATGCACGTCATTTAATGAACTATCAATTTAGACACGTTAGCTTTGCTATCTTTACCTTAGTTTTCTACACGGAGCGAAGTAACTTATGTAGGGAGTGAAGTAACTTATTTGATGGAGCGATCTAACTTTCGAGTGGAGCGATCTAACTTTTGGTTGAAGCGATCTAACTGGGAACGATGTAACCGTGGTGCGATCTAACCGTGGTGCGATCTAACCGTAATTCTTCCACCAAATAATTATAATGACCCTATAATAAGTTAAATTGGATTGCTGCGTGAGGGATTTGAGGCCAAAAGCGTTTACTGCTATTATATCCGTGTTACCTCAGTGAGCATATATGTAAGGGAACCCAAAAGGTCCATGAATGTTGCCGAACAATTTTAGAACCTTGAGCTGTTGGTCTGAAAGGGAGTTAAAGCCACTGGAGGTAATTTTGTGTAATAGCTGAATTGCTATTTCCTCAGTGCGCTCAAATTGATAAAGCAGCCGGCTTTTGTTGTCAAAACGACAGCCGCTTGTACGACCGACAGAACAAGGATGATTTCTAAGCATTCATCACTGCCCTGACGGAAATTAGTTACTTGAGGGGAAAAAAAGATGTTACAGAAAGTTTTGTTGTTCATGGTGGTGTTAAAGACGAATGAACGGTTAAACGTTTGTCTCGCGATGTAAGAGTAGTCAGTCTAATCAATCGTGTATTGATCGCGATGTTTCGAAAGTCATACTGGATATACTGCTAGTTTTCGCCGAAGGCGAAATGAATATTATTGAATAATCCTCGAGACGAAGTGGAGGTGATTATTCAACAATATATATACTGATTCTGAGGCGAGTAATTGTTTTAGTATAATTGCTCAGGTGCTATCGAGTTGTGTTGTAGATTCATTCTGATGTTGACACCATTCCGTAAATAAAGAAAACTTTGCGTATTTTCTGTTACAATTGTTTTCATTATTTGCATCAAGATAAGTAGCCTGTTTCCTTTTTACAGCGAAAATTTTATATCCTACTTTTGAGAAGGGTTGCACCAAACTTAATAGCATCTTTTGTGCTTTCCAGAATTGAATTTCTTCTACTGTGTTTACCATTTTCTCGGTAACGTTGACAAAACGCGAGACAGCCATTTTGAAATTTAGCGCTCAAGCTATGATCCCCAAACACGAGGTGATTATAGCGAGATATGGGGCAATCCTTTACCAATCAGAGCGTGTGCATCCTAATAATCACCAGAGCAATTTACACTAAGGGTCGTTATAGCTAACCTGTACATGGAAAAGTTTGAGGAACAGTCGATGATTACATCACCTCAAAAACCTAAGATCTGGAAGCGATATATAGATGACACCTCTACCATCTTAGATCTAAATAACGTTTAGAGCTTATTACAACATTTAAATAAACGAAAGCCTTCTATCCACTTCCTGTGGAAGTCGAGAAAGCTAACACCATTCTGGACATGTCAGTTTGTCGGGCCGCCGAAGGTTAGCTCAGCACCGGCATGTTCAGAAAACCTAGTCATACTGACCAACACTTAGCTTATGAATATTACCATCCTCAGTCAGTAACATGGGTTATTGTGAGGTTTGTCTATACGACCGGGCCAAACACCTTATAACACCTTATATCACCAGTTCTTGTTGTAAACAGAAATCCACCCTCATTTGTGCGAAAGATTACAGAGACAAAAGGATCAACAGTCAATGAGAAGCCCACACATGATTTCAAGTCTACTGCGGTTCTATCCTACATTAAAGGTGCCTCGGAGATTCTTTACCGCTGTCTTCAACAACAAGGCGTGTACACCATCTTTAAATCTAACACAACTATCAGGTACGACCTGAAGATCCCATCGAGTTAGCGAAACGAGACGGCGTTTTTTACAAAATCCCGTGTGAATGTAGCAAGGTATACATCGGAGAAACAGGGAAAGTGATGAAAGACTAGAATAAATAACATGAAAGAGATGTGCGGTGTACTTGCACCCAGAATTCGGCGGTTTCAGAACACGCCAATGAAACGGGACACATGGAAACGTTTCTGTTTGGAAACAGGTTAGGTTATTGTAGACGCTGGTATACACGAAGGGTTAAAGAAGCCATCCACGTGAGACTTTATCCTTAAAACGTCAATAGAGATGACGAAATTGAAATTCCTGAACCGTGGATACCTAAAAAAACCTTAGCAGCTGATTAGTAACGGAGCGGACCTATGAGGGAACAACATAGTTTTATAAGTAATAATAAGGATTGAAATGCTCGCTATAACACCAATAACAAACCAAAGTGCTATAAGTAAGGACACATAAACTTTCGACCTCGTCGCTTGACGAAAACTGGCAGCATAGCAGTAGAAACGTCGCGATCAATGCACAATTGATTAGCGTGAGTCTTACAACCCGAGACACGACAGTTATTAAAAAAAAAGAACGATTTTGCACATCCACATATCCCTTTAACATTTTGGTAAACAGAAACCTGTATTAAGAGTGCACCTTTGTGAGATCGTGTATCAAAGGTTGTGATAAATTGCGAGGTAACCACAAGCCTTACTTCTGTTTTCTAATACGTAAATCTTTCATTATCATCAGCCACTTAATGAAATTAATTACATGGAGCGTCTCTCTCGTTTCCATGGTGAATTGTTGGAAAGGAAGGTGATTGCAATTATGGCTGGAAACAAGTTAGCCGTGCGTTCTGCTTGTTTTCCAACTGACATGCTTCACTATCGCAAAGTGTCCGTTTAACAGAGGTGTGGGTCACAAAATAGCCCACAGGATCCAAGCCTATTTGGTGGAGGTGTCGTTGAATTCCGTATTCACCATTCAAAAAGAGCGACTAAATTATTACCAAGGAAAAGTTCTGTTTATTTACAAAGATAATTCCAACAATATTTTACACAACGGCTTTGGTAAAACCCTCCCTATTTACAATCTACATTCTCCACTACGTTAGTCGACCGAAAATGATTTCAGGAACTTGTGTGTTACTTCTAGCTTTTCCAGGGGTTTTGCTCCTGATGTACCATCTGCAGTTTGCGCCAAGTCTTCTGATTCGTTTTCAAAGCCATCTGCAGGGAGAGCAACGAAACAATGAATGAGAAAGTGGAGCCAAGGTAATGAGTATATAACACGTATTTCTAAGGATTGCTAAGGTCGTTGGACAAAGATTTAAGTGACAAGACAGGAGCATTGATTCTCAGCTACGAAACAAATCTTATGCACTGATAGTTGAAAACTATTCACCGAAGTGGAGGAGAATAGTTGTTTTAGTTCTTAGAGAGGTACTATAGCACAAAAAGATTACTTTAAATCATTTAATTGCTGCAACGATTTCAATATTTTCGGGCACAAAACCTGCGCGAGTTGGTCAGAGGTAAATAGCATATATTTGATGTTTGAGTAGCTAATCAGAGCGTGCTTTCGACGCTATCCACTGTTTTAGTATATTCTGACAACAAAAATCCCAAGAAGTACGTGAAAATGCTACAAAAAGCATGGAAATATCAATATACTCACCCGTGCTATTTCCACCTTTCTCTCCCACATGTGAACCTGTAAAATGTGACATACCATTTATGATCAAAACTTCATACTTTGGAAAAACCTGATTTTTTGGCTGCCTAACATAAAAATTAAAGTTTCATTATGAGAAAACACTAAATCAAACAAAGAGAGCAGTCTTTAACCTAATCAACTACCTGATCATTCTATTAGACGAGTAAAGGGATCTCCTTTAAACGCTTTAACAAAATATTTGATTTGTTTGACAACCTCTGCTTTAAGGATAAAAGGAAGTTCATGCTTAGTGATGCTCTTGAATAGTCCAATTCACAATCTTGTGCTTCTTTGCCAAGCCTTTGAACCATAGTAAGGCTGAGGGGGAACTCAATATTATAGAGATGGGGAACTAGTGAGCATAACAAGAGAGCCATTAACTATGAAAAACAGCTTGGTCTATATCATAACAAGGTTACCTCCAGCCAAAAACCTATTCAAGGGTTTTATGACAAGAAAAAAAACTGAAAATGGACTACACACACAAAACTGGTTAGCAAACAAAGTATGGGAACTTACAGTTTTGTTGAGTTCATACAGGTCTGCTCGTTCAGTAACATAATCCAAAACCTAAAAGACAATGCATTGTGAGATTATATTAACTTCTCATCATATGAAAAGCAGCTGTATCAACTTAACAGAGGTTACAGCAGTGAATACTCACATCAGGTACTTTGTAGTCCGCAAGTTGTTGTTTCAACTTTGAGTTTAATGTCTCTGCTTTTGTTCGCTCCTTAAAAGTAAGAGCAGGTAAGTTAAAAAAAAATTGCATTTGGATATGCTGTGAAGTTGGGTTTGATGGAGAATGAGAAATAATCTTTTTTGGTTAGGGTGAAAGTCATTAGAAAACTTCACAGAGTCATTAGGAAACTTCAACACTTTCAAGATACCCTGTTCATTACCAGGGGTATACTTGAAGAGCCTGGGGTTAAGGTGAGTGAGAGCTAAAAATTCCAAACAGAAACCAAGTTCTACTGTTTTGCTGGAAGTATAAAAAAAAAATTACACTGATAAAACATCATATGAGTGCTTCTGCTGTGAATGGCCTTTTTTTTTTTTTGGTAATTGTCCACCTCAATTATTCCCAAACCAGAAGCCCTTAAAAGAAAGAAAGAAAGAAAAAAAAACTAAAAAACACACAGGCAAATGAGCAATATTATTGAAGAGAGCAAAGTACCTTTTCAACCATATGTGTTTCCGTATCAATCTTAGATAGCAGCTCATTTCTTTGCTGAATTTCTAGTTTTAACCTTGAGGACTCCATGGTCAGGGTGTGCAACTTTTTCTTGTATGTGTTGAGAATTTGTTGTACATTGCCATCCATAAGTTTAAGTCTAAGTAGATCTTGATTCTTTTCATCAATCTTTTCAAGGTATTGTTGGTTTTCAATTTTCAGTTGATTGAAGTCCACCTCATGTAGAACTTCACCCATTTCTTCTTTCTGGAATAACAAAGACACTCAGTTCATTTCAGTGGAAAAAAATATATCTCCTCATATGTATGAAGTATTTATCACAAACCTGCTTTAGTTGCATGTGCAGTTTCCTCTTTTGAACCTTCAGTGTTGAGTTTTTAAGTCTCAACTTCTCTATTGTAGTATCCTAGAAAAGCAACATTTGGATATTCAGTTGAAGAATCTATATATCCACTCAAAATACATTGGTCAATAGGTGGCAACAAGTTTGAAATCAGAGTATCTAAATGACTCTGAGGTAACAAAGCAAGCCCAGAGTTCAGAGTTGTTCTTCTCAATGTTTACAAAGACTAACATGGGTATATTTTATGAGGTCCACAATACATGCACACACTTCAACAAAATGTAGAAAAAGTTTGGATATAGCAAAATAGTTTCCACTGTTCATAAAACTCTAGCTGGTGTATTTAGTGATACACCTGCATGTACATTTGTGCTAAAAAAAAATCAAATTCTCATGGACTAACCCTCGCTCTCAGTTTATCTTCAATGTATCTTGTGACTCTCTCTGCAATAACTTTATTAGTTCTCTGCCAAATAGAAATAAAAGAACAAGTCATTTATGATTTGTAAAATGTAAAAGAACTGCTTGGATCTAAAGTAATTAATTGATTAAGCTTTCTCCAATTCTAACAAACACACACACAAATGCAGTACCTGGTTGACAGCTCCTTTGACAACATCTCTCTCAAATTCATAAGAGGCCTTCTTAATTTCAGCACTTCGAATATCTGCCTCTTCCATGACAGCCTTGAAGCCAAAAAATATGGTAACATTATGATCTCCCCTTCCTGTTCTATTACAATTTAAAGAATTTCCATATGTTTCATTTGATGTAATCATCCTTCATGAGACTATTTTAAACTATGACATTGACTACCTCCCAGTTGCCTTGCAAGTTCCCATTCATAGAAGTGCTTCTGCAGTATCCCAGGATTTTCATTGGTTGGAATGCCATTCAAGGCACACTTTTGTTTAGTTAGTTCTCCTTTTAAATCATAAAATGACATTACTTTCCATGACTCTTTTTTCAGTCGATGTTTACTATGAATTCTGGTTGAGAGGTCAGTCCCAAAAGTGACAACAATCATGTAATGAAGGCATTCCTTTTCTATTTTTGTTTCCACAACTTTCAATGATCCACATTTAAATTTCAAGGCCCAGGGGGCCTTCAATGACATATGAAAAACCCTGTATTGCAAGATACACATACCCGGAAGTTATCAAGGATCTTTTCAGATTCATCCCTGCGTTTCTCAATGTCATCTCTAAGTTCTTCCAGTTCACGCTGGGCAATGTCACATTTCTGCTCTGCATTTAATTTCAAATGCCTTTGGGGTGGGAAATTTGTTACATATAAAAATTAGTTTTTTTTTCATACACTTTTCATAAAATCATCAAAACAGCTTCTTACACAACTAACAAAGGATCAAAAACATTCTAACAAGTCTTTAAAAACCTTAGGAGTCTATGTTATAGGTTAGAAGGGAATTCAGGTCAAATTGATTTCAAACTGTGTTGATTTGTAAGTTTCTTTTTTTTAAGAACCACAACAATGTATTGCAAACAAAGTGAAATAAAAACTAGTCAGACTATTTTATGAATTACGGTCAACTCGCCGATGGTCCAACTCGCCAACGCCAATGTATAAAATCAAGTAGAGACATCGGCGAGTTGGTCCTCAATCCAATACAACTTATTACAAGTTAAACATACAGAAAAGTAAACGATATTTAGTAAAAAACACTGGTGAACATTGGTGAACATCAAACATAAGCCTAAACATTGGTGAACATTGGTGAACATCACCAATGACTATACCAGCTTAAGACGCGAACGAGTTATCTCGTTCGCGTCTAAAGCGGATATAGTATATATATATTATATATTGTATATATAATATATATATATATATATATATCTCATGTCAGTCTGTCTTATTTATTTAAGTCAAGTCGCTTGGTAAAAAGTCAACCCACAAACGGTGTTGTTGTCACACAATAATTATCTTGTTTGCGTCTGAAGCGGATATAGTCATTGGCGATGTTTACTTTGCTTTATTCGTCTTGAGATCCTTATAAACTTTGTTGCAAATAAAAAGAATTGCTTTTTACTAAAGATCTTGTCTAGAAAGCCAAGTTTTCTTTAAAAAATCTGAGCAATTGACATGATGAGTCTTTACAGTGTTGTTGTCACACAATAGCTCGTTCGCGTCTGAAGCGGATATAGTCATTGGCGATGTTTACTTTGCTTTATTCGCCTTGAGATCCTTATAAACTTTGTTGCAAATAAAAAGAATTGATTTTTACTAAAGATCTTGTCTAAAAAGCCAAGTTTTCTTTAAAAAATCTGAGCGATTGACATGATGAGTCTTTACGGTGTTGTTGTCGCACAATTATAAACTTGTTCGCGACTTTAGCTGTTATAGTCATTGGTGATGTTCACCAATGTTTAAGCTTCTGTTTGATGTTCACCAATGTTCACCAGTGTTTTTTTTACTAAATATCATTTACTTTTCTGTATGTTTAACTTCTAATAAGTTGTATTGGATTGAGGACCAACTCGCCAACATCTCTACCCGATTTTATACGTCGGCGAGTTGGCTTTGGTGAGTTGGACAGTCGGCGAGTTGACTGGATACCCTATTTTATTATCAAGAGGGTAAGTTTCTAGAGGAACTGTGGTGCTGCGTCGGTGGGAGAGTATAACATGGTAATCGAGTATTATCAACTGAGTTGATAATGTAAATTGGCCACTATAAAGAGTTTAGAAGCTGACCTCTTTATGGTGGCCAATTTATGTCATCAACTCAGTTGAGAATACTAAATTAACCCTTTTTTATAATCATTTTGACTTGAATTTATACTACAACATTTCTATTGGGAAAAGGAATAATGCATTGCAAATATCATATTTCCCTTTGCTTGTTTGTACATTAATTTTATTAATTCTCTTACCTGTCTAATGATGGTCCTCTTGATCTTGATCTCTTTCTCAGTCCTCTATGACTTTGTTCAATCACAGGTTGGGTTGGGCCTTGAGTAGCTTCAATGAAACATTTGATTATGTGCTTACTGGATCATTTCTAGTAAACTTACTATTTAATTGCAATGTAAATCTCTATCAGCATGATTTTAGCACATAACACTGATTAAAATAATCGCTTACACCTTCCCCTGTATCAAACACCAAGGAATAATCAAAGATAGGAGGAAGAGAAACAAATTTTTTTTTACAACTTACTGGCTTGCTGGAGTCCAATGTCCTTTGGATCAACTCTCTTGAGGAATTTCTCAAACATCGTAGTCTCGTTTTTGAGAACATCATTGGCATGTCTAAAAAGGACCATACCGCGGTTAATCGAGATTTTAGTACTAGCAGTAGTCAGAATTATTCGCAAAATGTAACTTGATAAACAACCCCCTTCGAATCAACAATTACACCAAGTTAATCTAAAACTGTCCTTTTAATTCTCACTCTTTCATGCTTTGCCTCTTTCTTGTTGTCACCATTTATCACAATTAGTATTTTTCTACTTGTTATATATTCAACTTCCAACGATTTGTACATTAATTAACTGAAGATGACAGAAGTTTCTGACGAAACATGTTTTACAAACTTAAAAGTTTTGTCGTTTACTTCCAATTCTTAACTTGATAAACAAGGTAAATTTTACTCAAAAGACAAGAGCAACTTTTTTGCGAAACAGCAATGAACATGGTGATAGAACCTTACATTTTGCCCGTTAGAGACCACCAAACAAAGTTGCAACAAATGCTACATACAAGTAAGCAAGCTGAAGACTTATGACCAAAGTCAGTTATACCTTTGTTCCATTTATTCTCTAAACATCCATCCTCCAGATTTAAAATAATCACTTCAGAGCTTGTCTTGTACTTACATTGTTTCCTGTACGAGGTTGTAAAGTTCTTCGTCAGTGAGTTCCGCCAAAGGCTCTTCATCGTGATCCAAAGAACTACTAACATCCACATCGGACATCGCCATCTTAATTTCCTTTCCGTTGCTACGACGAGACGTTACCATGGCAAACATACAGCCCATGCAACCGAGGCTGGGTCTGTACATGGGCATGGGATCGAGGCGGAACGTTTCTAAACGTTTGGCGGCCATCTCTGAGGTTTTCAAGGAGTTGGTAATTTTTGCAATCCGGTTGCATCTGGTAACTTCAGCTTGCAACCATGAAACTTGTTAGGTGAGCCGACTACGAATTTAGCGGTACCTTTTTGCAAGGTCGTACAATATTGCTTGCTTTATAACTATAATGATTATCTTCATTTGGCGTCTTCTCCTTAAAAGGTTTTTGATGAAACTAAGCCATGAAACGGTGACAATCGAACTAAAAAATGGAACAGTTGTTCATGGAACTATCACAGGTGAGTATGAATGTAGCTAGAGCGCGATATGCGTCTGTTTATTTTCTGCAGAGGCAAATAGCAAAGACATGTTCTTAGGTTGATCAGGAAGCTTACATTAATCATATGTAGACAACGTGGATTGAGCCTCAATCTCCTATTAGCTTGTATAAATCTAAATACATGTTCGCTTTTAAGTTAATTTTAACTCTCCTTAGCTCAGATACCTTGATTAAGCTGGCGGATCGTTTCCAGAGATAAATTTTACTAGTCATGTTTACGTGGGAAAGTTGTTGCCTAAGCTGAGTTTCCAATGCCTGGCATGGTTTTTATCTTTGTTTGGGTCATGACCTCAGCAATATCATGAAATTTTCCTTCTTACAAGCTTCAGAATTATTAACGTTTTCTCTGAAGTTCCCGTGCAAGGAGACATTTTCCTTAGTAACTGTTGTACGGGTGTCATAAGTTATCAAACAACAGACACAATGATATTTGTGGTTTGATGGTCCAGTAATGTGGTGGGCCAATTTCTCTAGTCATTTGGTAAGCTGGGGTTTCAAGATCCATCCTGGTTAAGGTGCTGGACTTGTTATCTGGTGGTCCTGGGATCAAGTCTTCCATCCTTGGCCACCCCAAGTTCAACTCCTCCACTGTGCAGTGTGGATAACTAACTGCCTGCCTCCTACCTGTTGGATTTTCGAGAACTTTATGTATATTTGCAATATTTGTTTTTCCCTCCATCATGTTTTAAAGTGCTTAAAGTGCTATATAAATTGTGAATTTATTTATCTAATTTTTTTATCTGTGAACGTGGTTAGTGCTATCAGCCAAATATTGAAGAGAGAGTTCGTCTTAGAGGTTGTTTGTAGGTTTGAAAAATACAGTTTTGCTGGGTTGATTGACTGATGTGTTGCAACTGTTTCTAGTGCCCATACCAGGACCATGTATCTTAAAAATCAACCACCACTTGTGGGTTCAAACTAGTAATTTTGATGAGATGTTGTTTTTTCCCTATAACTGTAGGTGTGGATATGAGTATGAACACACACTTGAAGGCTGTGAAAATGACTATAAAGCACAAGGAACCAGTACAGTTAGAGTCACTGAGCATCAGGGGCAATAATATTCGCTACTTCATTCTCCCAGAAAGCTTACCATTAGACACACTTTTAGTTGATGATGCTCCCAAAGCTAAGGCTAAAAAGAAGGAAGCAGGTATGTTCTTGTTGTTTTATTACTTTACATTCCTTTTGTTTAGTGGTATTTGTAACAGCCATTCTAGGACTAATTCTTATGTTATACTGCATTAAAGAGAAAGGCTATGAGAATTTATGTTCCCCGCATTTTGCAGTGAAAGCTAGTCATATAAATTTGTTAATTTTTTTTTGTACCATGGATATTTATTTCTGGTCCAAACAATGTTGCTTTAAATACACAAGTAAATGAGAAGTTAGGAGGAAAGAAAAATGAGGTCTGCATCTCTATATTGAAGTGCAGATCTGATTTTGGAATGTGAAGGTTAGAAAAAAGCTTTTAACTTGCTATATTTGCTTTTAATAGCTGCCAGAGGAAGAGGTCGTGCCACTAGTGGGAGAGGCAGAGGGCGTGGCAGAGGCAGGGGTAGAGGAAGAAGATGATCTTACATTTAGATCACATAGCAAAAACATTAACATCTAAAACTGGAGGATCCCTCAAGTTACTGTGGCTTTTTTGATTCTAAAAACTCTCCTAGAGATGCTAAGAATTATTAAATTGGATCTATGCTAAGGTGATGTCATTGACAATACTGCACTTTGTTAGTGATAGCAGCTTAAATTAAAATATTTTAGCATTCATAAAGCCACTGCAATGAGGCCATGAGGACCAGTCTTAACTACACTATTGTATAGAGCATAGGATTGTGGGATAGTGTGGCCTCAATCCAGAGGGATAGGATTTAACCTGATCTGCAGGAAAACAGGAGTTTGTTAAGAAAGAGAACAGTTTGCATGCAAGTTTTTTTGGTTTGTTAGTAAAATGTAAATAAACATTTTGAACTGATTACATGAGGTCTGTGTCTTCACTGACCAACCTGTTCTGTTGAACTGTTGAATCCAATAGACAGGATTATTTTTAAATTGATGACAGATGAAATGAAGCATTTCTTTATTACAAGTTGTGTGTTAGGAAGTGCTTCACAATTTATTGATCACATATGGATGACTGTCTTTTTCAAGTGCATTTGAGCCCTTGCCTACAAAGCTTAGGTAGCTTGCAAGTATGCCCTCGTTAGAAATTATTAGTCCTTCTGTGGGAAATTATGAGGCTCCAAGTGACAGGAACTGGCAAGGGGTCTGTCTCTGATAAAGCAGATCTTTTGCTGACTTGTCTTGTATAAGGACTTAAACTTCCTTTCAGGGGAAGAAACTTTGGCCATAGGGTTAATAATGAGCTCCTGCTCACAGGCTAAAGTTTCGAGGGTTACTACTTGTGGCTGTGAAGCGGTGGTAAATCTTTTATATAGACAATCTCCAATCAATTGAAGTGCAGTAAGGATTGTTTGATGTATAATTTTCTTTGTCCTCTACGTGGTTTTCACAGAGAGATTAGTTTACCAAGGACAGCTATACAAAGTTTCATCATTGGGGTTGATTTGGCAGGGAGTCCATTTATGGTAATTACCATGGGTTCTATGCGGAAATAGAAATGAGCATTGGATATGGCCCGCCTTAGAAGGTGTGTTGTTTCAGCTTTAAGCGGCAAAATTACCCAGTGGGTGGAACGAAGAAAATGCTTATTTTAGAAGCCCTGTGACCTTTATATTCATTGAGTACAAGATCCTAGCAATGTAGGTAAGAGTTACTGTAGAAAGCACCATGAGTAGGGAAAAAGGACAGTGACTATTAAAATGAACTGCATAGAACGCAGAAAGGTGGCAAAAAAAGTCAGATACGGGTCAAAGAAGTACTCACTAGAGCATACTGAAAAGGAAATTAACACGAAGTCGATAACCATAAAACGGAAAAAAGTAGCATAGTGTAGTGTAGCATAGAGAACTCAAGAGAATCGCTAATGTCTTCTTTGTTTTACTGTACGTTTTCTGACGCTTTTTTAGACTCCATCGTCAACATTGTCTCTAAACTACGAAATTAGTCCGCCACACGTACTACTTTTTCTTACGTGGGATCAAAGCGGGCAATCCCGAGCGGGAAAGATGAACCCTCTTACCCGCTCGGTAGCTAATCAGAACACAGGATCCTCATATCGCCCACGGGCACTGTCAGCGATATAATAAATAGTACATCTTGGAAGTATGAGGATTACTTAAGGACTGGGCTATTACCAAGGGAATTGGCTCTTACTTGCGCATTCAGGCTCGAGATGAGACGTAAACTGTACAAGAACTCCCTTTTATTTTCAAACCCTTACACGTGACACTTCACCAAAGGAGAACTGTCCTTTGGTTGACTTTTTTGTCTTTATTACTAACCTGTACCAGAAAGTGCTGGAACAGAGTAAGCTAACGCATCGTTAACTTTGTTGATCTACTGCAACCTAATTAATTGTATTTACATCGATTAACATGTAAAGCAAGCACCCCAAGTACACAATCTAACCCACTATACCCGGGACTGTAGTTAGTCTACTTGGATCTGATTAGTGGTGATCAAGGTATACATTATTAAGATTGGCAGGTTGCAATCCTAATTTTTCCTATCCTTAGGGGTTTAGAACTTCACTTTCAGCAATATAGCCTTTCTATTAGCAATATTTGTTTCAATTACCCTTACCTATCCTTGGTTCTAAATTCTACTAGAATTTTGTCAATATTATCCTATGCACGCGAACCATGCAATCAGATAAATTTAAGTATGAGGCCATTTTAGCAGTTACATAAGGAAATGGAAAAATGATTCTAAGTCACTCTCTTTTGTAGGAATTTCGTAATATAACTCACATAGCTAATAGCAACGTTTACAACTGAGGTCTGTATTCAGAGCGGACGCCTCCTAAGAGCCTAAGACACTCATCCCAAATACTCTCCAGGAGAAAGTGTGCCGAGAATCAAACTGGTGTAAACATACGCTCTGTTTTGAAAGTATGGGCCGATACCGGGTTTTTCGACATTAATATCGACCCTGTGGCGTTATCTAGTTTTTGAGCAGGTCAGGCGATCTTTCCGAACCAAATACAAGGTTGTCTCGCACTGAAAATATTGATTTGTGTCTTATGTCCTATTATTGCATGAGCACCACAAACAAACAAGTGGATGATTAAAATCTTAATTTACCAATGTTCATTATCCCTTAACACACCACTCACAAACACGCAACTAACATTCGAGAAACCGCACACGACAGTGCTCTTTGCCTTTAGGTGATGACCCGAAATAACGCAGGCTCAGGAAGACGTCAAGTATCGTCATTGATAATTCTTGCAGTAACGATATTTTCGGATCCGCCTGTATCGGCCCATCCTTACAGCCTTGTGTTTCAGTCCAACAGAAAGATGAAAGGAAATGTATATTCTTCAGCTACATTTAGTTTTGAATTTCTGAAATAACTTCAAGAAAACTCTTTTTTTCACAACTATGAAATACAAGAAAGGCGGAAATCTTTTCAGTTTTTCACAAGTCTCCACAGTTTCCCGCCCAGCCAGCTGAACTAAAGAAACTAGATTTCAAGGTATCACTTCAAGTTGTGTGCTGCTTTTCATACAACATTTTATAGACAGAGAGGTGGGAACCTTTCTCATCAAGAAATCTTCCTTTCTCTCGATTGGCATTTTTCCACTAAAAACACCCACCTCAAACTCCAAGACCTTCTGAAGTGCAAAATGGTCTGACCCAGCTATCGACAATTTTTCCATCCATTGATTTGAATTATCTAATTTATCCTACACCTCTATTTATCTTCGCCCGTTCTGCAGTTTTGGCTTATGCGAAGACATGTACGCGCAGCTATTATTTACTCACTGATCAACATTTATACAAAAGCAAAAATCCAGCTTAGTTAAACTCGGCCTCATTCTAAACACTATACCATATATTTTACACGTGTAAATAAGATTCATAAAAAATATTCCGACAATTTAACTACCTTTCTTTCTTTAACTTGTTCTTCTTAGTTTTAAGATATTCTACATAAGACTTGCCAGCACCTCGTCTACCAAAAGTTCGAAGATAATTACTATATGCATTGTATTGTAAAGGATTACGGTACAGTGTGGTCTGTCTCCAAGCCACCGGTTGATAAGCCAGTTGGTCGTTAGTTTGTGCTACTGCAGGGTTATTCACTTGCGTAACGTATCCTCTTGGATTTGCAGGAGCCGCATAGTGATAATAATTAGCTACCTGATTCTGATGGTAGTTAGCTGGAACATAGTTGCCGTGAAGAGGTTGTATGGGCGAGAAAAGGGCTTCCTTGGATGGTAGCTGAGGGTGTATGTTAGCTTGCTGGTCTGGTGTGAAGGAGTTTTGTGTTTGTCCTACTTCTTTATTGTTCGACATAAATTGATTACTAGGTGTTTTAAGTTCTTGATGTAAAGGAACTACGGACTGGGGAGTAATTGTTAGGATGGCGGGGTTTGAAGCTGTAGAAGTTGTGTAGGTTACCACTTGAGGTGCAATGTATTTCACAGAAGTAGGTGGAGAGGAAGTAAATGTGTAAGTCGGTCCGCTAGGAACTGCTTGGCGAAACTGTGGAGGTGACGGTGATTCGGGCACTGGAACCGAGTCACGTGGTTTTTCAGGGTGTTCAATGGGTTGATGATTAGGTTTTTGTTTGGTTCCATGTATAATAAGCTGCCACTCTGTTAGTAGGCCATGATTTGGTCTGTTATCTCCAAGGTCCTTTATCTCTAAGGTCCACGTTCCGCGTGGGTCCTCGCCCCATGCATGCGTTGTCATGAAGGGCCACTTTGTGAAACCTTCATCTGAGAGGTCCTCTTTTCTTGGTGACAGCAGGCAAGATTTAGTTCCCATGGGGGATGTCAAGTATACGACAAGGTCCCCTCGCCGTGTGTAGTCCAAGCTTAACATGAGTTGCACGTGTTCAAGGTAGCGAATCTCAGCAGCAGTTCCTGAACATCCATTCGAATGCATTGTTATCTTCAATGGCTCGTTGAATTTTATGGGTCTAGAAAGGCAAGCGTCGTAAGTTATCACTTTATACCGGTTTTGGGATTTTGAATTCCGATTTGGATTTTTTGTTCTATAAATTTCCTTCGCTTTCTCTATTCGCTGCCTCAGTCATTAATCTATTGCTAGCCAATCAAACTTGATTTGCTTAGTAATGAATTATCACTCGTGTATTGTAATTTAATTGGTTACTTTTTTCAATAGGCAGAATCAGTCGCTCCGTGCTTTTGTTCACAGGAATTCAGCAAAACTTACTTGCGGTCCTGATTGATTTGTCCCCTACAAATGGTCTTCTCAGGTACAGTTTTAAACGTGTTGGGTTTTGCTAATTCCACGATCTTTTCAGCAACTAACAGTCCGAAACCAAATTTCCTATTGACGTGTAATCCGACTCCATTAGGGCTCCAATCCTGATCGTGCTTGAGTGGTTCCCAGTTTGATGTCCACACCACAATATGCTGCACGTCACGCCATGTCAGGCGAGGACTGTGGCAAAAATGTAACAAAAGAACACTTGGGGAGGGTTCTCTATAGTTTGAGCACTTTGGTTGAAACTCTTGTAAATATTATAGTTTGTAAAAAAAAGGCTAGGATTACAACGACAGACGGAGAAACTCGAGATAGACCGACAACCTTCCTCTAACACGAAGATGAGATCTCCCTAGTTCATCACTTGATGACAAATTTGCTCCGTCCTTAACCTTTTGTACTGCTTTGTCAATAACCCTAGTTGGCGTTTGTTTGTCGTTGCAAACTGTAATTTCAAGGTTCTCTTCTGTTTTAATGAACTTGAAAAAACTGAGGATAAATTGGAGCTTGGTTCTCTCTTGAGTGTGTCTAAATTTAGACAGAATTTAGTGTGGCTATGGATTTGCATTGAAATATTGGAATGAACGCCCATATTTGGTGGTATAAGCTGCCAGTTAGAATCAATCTGTTTTTTCTCAACTAATCCAACGAAACCCCTATTGCGCTCAATGAGAGAAATTTCCCTCGCTAATAATTGCTAATTCCACTTAGATCTTCCCCATCAGCGAGATTTCTAAAAGCCGTGAAACTAGCTAAGTGCAATAAACTTTACTTGACTTCCAGTGCAAGAGCTATAATTCCTGCTGCCAATGGAGCCGATGCAGAAGTTCCTGTATGTCTTTCGGTGCATTGGTTATGTAAATCTGTCGTGACCTAAAAATGAAAATGAAAACCATCGAGGGCTTGGAGTCTCTTAAATGACACGCTTTGACTATTATGGCTCAGTTTTTGCAATTAACCGTTCCTTTTCCCGCCTGTTTTGATCAGCCCTGGAGACCTTTACATTTTTCATTGGAGTAAATTATAAGACGAAAACCCGATCATTCTACCGTTTACGATCAACGAGCAAAGCAAGCTCAGCAGACTGGACAGAGCTAAACCAACAACAGTGTTCTTGCAGATAAGATTTCCATTCTTGCAAAATCCCATTGAATAATGATCGAATGCGACCATTAGCTTTTCCTGCTAAAATCGCTCTGTTTTATGCTCGCACTGTTTGGGAAAACCCGACATGGTAGTATACTTACGATTCGTTTCTCGCCGTGCGCTCCGCTACTGAATGTTGTCGCCAGTGTAGATGAACAGCTTTCTGAATACCAGGGTGACTCGCCATGATCGGAAGCAGAGCTGATCGACAGGGTGTATATGCTGTCTGTGTAACCATCACAGTTGCAACTATCCTCGTGCCGACCTCCATTGCCTGACGCCCACACGAAAATAGAGCCCAGTCCGCCGCGACCCTATATCAAGTCACATACAAACAAGCCGGATTATCATACTTTCAACTCGCTATCTCTTTTCTGATTGGCCGAAAGCGTGCAGTGAATTTTTGAAATCAGCGCCTGGGACGTCATCTTGCTGAAGATTATACAATAATCATGTCAAGGACACTCAAGGTCATGGGTAGTCAAGTTCGCGCGCTTTGTGTTGCTCGCTGGTTTGTATATTTTTACACGTTTAGAAATAAATTATCACTTCCACTTGCTGTCGGGACCAATTTTTTTTCATTCAATGTACAATAAAACAATTATTGGATTCGGTTTTTGTGATATCCAGAATAATCAAGGTCTCGATAAGGGTTATCAGCCGAAGCCTAAGACCTTGATTATCCTGGATATTACAAAAACCTTATCCAATAATTGTTTATAATCAGTGCTCCAATATCTCACAAGACTCTATCGACATATAACGCTGATGCACTCTGGTCGAGTAAAGGCTCAGTGATTTTAAGCTTAAGTTCACTTACGTCATGATTGTATGTTAGCAGCTAATGTTTCTCCTCCTTGCAACCAAATAACCTATGATTAGTTGGTTTAGAGATTCTGCAGATTTTTCGGATTGGGAGTGCCCAATTGGTATGTAACGTATCACCGTTTTCTATAATCGATGGAGGATTAGAAAGATAAGCCGCATCATGAGCTTTTGAGGAGCGACGTGAGACGTTAGAAGATTGTGGTTTTAATGTAATTTTTTGTTCTAAGTCGTTTACTATAGCCCATAATGACTGTTGTTATTTTGAGGAGCTATTGTGATGGTGATGCACAATACCTTTGTGATTCCATTTTCAAATGCAGCAGCAGCTAGAGTTCCAGGTCCTTCCACAGTGGCTCCGTCATCGCTAGGTCCCCAACTTGCAGAGTAGATGTCAATGAACTGGGGATTAAGACTCAATGACGCGGCTTCTACTTTGTCAGTCACTCGGCCGTCAAGCATGCGCACTCCTATTAAAATATACCATGCTATATGGAACAATTACGTATGGTGCGATAACGAAAATGTCACTGAAAGGCCAAAAACGTTCGCAGATTATAATGAAGAGTTCTCCTCCTTTATCATACTTAAATTTACACTTTTTTAAGAATTTCCCAGCTCTTCGCGATGATAAAGAAACTAGGCTTCCCGATAAAAAGGCAGCAAAGGAAAAAAAAGTTATGCTCAACCAGTAATGCCGTTTTTTCTACCTCCTATCTTCGCATTGTAAGCCACGCCCACTCCACAAATGGTGTTGTTCGCCTGAGCAGCAACTTCCCCTGCACAGCGGGTGCCGTGTCTACAAAAGAAAGAAGTTAACGACATAAAGGCAGCTGTCTTCCCTTCAAGTTTTAAGCAGACTGTCTACAACCAGGTGAACACAATGTGGAAGTCATGCAATGATTGCGAGTAGAGTTAGGAATGACTTACTTATTTTCATTAGTAGGATCATAGCGAGGAAATGGGTCACCATCTTCTCCATTTACATCCCAACTGGCCTGCGGATCCTGTGAAGATCAAATTGACAGGATTCATTCATAGAAGTGCACATCCCGAACCTAAAGATTTATAATTAGAGCTTTTTATCTGTACATGCAGTTTGCACCCAGCGTAAAACCGGCGAGTTTCACTTACATAGTTTCTGATGAGGTCCGTATGATTGTGTTCAATACCTGAAGAATGGCGAACAAAAGTAAAAAAAAAAGAAAAAAATGACGATCAGACTTATTAACTGCAACACTGAGTTAGTCCATAACAAATAATAGCGGTACATCATTTCACACTTCATCGAGTACTTTTTGCGTTCACTGACTCCTTGGAAACAAAAGCTTCAGAATGTCTTTTTTAGATCTGTTTTGTGAGATTTTGTTTAGCTGCAACAGAAACGATTATCGTCGGACTCGTGAACACGGAAAGTCCGCTTACAAAAGATTTAGTTATTGCACTTATTCGTGGTAAAATTAAATAGCACTATGTAGTTAAGTGGAGGAAAAGTCTTTGTACCATCATCCAGAATTGTTACGACAACGCCTTTTCCTGTGATCCCTTGATTCCAAACAGGGAGAACATGCACATCTAAATCCAGATCCGCTCGTTTGTCATCCTGTCCGATAAAGATAAATTGGTCTGGTTAAGATCTAAGTCAAATGATTTTACCAGCATTTAAATATAAAGGTTTTGTCTACGATTCAATCGAACTCGAGCGATTTCTCTGATTCGAAGAAGGGGTCAGCTGGGAGTGAAATATTTACGTTTTAATAAACTTGTCTTTCCAGAATCTTGAACAGAAAAAAAGCTGCACATGCAGTTCCTATTCATTAGTCAAATTCACGAAAAACCCCCTACAGATTTTAGATGAGGCCCACGCAGTTTAAGTCACAGCGAAGAAGCAGTTTCAACCTTGTTATAGTTTCGCTTATAAATGTTTCTTGAGATCACAGTATATTCTTTAAAATGAATGTAAAACAAGTTCTATACATCGGGAGAAACAAATGCTAACCACTTTAATGTTTCTATTTCTCACAATGTGCCATTTCGGAATTAAGTACGTTACATGAATAATAGGGTAAGCTTCTATAGCAACTGTGGTGGTATAACAAGATAATTTGATTTCATCAACTGGATTGATAATGTAAATTGCCACCGCGAAGAGTTTCTTAGGCTGAGCGTTAGGGCTAACAGTCGAAATATTATCTTCAGAATCTCTCTACGGTGGCCAATTTACATTGTCAACTCAGTTTAAACCAAATTATCCTGTATTACATCACACATTTGATATCAGGTTTCCCAATGGGATCGTGCGGGTAAAAGCGGAAACTACAAAATATGACACAATCCAGAAGAGAGGCCAAAAAAACTATTATTTTAAAATAATGAAGATGTATCCCTCTTTAATCTTTCAACTATATTATTGTATTATTCTTCGTGCTTAATTACCATTTTTGTCAAAAAATTTTCGTTTCACAAAATATCTCCAACCATTCCCTAGCAAATGGTTTCGGCAGTAACAGATTTCCTCCCGGTTAACTGATTGAAATCGATTTAAGTCAAAAGAGCTCACCAGATACCACTGTCCATCCCATAAGGGGTCTGTGAATCGAGGCAGGATCCCTCTGGCAACCATTCGGTCGTGAAAGTGACCTCTTTTGACGCGGATTTTCTCGTGTTGTTGTTCCGCCCAGATTACCTGCAAAACAAATTATGATTGTTTTGAAAACCTGGGCTGAGTCATAATATCACTTTGGTCATGATAAAACTTCACTGCAAATAGAAATTTTAAATCCGAAATGGACTGATTCTTGCTTTACTCGCTAATGCAGTAAATTAACCATAATTTTTTTTAAGATTGAGCAACAAAACTATATCTATTTTTGTTAAAGTATTAAAATAATTCCGCTTCAGACTCTAATATTTTGAGGCTTTAAAAAAAAAGATGGTGGTACTAAATAGAAGAAAAACATCAATTTTTGTAAAGCATGTTTCTGAGCATGGCGTGTTATTCATACTTTAACAGTCAGACAGAATATCGCTATGTAATTGATTGTACATGCACTTATCAATCAAATGGCGAATCTTACCTTTGGATCCTGTGTAAGTCGCTCTGTCCTCTCGTCTGCACTCCTGCGGGAACGATGTGGCAACTCTGCATGTTCTAAATGATAGAAGCCTTCCAAAGTACCAATCTGCAAATAATGAATTAAGGAAGATAAATGAATGAAAAAATATTTTCTCTTTCCCAATAAATCGAGTTTTTTTTGGTGAACCTTAGAAAAACTATGGACGGAATGTCAAATTGAGGCATTTATTTGACTAATTTCAATGATTACTACTTCAGAACATTTTATCAGGGATATGAAAAGTTTACTAAGTCATTGCTACGCTGCCGTTGCTAACTTTAAAAAGAATGTTTTACAATGTACTATGGTTTCAGTAGGTGGATTTTTCGATGATTAACCATCAATTTCCTCTTGGTTGTTATGAATGCCCTGCATTGTCGGCACCCCTTTTATACTAATAAGTAGACCTTAACAATAGTTTATTTTTGCAATTTTCATTCGGCGGAAGACGTAAAAATGAAATAAATCAATATAAACCTCTATTTTTGACGTTTAGGGTGCACATTAAATCCGAATTGTAGCAGAATGTTGTTGCAGCTTTCCGGATTTTGACAATAAGGACAATGGCGAAATTTTTGTTCTTCCAAAAATGTTCAGCTGTTTTAACAAAATCATTAGATCGTGGGCAAATGTCTCGAGGAAGAATGTAATTTGAAAACCTTTATTTTTTCGCACCAGGGTAGCACTACTCAAGACTTGACGATAAATCAGTGTCAAGAATGTAGGTCGAAATTTGGTAATGAAGTCACCAGCAGAGTTCACTTAAAAATTGCTTCCGCCAGAAAAAAATCTTCGTTTCTTTCTAAATTTTGCATTTAGAGGAAGATGTTGAATCATGTCAGAGTTGTTAAGATAATGAATTGAATCAGTTGTTAATATATAGGCGAAACTTAGTTTTGTTTTAAACATGTGGTTCCATTCGTTGCTAAAGAGGGAAACATCGCTCCCGTAATCAACCAGCTCATAATATTTAATATCGGCTTTGTAGGGTGTGAAGACTTTAACGATGAATTTGTTGATATACAACACCGGATTTCCTTGAAAAATAATGGTATAGAGAGAACGAAGTGAGAGAAGGACAGATAAAATTCAGTATTGAACAAAACTTCATAGCGATTGGGAAAATATCGAGATTTGTTGACCGAGTTCGTTGTCTGACCTGCTGCCCGGTGGCCAGTGTTTGAGCCAGGCAGGCCAGAAAAAACATCATACTACAATTTATATTAAAAACGACCGGCAAGTACTTGTAAATCCCGCATAACAAGCAGTGAAAAGAACCCCGTGAAATCCATTCTTTACTTGGTACTTACTGGTTCAACTTTGTCAAATCCATGAGAACGAGCAATTCGTTTGGCAGCCTCAATTCCTCCCTCTACCTGTATTGCCCATCCGTTGGTGTAGACTTTTTCTCTGTTGTTTCCGGGCTTCTGGGCGTGAACGCTGTTCTGTTTGGGCCACGCAACGACGAAGACACATATTATTATCTTGGCGAGGCCCAAAGCCCGTACAACTCGAAACATCGCATCGCTCCCAACTTTTTCGTGAAAGAAATCTGACCGAGAGTCGATGGAAAACTCTGGCTATTTATTATTAACGGCAACGGATGTTTGGTTAGTTGCGGAGGTCATCTGTCGTACGACTGGCACCTGTCACTTACTGTTATAATCAATTGATCTCTATCCCCTTTGAGCCAATCACAACTTCTGACGTAAGGAGGAGAAAAGACTAAACTTAACGAGGGCATGTGGACGATCGAACGTTCGATCGAATCTACTTGAGGTCGTAATGTAATGATCAAACATTCTGTAAAACAGTTATGATTTTTTTTCCAATACCTCTCCTTTGAAACCATTTTAAATCAATCTAAAATGTTTCTGCGTTGTTTTCCTTCAGACTGATTATGATTTTGATCACGAATTAAGTGGGACGAATGTTGGAACATCTGCTAGGTTTTTCAAAATTCTGACCAAATCATTAGCATTGACGAAATGTAATTTGACGGCCACTTTGTTGCGCGTTTCCTTAGTTCGTTAGATAATTGGACATTCAGACTGTTTGTGAGAGCAATATTCAAGGTAATGTGCATTCAGTGAATGTCCTGGGGTGTGAAAATTAACAATGCAATGCACAAGAATAACTCAGCAAAGATGTTTTATAACCATGGATTATCACAGTGAATGGCTTGAATACTGAAGAGTCTCAAAGACACCGCACCACAAGGTTGAGCGTAGGTGTTACATTTTAATGCAGTACCTCTCATCTTCATTTTATGACGGATTTCATATTAATATGGGAGTTATTTTGCGGTTAAAGTAAATGCGTTAAAACGGAACGTTTGATGTCAAGAGATGTTTAGCCATGTTTGTCTGACGCACGAACTTGCGCTGGATAGTAAATATAAAAGATTTAAAGAATGCGGTAAGCCGCGCTAATCTGATACTGTAAAAAGACTAATGTGGTACACATGGTGTACTGAGTAAGAGAATCCATTACCAAATAACTAAAGAACGGATGACAAGCGCGAGCCAACATCCTCTTTAGCTCATTTACAGATACACGAAGTACTGCCCTTGAGGCATCTATTTCACAATTTAATGACCTTTTTCGCACTTAAGACGCAAAATCCGTCTGGGCGAACAATTTTAGTTCTTCTGGTTATGCGTCTCTGGTATAGAGACGGCCACAAGAAGCTTTATACATCGAGACGAACTATCCTTCCCCTATTGCGTGGCCAATCTCACTTGCGCTCCGTCGTTCGATTAATGTAACCTAATGGAAAAATCACAACTATCTTGAAAACCTTATAAAGTTTCCCTTTTTCAATATCTTTCAGTTTATGTTATTACCAAACAGTACTAGACTGAAAGTTGACTGAAGTATCAGTACGCAAAAAAATGCTTCATGAAAAGTCAAACTTAAAATTGTCGGTAAAAAGCGTAAGCAGTGTTCAAAAATACTGCTCCACTATGACGTTTTAAAGATGGTGAAATTCGTTGTATATGAATAAAGTGGTCGACCAGTGGTCAATAGGACCTTAGGCCAATCAGCTGACAGAATACTCAGCCTCGCCTAAAATCAACCTATATCATCGAGTATCTTTGCTCCGAGCTGTTATTGTGAAAGCACATAACTTGTTTACATAAATATCACTTTTTACGCTGCTTTGTTGGATTGGATGTTGGACAAGGTTTCGTTCATCTACGAAGATGAAACGTTCTTTTGTTACTTCAACAAAACCGTTTGTTCTTCCCCTGTAAAACGTTGTTTTCGATTCACGCATTCTTAACCGATTTGTTGCACTGCCAAAAGTTTGGCCGATTTTTGGGATGGCAAATCTTAACCGGTATTTAAACTGACTTCGATGTCAAGGCGTCATTGTAGCGAACAAGGGTTATCATAATAGCTCCTTAGGAAATAAGTGGGACGTGCGCCCGTGATATGTTCTAATTCTTGTTGTTTACAGAATGATTTACGGTTCAGTTGCTTGCGACACCAATGGGAATGATATTCGATGAGATTATTCGTACTTTACTTTTCACTTGCGACAAGAGAATTAAAAGCATTATTCAAATTGTGCCTTAGAGGAGACAAAAAGTTTGCTCCAACAAGGAAAGCGAAGACCGGGAAGTCCAACAACTTGAGGATATGAGTAGTGAACATCTTGTTCCGGTATCAACTCTGCCAACCCCTGACGATTTTCAAACCGAGCGTAGACAGCGAAGAGCTATGAGTCTGCACGGAAGAAACGACGGTGCAAATCATGACATCAAAAAAAACGAGGCAAGGCTGTGGGTGGACGTCGAACAAGAACTCTAGAATATTAGAGCGGTTGTATGCCAAGCAATTTAAGTCTTAGGGTCTGGCAATTTGCACTTTTTGTGGTCTTCGGCAGAATCGTTTGGCTTTCTTTACTTCATTCCGGCACCTTTCTAAGATTGGTTCTGCTTTTCGCTTTCCTTTGCCACCACCATTAATGACTCTTTTGCAAATATTCTTAACTTGTCCATGTTGAAGTTCGAGAAATCTTCGCTCGGTGTGGTTTATTTCAATACCCTGGGTTTACATTTTTCGTGCTGTCGAAAGTCGAGTTCGCACTTAGCCTCGTTCTGGCGCTTTTTCTACGGCACCAGATCTCTGACTTGTGAGAACTCGGAAATAGGCTATTTATAGTGCAAACTAGTCGCTGATCTCCCAAATCATTCCAAGCAGTCATATAAGCAGTAAAATCGGCACTCTTAATTCCCACGGTGTCAACGAACGCCTTTTATTCAACTAATGTATTTTTGTTTTTCTCGTTATCACGTTGTTAGCAAGAGCTTAGCTCCATATTCTGTATATAAAACACATACAACCCACAATTCTTCTATTCGCTCAGACGAAGGGCTAACACTCGAAATACTAGCTCTAAAAACTCTACGGAGGCCAATTTACATTATCAACTCAGTTCTCAGTCTGTCTTGTTGTACCCCCCCACCCCACCGACGCAATACCACAGTTTGTTGAGAAACTTTCCCCCTTCTTTATTTGTAGTTCATTTAAGAGGTGAATTTAGGGGATTTTATCACTGCCTGCTTTTAATAGGTGCGTAATATAGACTGAAGTTGGAGTCATTGTTCATTATCATGTGATTATCTCATTTTGTTTAAGTGACCTCTGTAACAGTTTTAGTGACGAAAATTCAGCTTATTTCACTGACTAACGATCAGAAAACTGCGCGCGCAACATCAATTACTTGCGTTTATTTGACTAGCCTCTGTGACGTCAATTGATTCAGACATATTCAAACCTTTCTCACAATCTGTGAATATGCCTTTTGTCACAGTGTGGCAGGCATCATTTACTGTTAGTGAAATAGCGAACCGCGTTTTAGAAAAACATGATATGGAAGATGATCCTTCAAGCGACGGAGTAGAGAAGGTACTACATCCTAATTTAACATGATCAGAGTTTTCGAAAAGCGAAAAAAAACCACTAAAATCGTTAGCGACCCCAGCAGTGAGATAGCCACTGCAAACACTTTCTCTTGTCACATGGGAAAACGAGATTGAACTCTTCGCGATTGGTTTAAGTTTTGAATCTGATTGGTAAAGAAAGTGGCACAAGATTTCTGAAACAAGTCGATAGAGTAGTAAAGCAAAGCCAAAGTGACATCGCACCAGCTTGGTTAGCATTCTCAAAATGAGACAGAGGGTAAAGGAGTAAGTTTCTAAAGGAACTGTTGTGCTGCGTCGCTGGGGAGTAGAACAGGGTAATTTAATTTTATCAACTGAATTGATAACGTAAATTGGCCACCGTAACAGTTTCAAAGCTGACATTTCGAGCGTTAACCCTTCGTCAGAGCGACGGGTTCTGTCTCAGAGCGATGAGACAGAGGGTAATCTTTCCAGAAATCACCTTGCATAGTAAGAAGTCAACGGGTCCAGTGCAAGATCGGAAATTGTCTTCCCCGTTGTTTCTCAAAGAAGATTTAGGGGATCGTGGTAATAAAAGAGACTGCGCGGAAACTTCAAATCTCTGTTTTAAAAATGGTTTAGGGTAACAAATAAAAGAAAATTCAGTCAAGACCACTGGCATTTGTACCTATTTTAAGCTATTGAGCCGGCGCAAAATATTTATGACAGATCAGACTCCTGTTCTGTGTCAGTTGGTGGGTTCTGTGGGTTCTGAGGGTTCTGAGGCTCTTCAATCTGGTTTGAAAGATTTCGGTGGCATAAAGACAAAGGCGTCATCGAATTAATGAATGTCGGATTTTTTTAATAACACTATGCTTTTTCTTTAATCCCAGTCACTGAGTTTGAGGTCAACAATAAAGAACTTAGTTTCTCTCGGTAAACTTAGAGAGTCATCAACCTTTGAACAGTGTACCAGAACCGTTCTCAACGGCTCTGGTGCACGGGTTTCCAAGTCAAAAGAAAGGGTATCAGCATGTTTGTTTCCTCCATTTGGTTCCCACGCCCAAGATCTTTTATTAACATTGGAAGAACTTCAGACTCTCACAGGTGTCAAGTTCAACACAAGTTGTCCCTGTGTATGACCCAGACATCTGGAATGAGAAAAGATTCTCAGAATCTTTTTCATCCCTGTTCACAGTGTTCTTCAAGCATATAATTTCCTTGGAATATATTTTTGGGTATCGGGCAAATCACCATCAGACGTCTGTTTCTACGTTCCACATAGATAGACGAGATGCTTGACCGGTATGATAAAGAAGCGTTTTTCCTATAGCCGGCCATCTCTTTCTGAAATGAAAGAAAACAAATTCCTTTGCAAAGTATCATCTTTACACGGAGCTTGGTATTTGCCTTATTAGGATTGAGTTCAAAGAAGTCTCCAACAAATAAGCGTCACGATCCCATCTAAGAATTTGAACTCTAGATGTTTTTGAGGAGGGATTCTATCCTAACGAGCTTCTTGTGGCATAATTTCTCTACAGAATGTGTCACCAAATAAAGAAGTGCAACCCAAAGGGAAAGGTCCGACGATGAAGAGTTATGACGAGGAACCAGTTCAAGGGCGGATGCGATCATGTGGTCCTCCGCAAATACTTGGGGTGGAGACACCTCCTTGGAGCCATCCCCTGCTTAGCCATCTCCCGCCGATGTTCCATCCCAGCCCATCAGGTAAGTGCGGAGAACAGACTTATCGTAGCAACTTAAGATCACACACACTAATGTTCTCGTTCTAGTGAATCTTATTGTATACATGGCTCCTTAACTCTCAATACGATGCGATCACCAGTCCAGAGTAAAATGCAGTTTAATTAAAAACTTGGTGTTCAACGCAATGGAGAAATGTCAGGTGCAACAAAATGCAGAGCAATGCAAAGAAAAGCTCTCCAGCTTAGCTCGAATGGAGGGACACAGCTAAATTCGAACTCAGCGGAATATGAAGCTTCTCCGGTTTCTCTAATTTCATTTCACAGCGGAATACGAAGGTATGACAATACATCACACATATGCACAACATGCAACGAAAATCCATGACACACGATTTAACAGACTGCAAGGAAATTGAGCACAGTCAAACGCAAAGCAAAGCAACTTACGTGATTTTTTGTCATTAATAACTAGAAAGAGTGTTTTATTTTTTTTATAGGGAGACACTGTAGGATGGAAACACCAAGGGTGCGGTCTCCTGCCTCCAACACCCGGTCAACTTACCCTTCGATAAATGTTCTGCCAGATGCTACATGGCCAAATACCGACAGGGACCAAAGAAATGTTGTACCTACGATACCGATTCCAAATGTTTGTAATCCCATGATGGCGCTTAGGGGATGGTATCTTGCCTCTTGTAGCTGGCCAGCACCCTTACCGATGAACATGAGGCCAATGAACACAATGTCGATGATTATGATGCCGATGAACATGATGTCTCCATATCCTGGTTATTCTGTGGGGCCGTCATTAGGAGTAGCACCATGCCAACGGCCTCTTGTCCTCAATAACTGGCAGACTCCCACACCAATTAACATTGTGCCCAACATATGGCCAACTACCAACATGGGTCACATGGATCAAGCAAACGGTGTACTTGCAGTGCAGAATCCAAGTGCTGGCAATCTTCTGAGGTCTACGCCAGGAGTTGCGCCACGGCCTCTGCCCTCTACTTCCAATACCTGGCTATCTCCTTCACCAATGAACGTTGTACCCAACACATGGCCAAATGCCATCATGGATTACACGGGCCAAGCAAACGGCATACCTGCATTGCAGAATCCTACTGCTGGCAATCTTATGGGGCCTATGCCAGGAATGGCGCATTGGCCACTTCCCTCTGTTTCCAATACTTGGCCAACTCCTTTATCAATGAACGTTGTACCCAACACATGGCCAAATACCGAGATTTCTTACACGGATCAACGAAACTGTGTACCTGCGGCACAGAATGCACACCCTAGTACTGCCATAGGACCCCACGTACCAGTCTCGGTACAAGTTCAGCATTTATTGCCATACCCGACAGGTTTGTAATTCGCATTCCAGTTCTTCTTAATTCAGGGATGAGAGGCCTACAACGTTTGTTGATGAGAAAACTGCTTATTTCTGCTCATCAGAGGCGAGCATATCAGTAAAATAACCTCTCTGTGAGTTTACGTGGTCTTTGGACGACAAATATTTGTGTAAATAAAACATAAAAACATAAAATGGCACATTATTAGAAAGCAACATAAAAATGGCATATCACTAGAAAGCGATGAAGGTACCAATTGATCGAACAGCCCTTTTGGTGTATTTACATACATTACCAAACCTTTGAACTCAATAATTTATAAAGTCGGACGTGTAAATCAAGTGCGGTCAGGTATACTTCGATAATTAAGTTCTCCGAGCTTTCGCCGATCTACTGCATCATCAGGGAATGTAGATGGAATCTTTGAAGTGGAGAGTATATTGGGCGAGGTGTTAGGCTAGGTAATAGTGGTTCAGCTGACAATAGGACAGGACAATGGCAGGTATGTAAATGCGGTATACTCTCCACTTCAAAGATTCCATCTACATTCTCTGGTGATGCCGTAGATCGGCGAAAGCTCGGAAAACTGAATTATTGTAGCATACTGACTTTATAACACTATGCCACTCAACGACAACATCCAATGCTTGATCAATAATTTATGCCCAACGGAAATGGTGCTAACAGAGCTAATTGTAATTGTTTCTTCTCTTAATTCACTATAAGATCTCGAGCGACATCACTCCGGATTTCGGGCATCGGCCAACATGACTAAAAATCTTGGGCGATATAACTTTAGTTTGGGCGACATAACTTTAGATCGGGCGACATAACTTCGAGATGTGAGGGGGGGGGGGGTGACTTTTGGGTGACTTGACTTGTTACCGCGTGAGTCAAATGTAAGGTTATCAGAATATAGGAAATGATCACCGACTTAAGAAGCTCCTGATTGTTAAACAAATATTAATTCCTCTTGTCGGTAGGTGTAGAAGATAGACTACCTTCGTAGAGGCAGGGAGCGACAGCATTAGGTCAGCGTCTGTTGCCATTTGTGTTGCCAGCTCATGCTTCGTTCAAAATGGAGGATGTAGAGATGTATTCTGACCATTTGCTTTTTAACAAGCGTCAACCAGGACCGATTGGCCAATACACAGTGTAAGTTTAATAGTTTGACCTGTTTCTCTATACCAAATTCTCTTAGAAGGTAATTGAATCGCCTGTAAAAAAAATATCCAATACAAAATATTTTAAAAGAAACTTATGTAAATATGGGAGTAATTCTAGGGCCTTCAATTCAGAAAAACGAATTGATCTCAATGAACTGAATATGCACGACGTGTGTGTAAAGGTAAATACTCACTTTAATTTTCACAAAAGAGATGGACACAAACTACCCAAAAAACTATTCTTGCGCAAAAATTAAACTCTGCATCAAGCCATTTTTTCGTTTCGATTTGAATTGTACATTGGTAGTTGTAAGTGACTGAGTTTAATTTTTTCAGAAAATATCGAGCAGAAACCCATAGCGGTGCCGTTGGAAATTTTTTGGTTCTGATGTATTGTAGACTTCCCATTTTGATTGTTTTGAAGGCTCTGATCAAATATAATAAGTAAAAATTAGTCTTACTGGTTACGGATGTTATATCTCGTCAACTAAGCATGAGCAAAAGATAATTTTACAGTATTCTAGGAATGTTATGTGCATCAAGGTCTTTTACAGAGAAAGGAAATGCTCAATGTTCTCTTCTTCATTTCTCCTGTCAATAACAGCTTTTTTTTTTCTTTTTCAAACTGTATGGTCACCTCAACATATTACCCTGTTGCTTCTTATGCCTGGTTTATTTTGACTTGAACCTTTAACCCCTAAGAGTGAGTAACATTGAATTTCTCCTCACAATATCATCCCTGAATCACACATTTTGGCTATGAGGATAAAGGAAATGATCACCAACTCAAGAAGCCCTTGATTTCTAAACAAATTCTCCTTGTCAGCACCCTATGAAATGTATAGAGCATCGTATGGAGAGTTTGCATACTGATGATAGGGTGTAAAGGGTTAAAACTATTCTGAAATTTTGTTCAATGAACTTGATTAACAACAGCAAGTCCAAAAAGAGAACAACACACTATGCATTAACTGAATAAGAATAACAATAAGTCAATCAAGGTAGCAGGATGTTTAAATGGTACTTTTAGATGTATGATGCACTGTACCTTTGTTAGCCATATCTATTTTTATCATTATCATTATCAATAGATCCTATGAAAACCTTCCTGAAACCTTATCTTCATGCATCTTGACTGCTTTCTTGTTATTTTCTTGTGGGTATTTGTTTCATTTCAGTGTTTTGCGCATACTTCCAATTAAAATTAATCAGTCCACACCTTGAAAGTAAGGCTTGGGGGTGAAACTGGGTATTCCCACACAAACCTAAGGTCTATTATTATCAATTACAGTTTTTGAGATTGACTTTTAAAGTAGTTTTTTTTCACCTTGTTGTTTACAGGACTACACCATATGTAATTGCACTGGTGGTTGCTAAATTTCTTCATACATTTGGTTTATTTGTGACATATGAGCAGCTGAAAGTCATCCATGTTGTTCAATTCTTATTTGTTGTTAGGCTTTGGTAAGTACCAGTAACTATTTAAGGATACCCTTGTATTTTTTATTATTACATCAGATGTTATTCTAATGAAGTTGCTGGATTTTTGTCTGTCCTGTTTTAGCACTACTGTTGTCCTTGTTATATTACAAAGACCTGTGTCATCAGGAAAAAAAATTTCTCCCAATCAGGTACAGTTATATGCTATTTCTTACTTTATGACAGAAGAACAATTTTTTTTCACTGAGATTCAGTTTGATGGGATTTTGATTGAAACTTCCCAGAGGTCATTAAAAAATACCATATTCTTTTCAGTGGTACAAGATTGGTAAACATGCTGTAGTATCAACTATAATAGGTCTGATATGGCTTGAAGGACTCACCCTTTGTGGTGCTTTAAGGTGAGCAGTAAACCGCATGAACTACTATACACCCATAGTTTTGATTAACTCTTAACACCCAAATGTCAACAGTATGCAATTATTCTCTACACTGTTCTCTAAACTTTTCCCTAAGGCAATGATAAGTAGAATTTGTTTGACAATCAAGAATTTGTCTTGTTAATGACCATTTCCATTATTCTTGAGACCTTGATGTTTGATTCAGGGGTGTTATTATTAGGATAATTAGATCCTAGTTACTCGTAGGGGTCTGAGGGTTAATGAAGGCTATGATCTACATGTACATACATCATTCTAAATGCAGTTTTGTATACAAGAGTATGCAAGGTGCATGTTCAGTTTATATATTTTCTGCTGTTCTGCTTTCTTCTGAGATTTTAACTATGGGTATGACTTGAATTGAACATCTTGAAGGTAGTTACTAAATGTAAGCTCATTGTGATCTGGTTGTTTTGTACAGAACTGTTTTACTCTATGAACATAGTGATGCTGTGGTATTGGCAGCATTAGGAGTTCTTTTTCATTCTGGTGGTACTGGTCCATCAAAGGTAATTTCAATAGATCCTCTCTTTTTTTGTTGGACACATATCCTCTGATGATATTGACTGTGTGTTTTAATGACTGGTTTTAATATCTTGAAGAAACTTGTGTATATAAAATGCTCTTCTTTGGAAGAACAGTAATATCTTAAAGAATTCCTTGAATCAAGAGATGTCAGATTTTTATTGATTCTAAAGAATTTGCAAAGGAATAAATGGATGAACAATCCAATGAATGAACCATTAGATCAGCAGAACTGCTGATGGCCAGACAGATGGTTACACAAATAATGAAAGAAAAAATCATTTGGAAAACTTCCATGGGGACTTTTTTAACTTGTTATTTTATTTGATTGTTTTTCAGGTCAGAGGATCATTACTGTTTTTATTAGGAATTTTGTGTCTTCTATTGTTTGATAATGATTCTCCAAGTTTGAGCCATCGTATCTTTTTATGTAGAAAACTCTACTTTTAAATAATGATGTTTATCTTTAATGTTGACTCATGGAACCTTGCTCTACGAGTCAATATTTTGATGGGTTGACATGAGTTGGTCCTGAAAAAGCAGTTATTCCCCATCACTTACATGGCTATGTTACCAAAAAAATTGCCAGAAGAAGTCTTTTAGATTGGTTAGCCAATCAAAATACAAAATTGTTGAAACAATAATTAATGTCACAGATTTGCACCTTTTAGATAACTTTCTCACAAACAATAAACATTTTCAGGGGATGTGAATTAAAAAAAAAAGTAGAATCGAGAGAACAAGTTGTCTTTTCAAGGTGAATGTGAGTTTCTTTTTTGACTCAAAGAAGCTGGGTAAAAGTTCTTCTTAGTAGGATATTTTTGTAGTTGTCCTCCACAAGCCCTTTTGTGTGAAATTTATAATTGTATCTTGGAGTATTTAGGTTCAAACATAACTTCAAAATTTTCAAGACTTAGAGGTAATATGATAAAGCACTTACTGACTGAGTTTGGTTTGGTTGGATGGGAAACTATTTGGCTTGAGTTTATAACATCCAAACCTGCAACAAAGTTGGTGTCTGCAGTAATTTATACCTTTTGGACTGAAATCTGAACTGAAGGTTACTGTTCAGATACTGTTAATTTTTTTATCAGAGTTGGTGTACTTTAACAGTAAGAAGCTATATCTTTAAAACTAAGAATATCCAGGAGTGGTGTTTTCTTAACTTGTGATCAGCGGAGGGTCATCACAAAAGCCAGTGGATTCATTGGTACTATCAAGTCTTGTCTTGGCTAGGTTTACCAGATCACAAGGTAATGAAGAGTATGGATTGGAAGAAGCTCTTAAACAAATTAAATGGTTGTGTTTCACTTTTGAAACTATGAGGGTGTTAAACACATAATTATGTATTTGTTGCTCTGGACCAGTTTGTTCAAAGCTGGGTTAATGTAAACTAGGGTTAGTGTAAAATCTAATTTCAGATCTGAAAGCTTTAAAACAAAATCCAGTTTAATTTTTTTTGTCTACAATTTGATGATTGCATGTTTTAAAAAGATGAGAGAAAATTATCCCATTAAAGTCTTGTGATCAAAGGGATATAGAAACCTGGACTAAAATTTAACCCTGGATTGACCTTAATCAGCCTTCAAACAACTGGGCCCTGGAATTTCCTTTCCTTATCTTAGTCAAATTAAGGCAAAGGAGTAGAAATATAGTATACTATAAAAGGAGCAGTTGTTCACTCTCTTGCTCCCAAAAGCCACCTGTTACAAATCCACCTCTATGGCATCATTACAGTGTAGAATTCCAAGAGCTTATCATAAGTGATAAGGATGAAGTATATTAACTTGAGGATAATCTTGGACTGGACCCTAAATTTTTAACTCCCATGAGAAATGTATGGCTGATGTTAGAGAGAATGAATATTACTGTGTTCTTGAGAAAAAAAGTTTAAGTGATAATTTCTGTTATCAGAATTAATTGTAAATTTAATAATTACCTTGTTTTTTAATTTATTATTGTTATTTTTTATTGTGGTAGGGTGGCCTGATTCTTTTAGTTCTTGTTCTTTTGTTTAAAATTGCTCACAAGAATGTTTCAAGAACTTTAGCAGTTGAGATTGGAGGTAAGATTATCAGGGGGTCTCCGGTTTTGATTTTGAAGCTTCAATACTTTCTTACACCAATATTGCCAAGGTTATGACTTTGAAAACTCTGTCCTACATATATGTATGCTTGGATTTCTAAGTAAACAAGGAAATACAGTCTGCATTAACTGTCTTTCAATTTTATTGATCACCAGGTGCCAAAAGACTAGCTGCTCTTTCAAGTTGTGTTTCAACTGTGCTTCTTCTTCCTTTGGCTCTGTTATCAAATTTTACTCAAGTATGTGATAGCTGCCTATAAATAGGCAATGAAAAGTCTCAACTATCTTTGCTTTTATTATGAGTTTTCTCCTGTAGAGCTTGTTCATCTTCAGAGTTCTGCCACATTCTTATTGGAAAAAAGAAGCTCTTAGAACCTCAAAACATTCCTTTTTGAAGCTATTATGAATTCATGCATTTAAAAATGAATGTCACAATCAGAGACTGTAATGGGAGAGGGATTGGTAAAGAACCAAAGGAATACCACTGTATCCACAAGATGTTCAAAAATGTTCTTGGGTTTGACAGATCATTGACACATTCCAAAATAGAGTCTGTGTAGTCACACGTGTACCTACAAAGATTCAGTGGTGAAGGTTGATTTATCATGACAGTAAAGACGACAATTTTGAAGGTCATGAAGGTTAATCTGAAAGAAAGGCCAAACTCAACTCATTGGTAGATGTCTTTACTTGCCCATTACCTAATTATTATCTCTATCCAGTTATTTTCTGGGCACAGTACACACTACCAAAAGCACGGATGATGGGACTACTGCAGACTCCCATCAATAACAGAGTAGTTTTTGAATATAGAAAGTGTTGCAGGTTGAATAATAAATGTATGTTTTTTTTTTCTCTTATGGCTAAACAGACAACAGATGTTGACTGGCTTGAAGCAATAATTCCTCTGGCTGTGATCATTTTTGTTGTATTCATTTTTGACTTCTACATTGAGTCTTTCTGTGTGGCAAAACTGGAGTCACTTAGGACGGGAAAGATAGGCTCCATAGCGTCATTCTTATCAGCTGTGATCATAGCATTGTTGTGGGATAAGCCATGGGTGTGGAGCATGCATGAATGGCACCACGGCAAACAATCTGAACCACATCTAGTATCAGCTGGAACACTTTTTGCTGCTTTCTTCTTTGTGCTGGGTAAGTTTGGTGTTTTTGTGTCATCTTTTAAATAAATGTTTCTCAAACAGTGATTAGAGTTTGAACTTTTTGTTTATTAGTTACACTGGGGCAGTACATGATGCAAATTGTTAGACTGTAATATGAATTTGCCCTGATACTTTTGTTATTTCCTTAAATGTTTTCAGCATACTTTTTTTGGTATGTTCCAGTGAGCTTGAAGGTGCAATTAATAGATTATGATATGGATGAGAGAGGGGGATAATGATTCAAGCATGTTGGCCCAATTTCATTAAAAAAAATTTTGTTCTTCAAAAGCTCTTGCTGCATATCCATATCCACATGATAACAGACTGTTACCATCTCAGATTGTCACATTACTCATCCATAAACAGCTATGCTTATTAAGTGGCATAGTATTATGTGGTTGCCCTGCATTAAGTGGTTACCAGCAGTTGAATTCAAAGCCCCAAAATTTTGTCCCCATCCTTATTGTAATTTTCTCCGCTATGGAGCAGTCACCTCCATTAAGTGGTGGTGGTCAGCCTTGACTGAGTCCCAACTTCCTATTTGTGTTGTTCTCCACTTGTTTTGAATGGTCACTTTAAGCAGAACCATTCAAGTAAAACTAAGGATAATCTTTCAAGTAAAAGTTAATCCATGTTTATCTCTTGAAATCAGTGGTAGTAGTATTTTTAAACAAGTTTTTGTCCATTGATCGATAAATTACAGAATAAAATGGTATTTTCCATTGTTCTTGTAACAAAGTATTCTGTGAAATCTTTATCAAGAGGTTACCCTGCCACTCCCCTTAGTTGACTGCTTAATACAAGTTCAATTGTAGTTGAATTGAAGAATCGGAAATTAATGGCAAAACCAAACCAGCCTAATTGTCTTATAACAGTTTTTCTCCCCTAGTTCTCCATGTATCATTAGTCCCTTTTTATAATATGAATAATTGTCAAAGTTTTGCATAAGACCATGTGGTAAACATGAATGATACCATTATTTCAAAATACTGTTAAGTTTGGAGCTAACTGTTGCATCTTTTCCTAGCCACAAGGTTATTGTCAAGGCCATCTCCTCGTATGACTAAAGGAAATCTGATTGGTTACACAACTGGTGGCTTGCCAATCTATAACTTCCAAACACCACAGTCAGTACTGACGACAGTGCAAAGTCTTTTGAGACAAATTGTGGAGCAGTCAGAATCTAGGCAGATATTTTACTTCCTTTGTCTCAATCTGGTATGCAATGAATTCAGTCTATAATACTTGGTAAAATCTGTGTGGTGTGCTGAAAGAATCATGCAGAAACAAATTCTGTAAAACAGACTGAAATTATATGATAAGCTGAATTTCACATGTATTTTGGTTGGTTCTTATGATCTCATGGCAGACAAATGCACAGACAATATTGATGCTTTTATGAAATAAAACAAAATAGTTTCTATGCTCTATGTCAAGAAAAAAATCACAGAAGATGTTGAATGTGTCAACATGAGTGACACTCTTGGCTGCACCATGTGTGCCACTTTGTTTTTACCACATTTGGACGTGATCTGTGATCTATCACTGAACAGATGCACCACAACATAGTATTAATCATATGTTTTAAATTTAGGGTTTGCCTTATGATTATCGTACCTTAATTTAACAGGTTGATCTTATTATGAATTTTTTTGTCTATTTATTTATTTTATTGTGGTTGTTACATCAAATGTCTCTAAAGTTTCATTTCATTCATTTGACAATTGGTTTAGTTGAGCTGCACAGCCTCATCTCTTTTAGGGGGATCTTTTGTTTCTTGTTTCCTTGGGTAACTCTTCACCCTCATGTGATTTTCTGTTTATCATGATTGCAGCTGTTCACAGGAATAGAACTGTTGTATGGTGCCTGGACCAACAGCCTTGGTCTGATATCAGATGGTTTCCATATGCTGTTTGACTGCACTGCTCTTGTTATTGGACTTTGTGCAGCTCTCATGGCTAGGTGGAAAGCTTCTAGAACATTTTCCTATGGGTATGTACAAGATACATTATTGTCATGGTTTTTAAGCTTTTATTTTGATGCTAGCTACATATTCTGCAGGTTTAGGTCTGCACTATCCGTGTGACAGTGCAAAGACATATGGGGTACTTGCCTGTTCTGTCTTTCTAAAGTGGTTATTTTAACCCTTGGCTTTGACCTAAGTGTGACCAGCATCTGATTTCTCCTTACAATATCACCCTTCAATCACACATTAAGGTCACGAGAACAAAGGGAATGATCACTCGCTAAAGAAGCTCTTGATTGTTAAATTCTCTTTGTCAGCGCCTTAGGAGATGTATAGAGAACAGTATGGAGAATATGTTTACTGATGTCAGGAGTACAGTAAATGTATCGAGAAAGGTTTCAATAATAGGCATACTGATGTTAGGGTATAAAGGAATAATTTGTCAGTCAGCTTTGTTTTTTCGTATAGTCATATTTTTTAAGTACCACTTGATCTTATTTAAGTGTAGCCCGTGAGAAATACGTGATGATGTTTTATTAGGATACTTACTTTTACAAGCCTTGTCTTTGCAGTTATGGCCGTGTAGAGATTTTATCAGGCTTTGTCAATGGTATTTTCTTGGTGGTAATCTCCTTCTTTGTTTTCATTGCTGCAATTCAGCGTCTGTTTGATCCTCCAACAGTCAGCACTGAAAGATTATTAGTGAGTACTGTTTGTGTTCAAGTGGAGTGCCATTGTTGCATTGTTTTGAGCTTTGTGGGTAGTTCAGAGTATTTAAATGAATCGGATGGAAAGTTTCATTTTTGAGCAACCTACACTTGTGGAAGTCTTCGGAAGGTTCCACTCTTAAAATAACGACTTCCCAGAAAGTGTGAACTGGAAAACAGTTTTCTGTCCCATTAAATAAATAAAATGGACAGATGCCACGAGGTTTTTTCGTGCATGTTAATGGAGATTCTAGTCTTAACAAGACAGACCCTAACGTCGAGAACTACGAAAATGCTTTTTACTGTCTGTTAGAATTGTGTTGGTTTTTCTAATTACGGCGATGTTAATCAATTAATCAGTATGTTTTGTTACTCTTATCCGCTGGAAAGTGATTGATCTGTAGAATAGCGTTATCCAACCTTCGAACAACCGGGCCCAGATTTACTCGCCTGTTTGTGGACATTATGAATAGTAATTAAAAGATATAAAATCTTTTCTTCAGGTTGTTTCTGTTGGAGGACTTGTGGTAAATTTGGTTGGTATATTTGCGTTCAGACATGCGCACTCACATGGTAGCAGTTCACACGGTCACAGTCACCATGGCCATGGTGGCCATGGTAGCCATGGGCACAGTCATGGACACCATGGTCACAGTCATGGACACGGGCACGCCCATGATGAACATCATGATCGTAGTGTAAACATGCAAGGTAGGTAAGATTCAATACTACATATATCATTTTACGAAAAATGCCATATTTGTTGCATTTTTTAGATTCACAAAATATTAACAAGGTACTGAAATTTTCCTTGAGTCGTCTGTCTCAATCCACCACTTGAATTGGATTGGAATTGGCATTACAATGCTCTTTTTGATGTTACAATTTACCAGTAATCATACTCTATACAAAGAAAGAAAACACACGGAATGGTAACTACAGTACTAAGGCGGCACTAGGCCATCAGCTAATACACCAAGAAATTCTGTTGATGCTTATTAGCTCGAAATGCAACGGTCGTCATGCTAACATTCCTGGTTAAAACCTGGGTTTGTATGGTACTATTTTCAAATAATCAAGACTTTTGTCTTTTGCAGGTGTATTTCTTCACGTTGTCGCTGATACAATGGGAAGTGTAGGAGTCATAGTGTCCTCTGTGCTCATTGAACAATTTGGATTCTTTATTGCTGATCCTCTTTGTTCGTTATTCATCGCAGTTTTGATTTTCCTCAGTGTCCTTCCTCTCCTACAGGAGTCCTCACAAGTGTTATTATTAAGAACACCAGGAGACTTGGACAAAACTCTAGGTAGTGCTTTTAATAAGGTAGGCTTAACATGAAGATTACAGCATTCTTTATCTGCTAAGGGCTGAGGCGTTTTGTGAAGGTTTGTCTTTCAAAGACTCTGGGTTCAAGTTTGGGTTGGGGTTAGAGGTTATTGTTCTTGGATATAACATAGTGTGAGGCCACGGTGCCTTCTCTCTCCTCTTAGATGGATAGGGTACTGACGTAAGTTTACTTGACTAGAAAACGTATCACTGAGATGTTAGTTGGGAGCTTCCTTCATCCCACGTCTTCTTAGTCCTTCCCTTCAAGGAAATTTGGTGAAAAAAACTAAGTTTTTTCCAAACAGTTCTTTAAATACTCAAAAGACATTTGATTTCTTCGTTTGAAGTCCTACGCAATGTTCTGAATAATCAAAAACAAAAAAAACAAAAAAAACGGGCCTCTGTTGTTTTATGTCGGCAGATTTTATCACTGGACGGTGTTTTGTCGTACCGTGATCCTCATTTCTGGAGACACTCATCTGATTCCATAGTTGGCGTCATTCATGTACAAGTAGCTCCGTCAGCAAACGAACAGAGGATTATTCAGCAGGTTTGTGACTAGTAGAAATAAACGCAATAAAGGCAAGTGAAAGTTACAGAAGGAAGCAAAACCCGAAGTATAACTAACATCAAGCAAACTCAAAAATAGTTTTTCGGGTTACGGTCATGAGGGGGCACCATGTACATATGGCGCTCGGTGGACTTGCAAATTTATGAGCCCTCCATCCCCCTACTCATCGGATTTGTTTCACGGTCCAACTCGTCTTTAGATTTTCTGCCTCGCTAGAAAGAAGACAAATATTTTTCCCTCCTGAGTTTTGAAAATCCTTGTTTTACCTCTTGTGGTTCTGCTAGGTAGGCGTGACTTCTTCCATTTATTATTTTGTTAAATTACATTTTTGTTTACTGAGCAATGATGCGTTTCGACAGAGAGGGTTGGTTGATTGCTATATCTGTTGGCATGTTTTCTTTGAGTTTAACGAATGGCAACCTTTTCTCTCTTTCTCCAGGTCAGCGCGCTTTTCAAAGAATACGGTATCAATAAATTTAGTGTTCAAGTGGAAAAAGAAGCTTTCTTCCATCATATGTCGGCCTTGTCTGCTGGATACAAATCTGTGTTAGCCCTGAAGCAGGGTGCTGATATGGGATTGTCCTCCTCTGGTGGAGAATTTGACTACGGTGTGATAAAAGCCGTTTGACGAATGATGTAATTTATAATTGCTATTTATTTTCCATCCAACGAAGTTTTAAGGAGCTATGTCACAACTGGGGCATCGTGCAATATGTGGTTCAACTTTTCAGGGTTTTTTCTGTTTACATTTGTTTTTACTTTTCTCCATCATTGGCAACTCTCTCTTTTTTTTACGGCTTTGTATTTAACACTTTGCAGTATTTCATCCTGTCCAACCTTGAATTTTGTTTCTTTTTGTTGAACTTTGTAAAAATAGTTCAAACTATCGTGATATATCTCCTGTAAGACTTCTTATGCTGGCGAATTCTGATGTTTGTCAGAATTTGTCATGTAGATAGGTACACTCTTGTAAAGTAAATGAAACAATATATTGTCCTGTACTCTTACCATTTTACATGGGGCCTTATACGTGTTATTTATCATGGGAGGGGGAGGTGGCATTTCTACAGAACCCTTTTATGCTGAAAGGCCCATTTTTCGTCAGCGGTTTCCGGTGAAACACTGTGCCGACTGCGGCCGCTCGTTAAACATGGCGGGGAAATAGAATTTTTAAACTACAAAAAAAATCCACCAGCTCCCCAAATGTCACCTTCTGTAACGAATGCCCTTGAATTAAACTATCATTCCCTATTCCGCCGTAAAAGCAACAAAAAGGGCTTCATTTGCTGCGTCAACGCGAAGGGATGACGACCAAAAGGGTTCATGAAACCGAAGCGACACAAATGATAAGCTTAAGGAATATGAAAATTGCTTCGCTTCCGAAGCTGCTGATATTTCCCTAAGTGTGCAGGACCTTTCAGCTTTTGCAGAAGATATGCCGGCCGAATTGCTTTACGTGAAAGCATCACGGAAAGTCAAGACCGAAGAAATTTTGACATCACGCGCGCCAACTGTAATTTGCACTCGTCCTTCAACTTTGCACTCGTTTTCAGCCAATTAGAAGCAGGTCATTTTTTACTTCTATTATTCTAAACGAAATCACGAGCATCCTTGATCACTATGGAGAAAGCGACCACCAAGAAGTTACAAATTTTGGAAGAAAATATTTGCTTAACAAGCTCCGATTTCTTGGTGTCCGCTTTTGACTCAAAGCAGGTGTTAATGCTTTTGACTTGTCTTGTAAACGATGCCGAGCAAAGTCCACCCATGTTTACGACTCGTAAATTACATAATCTAAGTTTCGACCGAATTCCTGGCTTCTTAATTACGTGCTGTTGTCCTCTTACCCAACGGAGTTGTACTTCAAAGACTCAGTGGCCATGCGCGGTGAAGTGGGTGCACCCTTTGATGAAACAACTTGTTTCACTGGTCATGTTTAGGTCAAACGGGAAATGATTCGGCGAGACCACTAAAATCTGAAAATAATATTCGACGGCTTTTAACCTCACTTGTGAGTTTCACAACTCAGGCATGACGAGAAAACTACTGGAGTCCTCCAGTTCACCCACCGACCAAAACGGGGTGTTGGCTCTTCGATTTTCATCTGAGTTAAAACCTGAGCTTACTTTCTCCACCCAAAAAATAAGACCACACGGTCACATTGCCCATAATGTAACCAATTTATTTCGGGATTATCCTCTAACAATTCCCTTTTTATGATACATTAGACATCTTTTAATTAGGTATTTACAGTTTTATGAAGGATTATAATTTCTTAATTAATTTGCTAGGTTTAAATGATGTTTTCCCATTGTTACAAGTCTGATGACAGGTGCTCTTAAAAACCCTCTTTCTCCCTGGCAAAAAGTACATCTCCGGTCCCCTCATCAATATATACATAAGCGAAAAAACCCGACAATAAATTAAAAAATGTACAAATATATCGAGTAATAATTATAATACGTCAAGAATTCCACTTAAATAAGAATATTACAGGCCGTATGAGTCGCAAATAAGTTACGTTTTGAGGAAAGATCACCCACTATTCTTAAAAAATACATCTTCCACAACAAACACTTTCAACCGAAGTTCTTCATGATCATTAGTGCAGTACACGTCCTGCATGTTCATCACACTTTAAAGCGATTTTACAGAAGAGAAACCAAATGGATGTTACAGGTTGTATAAATATGTTAGTATGTAGCATTATATGTAGCTTGAAACAGGCTGTTTTAAGTACACTCTTGTACCATTGTTAGCTCTAACCCAGTGTAAAATCTAAAAATATTTTCACTTCAGTTTCAGTAGAGACACTACCGGGTGGATTATATTGATGTGTCAAAACAAATTTCCCGAAAATTCATATGCTTAAAAAAGTGAACTGAAATAAGTAGAAACATTTTCTGTATAGCAACCCCCCCCCCCACCCCACCCCAACCCAACCCATCCGCACTTGCTACTTTGAAGAGACAAGTTTCAAATTGGTGTGGAAGCTAATCCAGGATTGCATTAGCTTGGTTTTATCAAATCCAAAACTAAAAACTATAGGCGACCGAGCTGTCTTATTTGGCTTTAGTGACGACTTTTACCTCATTTTTGAACTGACACTAAATCAAAGTGCTTCTGATTGTTTAGTTCATTTTGCTGTATTTTGCCCAATAAGTGTTACGTACGAATAAAAACTGCTATAAGCAACATTTTAAGACCTTAATCAAATTTGAGTCTCGGACAGGCTTAAGGGTTGCCATTTTCTTTAACCACTCGGCCAGAGAAAAAGGCATGAACTGCTGTGAGGTAAAACTGAATACATTTTAACAATCAGAATGGTCAGCAGAGTAGAACGAATGGAAATTTAACCTCCTTTCCAAGATCGTTTGCTCTCCTCTCTTTAGGAAAGAAGAGAAAACAACCTGAGAACAAGGTCGGGATTAATTCTAAGGGGTGGCTGTGTGCGTATGAATTCGAGATATACCATAGTCAGATGTCGATTAAACCTTCCAACATAAATAACGAATGGTGAGTTTCTATGCAATTACTTCACTTGCACTGCTTCCGTATGTCTGGGACAGGATCCGTTGCGTCAATTTTCACTGGAGGCGTTAAGAAAACCGTTACATTGAGTGAAATCATTGCTAGGGCCAGCGGTATTCTCTTGAGCGGCAGGCATGTCCCTTTTTTTAAGAGCCCACTGCATGGCCCAAATACTCAGCGGTCTCATGTACGCCAACGAGCGAAAGTTGCCATTAGCAATAATAGCCTCTGGAGTCTGGAAACCCATTCCAAGTCTCTCAAAACAAGTGTTGTATATACCACTAGCTGTTTTGAAGCCCTCGTCCACCAGACCCTAGAGAAAGAGAGATTTTGAGCTTCTTTTCTGATAAACTTTCCTTACGTAAATTGACGCATGATATTTCAGAAAAGTGATACTATACACAGCACCTCCTGAATCATAGCAGCTGCAACAGCGTAAGTGATCCCGGTCCAGACCTCCTCTGCCTGTAAACTGCTTGTATCTACCTATGAATTTACAATGGATTAGTCAAATCATCTTCAAGAGTGACAGCTTTCTACATTTTCAGTTATCTTCAGCGTCACTTTCCACACAGCCATGTCCAGCCTCAACCAGCCTTAACGCACTGGAGACATAAGTCACAGAGTGTTCTCCAAAGCACGACTTAATTTCCGTCTTTTTAAAATAGAATGCAACAAGACTATTTTATACGCCACAGACAAGGACATCAGTGTCACAACACAATTTCATCACGTGTAGTTTCAAAATTGTTTTTGGAGGCGATCATATTCGTCGCAATCGACATGTAAAGTCAGACTTGTAGACACCACTGTTTTGAAAAATGATATGTTATCTAGTGAATAACACAGGCATACTTGGAGAAAAAGAAATCTGAGTATTCCTAATAGGTGTCGAACCGTCGACCTTCCGATTAGTACTTGGGATGCTCTACCTTTGAGCTATGGGAGACTCGTGCCAGGCTAAGCTGTATAACTAGGTTCATGGTGAAATACTTCCTGCACGGGGCGAGGATCGATAGGAATGTCGACATGTGATGCTCATAATGTCAATGAAGATGGTAAATTCAAAGCCTACTGTTTGTTGTACAGAAGTAAAACAAGTTTTTCTACACCTAAATAGAGAATCCCTTCTGACCTATGTCGAAATTGACAAACCTGGCCATTAGGTCTCATGCCATTCACAGCACCCATCCTTCCATCTTGGAATTTAAGCACATTGTTCTTGTATACGGTTGTCAGAGCACTGAGTACATTTGCTTGTGGAAAAACCTATGAACAATGGTGAGAATTAGATAACAGAGAACTAACATTCTAAAATATTTCTAGCTATCTACTTTCAACCTCATAAATAAATGATCAAGCATTCCTGACCATGTAGGATATTTAGTTGCTTTTAAAATTTTCCTCCGTGATAGGTTACCCCGCCCCTGGCCACGGTCGTGCGTTCTCGTCATATCATCACAAATTACTATTTCTTTCTCTCTTGTCTCCTGTTACAGAAGTTCCATGTTGTCATTCACTGGCTAACAGTGTTTAGTGCCTCCTCAAATGTTTAAGTCAACTGTAACCACAGGGTACCATTAATAGAATATACTTTGCCGTCTTGGTCACATTAGATATTTCAATTTTCTACCAGGTTCTTATCAACAAAGTAACTATTGAGTCAGAGAGAAGATTATAGAGAGAATATAGAGTAAGAGAGTACATAAAGCTAAACAGATGAGAAATCACATTGGTTCCTATTGCCTCTGTTTCAGGTACCACCTTTATAATAGTTGCATCCCTTGTTTTACTTTGGGCTCAAAGCCCAGTTCAAACGCAGAGTCAGTGGTTTAACATTTGACGCGAGGCAGTGACAGGTATAGGTTATGACATGATTCGAGTGCACTTTGGTGTTAAGAAGCACGAGTAAATTTTTCGTAAACAAAAATTGCACAAGCCCGTAAGGCAAGTGCAATTTGAAGTCTTTGAAAAATTTATGGGTGCTTATTTCACCAAATTGCCAGAGAAATCAGTTTATTACTTCTTAATAATGCACACGAAAAACCGTCAGAGAAAGTCAAGACAATCGGCACTCGTGTTACGTGAGAATGCACTCGTTTTCAGCCAATCAGAAGTGCGTAATGTTTTCATGTACAGTATTATCCTTCTTATCCGCCACTTATAACAATGTAATGCTGACTCAAAGATCCTAAACTTTTCGAAATACAAAGCAAATAAATGAAAACCAGCTAATTTTCATTACCCTGTCGCTGGGTGATTGTCCCAGGTCACATGCCTTCAGATACCATTGACCAGCCATCTGATCCGCCATGATACTGTTGTGGTATTTACTGGTGCTACTGTCGTAGTTGTAGTATATCCCTACAAAATGATTTAACCACATCAAATGTTTCCCGTAATTTCATTCGAATGACTAAGCATCTGTTGCATCTGTTATTTTGGACAATGGTTTATATCATGTGATCTATCTATACTCCTTAGTATTTCAAATAAGATGACAGCTCTCAGACGTATTATTTCATGATAAATAATTGATTCACTGATTGCTTAATTGATCGATGTACAATGTATGAAGTAACAGTTTATTTAGCATTAACCCAAACGGCAGTGTTTCGTTGCCTTAAGTGAAATTATTTGCCATTACATGATCGACAATGTGTGAAAAACACATCTAAATTACCGTTCCACAGCAGCTTGTTATACGCCTTCTTTCCTCTTTTAAGGGTGTTGACGTATTTGACTGCTTCTTCTGGTACTCCCAACACATGGCCTATCTCCTGCATGACGCGCAGAGATGCCAGCCACAGTCCCCCACAATAGGCACTATGAATAAACCAAAGAGAGCTTTTTAAGAAAATCTTGCTTGCAACATTGGATGCAACAAACTTTATTATTGTACTTTTACGCGCGCTTGTTTTAATTTTCTCTTCACTTTCAGTGAAGAGGAAACGAGTTCACACCATGTACACTCTAGACTCCATAAACATACCTACTACTGTGAAGAGAAATATATCTTTGTATATAACGAAATTTAGTGGTTCAACTTCAGGTGTCATGGGTTGACACTCAACTATTGAATAGGACAAAGTGGGAGACGCGGTAAAAGCAGGCTGGACTTAGAGCTCAGACGTGCACGTTCCAGCCCTGGTGAGGTCATTGTACTGTCTTCTTTTGCCACAAACATGTTATTCTCATAGTGCTTTTCTCCACCACAGGCTATGAACTATCACGAACAAAAATGTCCAGGAAACCTGCATAAACTCAGTTGCATTGTGGGCCACTGTGTGCAGACCTTAGCTTTGCCTTTCGTACAAAAGGAAGATCACTTGTGACAGTGGGGGAAAATAAGGCGACAAATGCATACCTAGGACCTGTCACTGGCCAAGCATCGTAAGTCTGATCTGCAAAGCCAGAGTTTTCTATCAAGCCATCACCATCTGTATCGTGCAAACTGGTTTTGTTCATAACTATCTAAAAAAACCAACAAAGAAACAATGGTAAACTTACTCAATCACCTTATCTTTAATTAAGGAACGGGTGTAAAGGCCAGTTGATTAACAATAAAGGTTTCCAATAATCAATGTTGACATCAACGCTAAGTGTTCACATGAACAATCAAAAGGCAGCGAACAAATGAGAACGTGACTGAAGGAACTTAAAAAGGCATCACCAGGACGCCAGCAGCACTTCCACTTTGTGTTTATTTGAATAAATGGCAAGAGTTTTGTTGCCAGTTATAAAATGGCCTGTGTCTGGCCTTCAGTCAGTCAAAGGAAAAAAATTAAAAAAGCGGGTGAACGAAGAACGATGAAGTTCTGGGAGATGGCCTTCAATGGCTTGGCCTATCTTTCGTCTTGTCTGCAATAAACTTTTACGTGTCAAGGTGACTTTTCAGCAGGTAAAGGCGAAGTAGGATTTAGAAAATACTACTTGCCTTGAGCAGCATTCATAATAAAAGTTGTTAATTTGCTAACTGGAAGTACCTTTACAACAGGCCACATGTCTTTAAGGTATTGAATGTCCTTTGTTGCCTTGTAGTCTCGATACACCTGCGGCGAATGAATTTACTTGTCCGTGAATGTGAAGAACGTGAAATCAAATAAACGTAATTTTGACCTAATCGACTATATTGGCTAACCAGTAGTTTTAAAACCAAACCATACCTGTAGAACAAACTTGAGGTTTAGATCTTTCCAGTGAGCGGTGTCATGGATGGTATAGGCATTCACTTTCTCCCACGGCTCTTCAGCTACAAGGTAATCATCAACTATACATAAGATCCCATGAAGCACTTCTTTATTTGGCCTAAACAGATAAGTACTGCCGTACAGGGCATATTTTTTGGGGTCTTGAGTCTTGCACAGGGATAATAATTTCTCTAGACTACGGGCAGTCCTACTTTCCGGCAAGTCTATTACGTGAGCTAAAAAAGGTTTGTGAAAAAAGTAAATTTGGAGGACTGCTTGGAGTCTACAATTTCTCTTTTTAGCCTATTTAACAGGAAGTCTCTCTGGACTGGAAGCTTAAATATGATGTGTGCATTGGTAATGCACGATCTAAATGTATGTTAACCCCCGTTATAACAATTTAACTATTTGGCCTGAGTATGCTGGGGGTAATTGCTCAATTATTTTTGTCTAGAGAGCCTTTTTTCTTTAACATGGTCAACGCCAACCAAACCACCCTTAAATGCTTTCCCCTTGAATTAAGACCATCTTCCCACCTCTTTTGATACAGGCTGGGTGAGGTGAAAATTTAGCTTGATGGCCCAGCTACCACAAGTCTCCTGTAGCTTGGTGGTAGAGCATCTCATGACCTCTTCAAAAGATAACAGATTCGACTCCACTACTGCTCAGAGCACGAAGCATTTCTCATTGTTGGGTATGGCTGTTTCATTGACAGACTAAACTTTTGCATTTCATGCCTATAAAGGGACATGTATCTTGCTTCAAAGGGCACCCATAAGCAGAGAGTTTTACAGTGACTTGGTGATAGCTGGCACAACACACTGACCTGGATCTCCAACATCATGTGGTATGCACCCTGCTACCTTCCTCTGACAGCTTCGACCATTCATCATAGTTAGCATACACTGATCATCTGTCTGATTCACAGTCTGAGCTACAAGAAGAAATTCAAACATAATCAAACAATTTTAAGTCTAATAATAAACATGGAAAAGTTACTCAGTTCTGATTGGTTAAGATAAATGCAGTTTTCAGGTAATTCAGTACAGAAGAGAGTTAATTCAGTGCAGAAGAGGGTTAATTCAGTGCAAAGAAAGTAACAAATCAGACATTCTGATTGGTCAATAATCAAAGAAACTCACAGATAGCCAATCAAATGCGAGCCTTGGATGGGCACCTCCTCCCCCTTCCCCTGCATTTGAACTTTTGAAGATTGTTTTTTTTTTTTTTACATTACACCTCCTGGGACCAAAATTGTGTTCAAATGCCCCAATTAAGTACTGGACTTCAAGGTCAATTTTTTGTATGAGGCAAAATCAGCAACTGTGACTTTCTACTCTTTAACCAAGCTTTAAAAATCAAGACCTTTCCGACCTTTTCTTCTGAGCCATTCACTTGAGGCACAGATGATGGTCAAATGCCTGTGGGTTGTTAACCAGGAAGGGGGGGGAGGGGGGATGTTGATGCTTCAAATTGATCAGCATCAGATGATACCATACCTATGTCATACTGAAGACTCAGTTGTAACTTTGGCCACAGCATGGCAAGAGCAAATGATGCATAGAAGTGGACATCATATGTGTTATACATTCTGTATTCATGACCTGCCAGGAATAAGATATCGATCTCAGACTAATTGTTATTAAATATTATCATTACAGAGTGTGACTGGATATCATGTAACACTGATGCAAATAACAATCATTTCCAGTTTGTTTTTGTGAAAGTGTTGTCAAACAATACCTTCCAAATAGGCAAATCTGCCATGCTCCTTCACAAACTCAGGAATGGTGGTGTTGTCACTACATGTGGCATCATCTACATCCATCCATACTGTTCCCCCATCAGCAACAAAGTACAGCTCATTAAACAGAGCTGACTTGTACCATGATGGCAGTGAACTACAACAAAGATCAAATCAAACAAACAAATATAAAACCAATACTACTCCCACTATAAGACAAATCCTGGTGAAAAATAAAACTTCAGCAAATGAAACCATTTTCAATTGAATGGCTGGTAAAATAAAGTTCTACCTAGTGAACCAGACAAAGTATTCAGAGACATATATGTGATGTAAAGAAGTCTTGATAACCTTCTGGAAAAAACTAAAATGGAAGGTAACTACATAGTAATTTTGAGTGCCAAAGAAATTAGTCTTACCAAATTTCAGTAAAAGCGAAATAAGTCATCAGTGTGTTTTTCACTAACCAAATCTTGGAACTAAATGGTAATTACACAATAACAAAATGCAACTGATTTATTCAATTTCAGCTTGTTTTCATCTCCTTCTTCCAATGTCAGCTACATGTAACATCAGGGCACTGATTGCTCTGTAAGCATAAGACAACATACTTACTCATTTTCTAAAATTGGCTTTTGCCAAGCATCAATCTTGGATTCCCACTCAGGATAACGCAGTAGAGCATGACAACAAAGTGCTTTACCTGCATCACCAAGACGACCAAAGAAGCGAGTGTAAAACCTTAAAAAATTGATGTGACTCAGTTTAAAAACAACATGCAACCTGTAAATCTAGTCTTCACTCCTATCAAATAGGTGTACCCTCATCCCTCTGTTCATTTTTAAGTATCTAAACATTAAGATCTACAATTTTTAAGAAGGCTTAAGATTTTTTCTTTCTTTTCATAGAGAAATGGACTGTGTTGGCGCTGAAGATATGAAATATCTTTCTGCCTCAAACATTGAAAAAACAAATCAAAAGCAAGGTAGTTATATTCTGACAAGCAAGCTTTGTGATATTAATATTGTTGGATAAAATTCTGTGTCTTTCTTGGCAGAAAAGGTAATGTTGTGACTTTCTACTACCTCAAATACAAAATCAAGTATCTGTCGACACATTCAGATGTCATAAATGTAAAGTGTCTGATATCTTACCATCTCAGTCACATTTGATCTGGTTATTGTTAGACCTGTCCTGGTAACAAATACAAGATAACTTGTGTTTTAATTTCCCCCAAATTTCTTCAATTTATGATTACACACCTGTAGTGTTTCTTTTTAGAGGATCCAAAATGGACCACAGGATTATCCCATGAGAGTGAAAACTCCAATTTAGCTTTACCATGGGCTGCTATTTTTGTTGTAGCTGCTACTGCTGCACACAGATTATGCTCCTCTTTAGATTTCTCACTTCGTCCTGGAAGACAAATCAAAATCATAACATGGTGAACATCGAGTTGACTACAATTCAAAATTACTATGGAAAAAGATACAATGACAAGAAACAAACAGTTTACATTAAGTCTGGTGAAAAGAAAATCTTATTCACTCAGTCCTCATTACATTAGAAAGTCATTAGTTCTTCCCACCTCAAATACCTTACACATCAGTAAACTGTACATAATTATAAAGTTTTATCAAAATTGTAGCAGAGCAGAACACATCAATTTATTGGTATTTCTGACATTAAAACTAGGATTTTCCAACAACTTCCCATTCTACCTGCTGTAGAGTTGAGTTTTCCATCATCTAGAAGATCTTCCCATACCACTCTACAGGGAGTTTGTGCATCAAATGCAGTTTTTGTTGTTACAGTGACACTGTTTTTCCCGGCCTACATATAGAAATAAATCAATAAAAATGCAATCTATGCATGAAACCAAAACATTAAACAAAAGCAAAGTGGAGATATAAGTCAGACAAATAAGTCACCAGTTTTATAAAAAGGGATAACATTTCATCACTGTAGGTTCCTAAGGCACTGATGAAGTTAATCATGCAAAACATAATGCTATTTACAATAATTAATAGAGATTGAGATTTTTGAATTTTATACAAACAACATCACTTTGATTAAGATTTGGGGTCTAATATTTCCACTGAAAATTGACAGCGGGCATCCAGAGTTTAAATGTTTGTCTCCAGCAGGTTAATAACTTTTAACCTTGATGATGTTCTTCATGTAAACCATTGTTTTAGAAACAAAACATCTATCATTCTTGGGGTTGATTCCATAATTTCAAGTGGTGACCAATTATAGGAATTAATATATAAATTTATTAAAGAAAGATGTGTTTCAAAAACTTTTCCTTTAAATATTTTGTGAGGCAAAAATCTTATTCATCGGAAAATGGCTGAAACAAATACTTTATTGTCATGTTTGCTCCTGCAAATTCATTTTACTGTTTGAAGTTGCACTAGTGAAAAACAACATACATTACTAAAGATCTACTTTAGATGAAGGATCATTGTAAAATGATAAACTTAATGTGCTTTTAGTGAATCCCTTTGTATTCATTGTCAGTGATGTAAATAAAGATTCATATTCTTGGTGTCAAGTTTTTACAAAGCATTGATGTATTCTTGTACCTGATTTTGTGCCTTTGCGGCAATTCCAAATGTATATGGTTGGGTTGGGTGGTTATGATGAAGAAGAACTCCTGTTACTTCACAAGAGGTGTTGGTTAAAACTGAATTTCTCTTATCTGCAGAAGGATCCTCCATAGAGCAGTGGCTTCCAATTTTACAGGTAAATGGTTCATTATAATGACCACTAAGTCCTTCATTTACATTTCCATCACTGTTCTGGAAAGTAAACATGATTGAAACTTCCACTTCTTCATCATTGTTATTTTCCACCTCCCAGATAAAGACAGCAACTGGTAAACTGGTGTCCTGTGATGCAAAAGCAAACAGGGTAATTGCTATTTCCTTGAGGTAAATTGAATTGAATTGAAACTGTTCAAAATGCATCTATTTGCAACTTGAGTAACTAATCTGCTGAGTTATCTAGGACTATCAATTGTTAAATCAAAATATTATATTACTTGGAAGAAATTGTTATGCATATTTTTATTCTTCAACAAAATAACAGTTATCGTTACAGCCTAGTTAATTTTTTAACTGCTGCATGCAATACTTACGCGATAATCATGAGGGAACACAGGTGAAACTTGGCGACAAACAAGCTTGATGTTTTGTCCTGGCAGGTAATAAATTGTCCATGCACGTGGATAGAGAGCATGGTATGTAGCATGGGCACCATTAAATCCCCAGTTCCAACCCTGTAAACTACGTCCACACAGCACACCATTTGGACGGTTTGGGGATAACACAGCCTATAGATAATAGTGATTCTTTCTCAGGTACAAAGCATTCACTCTATTTTTTAATCAGTAACTCCTGATTAGTTTTCAGTCTCTCCTGATGTAGAGATTACCCAGGAGAAGTCAAATAAGGACAAGACAGGTCCACCACCTTAAAATAATACTAATCTACCAGATCCATCTCCAAAGGATATACCCGTGAAGAACATGAATATACTAAAATAGTGGATAGTGTTGAAGGCCCACTCTGATTGGCTACTTAGACTCCAAGTATCCTTTGCTATTCAGCTCCAAGCAACTCTTTTGAAATTTGTGCTCCAAAATGTTGTAATCATTATGGCAGTAAATGAGATAAAATCATTTTTTAGTGCTATGTTATCTCACTTTTTTAATACATACTAAAACATCTTTTCACCTCAGTGTGTGGTTAGTGGTAGAGCAGCTAGTTTGATAACCAGCTGCTCAGTTTACGGCAGATGGTGGTGGTGAAAGCAGCTAAATATCCACCACTAGCCACTTCCACTCTGGTGAGTAGTTATTCACTATAGTGCAGCTAAAGGTTACCCCTCCAAACCATTTGTTCTTTAATAAGGGATTAAAGTAAAGATCACTGTAAAAATTACAAGTCTAGCCTACTTTGTATTTATATATACATATACTGTAGAATCAAATTCATGAGTACTATTGAATTGAAATTTAAAAATTACACATTCAAATGATCCTGAACCCAGTCTATAAACACTAACCTGATAAGTGGTTCTTCCTTTCTTTCTCACACAAACAATGAACTGTTGGTACAGGAACAAATTATTAACACACTTGTCTAAACAAAAGATGGAATGATAATGGGACTGAGTGGAGTCTAATTTGGTCTGTAATCATACTTGTAAGTGATTTACAAAGTGGGATGACCAAGAAGCATGAATCCAATTTGTTAATTACCAGATGATTACAGACTGAATTGGACAAAACAAAGCCCTGTTACCAATTAATCACAAAATCTGTGCAACAAACTGGCCATCAGTTAAATTCAGGGCTCCAAGCTCAATTTCTTGAAAGGTCACCTTTTTGACAACCTTAATGTGTAAAATAGCGGCCATATAAATTTTGGTCACCACCCCTCCTCCCTTAAAAAAAAAAACAAAAAACCTTATGTAGATGAGAGGACACTTCATGTTGCACTACATGGCACAGTTAGTGATTTCACAATCCCATCACAGTACTCGTTTTCAGTGGCCAGATTGTAAGTGATTAAAAGATTGTAAGAACAGTCAACAGAGAGAAAGAATGAAGAAACTTCGATGACTGGAAGCAAAACAATTTACTACAAAGTTGCTGAGACTGAGTAACAAATTAAGATGTTTAACACAATTTCATTCTGTTGCTCCACTGAGAATCATCTCTCATTTGAAGTGAACTGAAATATTGGTATCAAAACCTTTCATATTATAAATAACATCTTGAATCACTTCATTTTTCAAAATTTTCTTTTCCTTTTTTAAAATCTGTTGGGTACCAACGTGCAACTTTTGTTGAAATTTTAGTTGCCAAATATTTTTCACCACGGTGACCAAAATGGTTGCAACTTGGAGCATTGAAACTTTTATGTTTTCATCAAAAACAATGATTTACTTGGCAAAATGTCTGACAATGGCAAGCACACACTATACATACTGTCTAATTACACATTGTCAGGTACAACACGCACACTCTACAATTATAGCGGAGCTTGCAGAATGTATCCCCATAATTATACAAAATAGTAGTAACCCGTCAAGCCAAAAAAATTTGGATGTATGACCGTACCACTGTACAACCGTACAAGGTGCTACTTTTAACATGCGTGGTCAACTGTGCTGCGGGCACAACAACGCCACAGCTTTGTTCAGTAGTCCAGTGGTCAGTGCACTGGGCTCCGAGTTGGATGACCTGGGTTCTAGTCCTGACCGGGGCAAGGTGTTGTGCCCTTGAGACGTGCGGGAAAAAAAAAAGGTGAGCTCCGCTTTTAGGCTTAGCTAAATCTATATATTACTGTCCATTTAATGCTTGAATTGAGCAGGTGATAACCAATCATGTTCAAGAATTTTTTTATAGTTTTGATCAATTTAAAGCAACCAAACCAGTCAGGTTTAAGTCAGTTGAGTAAAGTAATAATAATAGGCAAAATAAGTTTTTCTGTACATCATAAAGTAATTGTGTAAAGAAAGATGTTGCATGCTGACACAAATTATGTTCAAGGTAAAAATGATTTGACAAAAAGTTATTTAAAACAATTCAATAAGTGTTGAATCTGAACTTTTAGTCATACTTTCAATTTCTCTCTCTATAACTTGGAGATCTCTAATCAATAGATTTGTGTCCTTAGTCTTTAAGGTATCAAATATCCTTGTCCTTTTCAGTTAAGTTATTGCTGATAGCGATTGCAAACAGAGGCAGAATAATAACAAGAAAGATGACATAGACCAACAGAGGTGTATTACACATTACCTGATTTGCCTCTACATAGGTGTAGTTGTACATTCCTGGGGTGAGCTGCCATCTGTTAAATTCACCCTTCCATCCTCGTCCAATACTACCACATCCTATTCCACCCAGAGGTACCCCTACCGTCAAAGGCAATCAATATCATCAATTAAGCCATAACATAGATATTGTATGGACTAAGATAAAATATAGCTACCAAGAATGTGATATATGGAGAATAACACATGGGCATACCAGGATAGGGAATTTCTCTGTAAGTATTCACCTCAATAGCTCATGACTGAGCGCAGCCAACGAGTGAGATGTCAAGAAGAGAAGAGAAGAGAAATTCCATATCTACAAGCAACTATGTATTATTTTGTTTATCATATAAACACAATAGCGCCAGTTTTAGTGACAAGAAAAGCCAACCTCACTAACAAATGAAAAGAAAAGAATCGGCAATCACATAGTGTGTTGGTGCTAAGGCTCAAGATGGAAAAATGCCTTGAATCATGATTACAAAAACAACAATGGGCATAATTTACAATTCACAAAATCCTCATTTATTGACTTCTTCCTTACTGACAGAAGAAGTCTTTCAGGTAAAGGGCCAAAATCGGCCTATGGCTAATCTTCCAGTCGTAGATTTTCGTTCTCAGCCGTGAGAAACGTCATTACCAAAGCCATTGCATATATAACTTTTGGTTTTCCTCCTCTATTTTGGTTTTCTTCTCCTTCTTGGAGAGTTTGAACATCACTATCTGTGAGCAATACCAATTTTGTAATGATCTAGACACCATAATCCAAGGAAGTTCAGAAAACTACCCTGTATGGAAAATCATGAAGGCTTTACCATTTATTTGTCAACCTGACTGAGTAGCGTGAAAGCCAAGTGACATTTCAGCAGCTGATTGGTGATATCAAGCTGTTGTTACAGCTTTTCTCAGGGCTGGAAATCCTTATATAATGTTATTTTATTATATGACAAAATTGATCTAACAAGTTGGATCTCATCGTTAAATTTGAGCAATTATCTGTTCTACCACGAAAATTCCAAAGTTAAATTGTACCAGCTAACTAATATTTCACTCTGATCCAACCTTTGACTCTGAGTCAGCATGGAGGCCGGTGAGCCACTCAGCAAGGACCTTGTTTTCGAGAGAGATTTTGACTGCATAATGTTGTGGAGATACAGGTCTGGAGTATCATTTAATGCTTGAAATGATTGGTTAGATATTTTGATATTACATTTCTGGTGTCTATACTTAGGAGCTCTTTAAGTATCAAATATCATTTCAGTAAGTAAGTCCCACACATCAGGCAAGTGTGGGAACTTAATCCTGCTAAATTTCTGTGCGAAGATACAAGTGTATTCGGTAGTCTCTGCAAAAGAGGTTACTGTTTTCTCTTTAAGGGAAGGTCTTAACTGTATATTACTTTGTGAGAAAGAAATTCTACTTGCTGGCCTGACCAATTTAGTGTTAAGGTGAGGTTGTATGCCTGATGATTTCTGTCCAGAGCTTTATGATGATACATGATAAATCTCACTGCTCAATAATGTTTGAGCTGGAAATAATTCATCAGCCAAGCAAGGTTTACCTTGGCTTCTGTGCTTTCAAAGCAAGAGAAGGAATTACTTCTCTGGTAGTTCGATGGCAGATGCTTAAAATCACATGGTGTATTATCCAACTGTTGAACCTAACATGAGCAAGATTAACCAATTATGGAATTAATCTTGACATCACAGTTCAAGTATTCCTTCCCAGTAAGATGAAGGCCTCTTGGCGGTTAGTGTGTTTTCTAACTAATTGTAATGTACTATTTCCCAGTTTCAAAAGCATAATCCTAAACATGCTCTCATTCTTTTGTACCCACTCTCCTGGGTAATCAGTCTTTCTCAGTGAGGAGTACTCTGACAAGATGTCTTTAAGTTGAGCAAAAGTTCTGAAATGCCACAACTTTACTACCCGTAAACAACCAAGATGCTTGGGTCCTTAGAACACCTGTATTTTGGTGTGAATTTGTTTCACCTGGTATTTACAGGAGTATTTTCACAAGAGATTTCCTAGCTTGACTTGAGCTTTGAAATGGTACATTTCACTACTTGTAAACAACCGAGATGCTTGGGTGCCTAGAATATTCGTATTCAGTGTGAATCCGTTTCACCTGGTGCTTACAAGGGTACTCTGAAAAGAAGTTTTAAAGTTGAATGTTCACTACCCATAAGCAACCAAGATGTTTAGGTACTTAGAATACTCGTATTTAGGTGTGAATCTGTTTTGCTTGGTGTTTACAAGGGTACTCTGAAAAGAAGTTTTAAAGCTGAATGCAAGTTTTGAAATGCCAACAGTTCACTAACCGTGAACAACGGAGATGCTTGGGTGCTTAGAATATCTGAATTTTGATATGAATTTGTTTCAATAATGCAATAATGTTAGATTATTTTATCCAGCAGACTGAGTGGATAGTTTGGCCACAGCTTTAGTCACAGATCTTGAAAAAATGTGACAAATGCAAAAATTTGATTCACTCACTTTCAGAACTATCCTTGTACATGCACTACGGGATAAACAAGTAATTAATTGAAAATTTGTAGTAACTCTCAACAAAATGAAATATTGCAATGGAAAATATTCCACAAGCTTGAGGAGATGTTACATCATACAATTTTTGACGACCACTTTAACCCATCATTTTGTTGCGGTAGTGTGTTGCAATAATGTAGGCCAATTGCCTGCAATATCCTTGTTAAGAATATGGTCTGTGCTATGTTACATGATAACAACCCTCAAGGGATCAATGTTGCATTAAAAGTCATTCCATGTAAAATCACCTTTATGCGAACATGTAAAGATAACAATAACAACATTTTTAAAGAGGATGCCCTATTTAGTGGTTCACAAGTGAAATACTTTCCCAATGTAATACCGCAATAATATTTTTGCTGTACCTATAACAAAGGAATACAAATATCTATCAAAGCTTAAACAAACAGTTAAAGTATTTCCTTCTAAAAAACTGTTTGATAATTGATTATTGACATGTTTCCCTATAGAACATTTCATTTGGGGATGAACAATCTGTTAGAAAACGTAATGGAGATATCGGAAATCCTGTGAAAATGTTTTTGTTAAATTTTGTGCATTTGGTTCTACAAATAAGAGCACAGTTGATTGATGCCTTGGGAAAAAAGACATATCTGCATTCACACCTTTGGAAACTGCCTGTGTGAATCAGAAGTATCTGGTTACTATGCAAATGAGATTATGCAAGATTGAAGTTTGCATAAGCTCATTTGCATAAAAGGATTAAGCAGCATAAAGCTTGTCATGATCATTCAGAAAAGAGTGGTTTTGCTCACTAATTTATAAATTCTTATACCTCACTTTTTTTCAGTTGGCTTATGTTTTCAATGTGAATGTACAACATGTGCTAGCTGGAAAATAACTGCATTATAACTGAAGGTCCAACAAGAAAACAGCTAAGGCAACCAATATTTAGCTGGAGAATTTGTTGTATTAGCCAGAGAATTCTCCACTCTTCTAGTCAACATCCTGCCACATGAATACTCAGACATTTATAACAGCCAAGGAGGCATACATGAAATTTGGGTTTTCAACAAAATTAATCCAATATAAGAATAGTTGAAGGAAAGACTTAAACAATAGTCAAATTTCATCTGAGCCAATCCAAAATCTTGGAATGTGAACCAAACTTATCAAAACCATGGCAAAAATTATCCTGTCAAATATTTAAATGGACGATTTTCACATTTTTTGTCTAACAATTTAAAACTGGGCTAATTAAATTTTTGTGTATCTACTTATAATAATTATATCAGAGATACTGGAAAAGTTTGTAAGAGAAGTAACCATGACACCAAATTCCATGACACTACATTTATTTCTCCAAAATAACACTGAGCCCAGTTGTTGACAGAGACATGGTAATTTGTAGTTTTTCCATATTGGTTGATGCCAGTGCATGATATGAGATTAGCATCTTTCAGGTTTGATAAACTATGTCTATGAAAGAATAAGCTTTGTCTATCACATTCAAAATATCTATTTATCAAATTTAAAAGTCTAAATCTGTTTTGTCAGAATGGCTTGTGTATTCTACTCAAAAATTTTGTTCATGGTTACTTTAATAATTGTCACCTGTCTGCTTGATAGCATAATTTCATTGTGAGGATGTGAGTTAATTTTACATTTGGGAATTTGATTATCTTGTAGTGGTAACAATTTTAAAACAGATAAAGACCTCTTCTCTTTAAAGAGCTACTTGAATTATAATAACAGGATTAAAACTCCCCAAAGTGTCAAATCATCATTCACTCATTTATTTAATGTGGAACTACCTCATTTCATATTCCTGGGTGTTTGTGTTGCTGAGACTAGTCTATGTAAAACAGGGAACAGCTGATGTTTAAACTCGTAAACATGTGACATGCATAGTTCAAAAGCACCATATGGTGAAAAAAATATCATTAAATTTTTTCTGGAACTGCTACATTATAATTTTCATGTGAAAGAAAATCTGTTACAAGAGAAAACAGCTTGATGCTTTTCTGAAAATTGATCAAAAGCATGTGAATATCAGTGGTTGCTCTCATGCAATTTGCTCCAGGCTGTAGTGTAAGTATCACAAAAGCTAGAGAATGACCAAAATTCATCTTCCCTTAAAATAGATGCAAACTCACTTGAGCCAAGTATTTTATTTAGTCTTCAAAACAATTAGCAGTTTTTCTAATCAAGCCTACTATGCATGACACTGAATTAGAAAAGCTGTATGGTATATAAATGATCACAAAACATCCAGGATAAATATGCCATCACCAATTTTTCAAAACTGTAGTCTTTTCTTTAAGGTCACAACAGAGAATAACATGGGAAGAATACTAGAAATTATAACCACCTGCCAGTAACTATCTCACTTATCTCACTGAGTCAGAATACCTGTCTTATTATTGACCACTACAGGAGATATAAGTCAAAACGTATTCTCACATCTACGCATTGAAAGAGAACACTGTCTTTTTCGACGTTAAAACGAGTCGAGGAAAAATAGACGGAACATTCGTGTTCTTGATTCGCCTTACGGCAATCGCTTTCATTTTTAACGTGAATTATTTCGCTAATAATTAAATTAGGTATAATCTTATAAATAAGAAATCGAATGGAAACTGCGTATTTTTTATTTCGAGAATTTCAACAAAGAAACAAGTTCGTAAGTTTAAGTTCAATATCTGATTGTATATTTTTCTGAAAAGTGTTGTATCACGCGTACGTGGAGATGTCACATTTCAGTACCGAAACGATACATTTAACAATTACGACACGGTTTGGGCCACGAGATCTTCCACAGTGGGACAATGAACGTCTATTGTAACAGACATAAGTGGATGATCCAAACGCTTGAAAGCTTGCTTTCCAAGAAGTAGTATCACAATCAATCATTTAAGGTCTCGAAAATTCTTCTAAAGCTAAAACGAGAAATCTACTGCTGATATTAACACTCACCGTAAACTTGACGACAAGGATTTGTGGCGAGTGGGTCTATAAAAGGAACTCTGCCGTTTTTTCTTTCTCTTGTAGCGTACTTCATGAACCTGATATCAAACGAGCGGACAATGACATCAACACACACAAAAAAAATTATGCCGGTTTTTTAAGTGACCGATTCCCGGAAAACAAAAATAAATTTTTGCGTAAACGTAATACCTCCATCCTAGACCTATTAGCCTTGGTATTTGACTCCACCGAGGGATGTAACATGGTTGAGGCTTATGTGAAAATACATTATCGAGATGAACCCTCCATCCGTATTTCGGAAGATGGTCTTCACTAAGGTCCCCTGACGAAGAGGCCGCCATTTTCAGTGAACCCTTTTCGGCGGGCAATGATTACTGAGCAAGCGATAGGTTAGATCTTAGTCAGCGGCTTTCATTGTCAAAGGGGTAGGCATGTGAATGAAATAAGCAGTAATGATTTTAGATCTGGTGAAGAAACGAATACAAGAAATCCTCGCAGCTAAGAACACTACTGAACTAGTAGTTGAAATAAGACCTGAAAAACAATTTTCGGGTCCGTACGGGATTTGAACCCATGACCTCTGCGATACCGGTGCAGCGCTCTACCAACTGAGCTAACACGCCAACTGGGAGCTGGTCAATATGTTAGGTCCAAATAAACCATGCAAATGATGAATAATGATTTTAGATATATGAAATATTGACCAGCTCCCAGTTGGCTTGTTAGCTCAGTTGGTAGAGCGCTGCACCGGTATCGCAGAGGTCATGGGCTCAAATCCCGTACGGGCCCGAAAATTGTTTTTCAGGTATTATTTCAACTACTAGTTCAGTAGTGTTCTTAGCTGCGAGGGTCTTTTATATTCGTTTCTTCACCGCAGTGCAAATATATGAATTTCATATATCTGAAATAATTATTCATCACTTGGATGCTTTATTTGGACCCAACATATTGACCAGCTCCCAGTTGGCTTGTTAGCTCAGTTGGTAGAGCGCTGCACCCGGTATAGTCCAGCTGTTATTGACCAAAAAAACACTGAATTGTTCAAATTACTGATAAAAGCATGAAGCTTTGCCACAACACTTATGACCCTAAGACTAACATTTTCTGATACAGGGCCAATCCAAATTAACTTTTGGTGACGAGAAACACGCATGTAAGAAATTCGCTAACATGGAAAAGAGGCTAAGAATAAAAAATCCTCTTTAACAACATTGCTTGGGGGAATTTGCGACAAAAGCCTTCAAACATAACAACCGAGTCATTTTCTGTCCATTCGTATCCATCATATGCTCTTACGTGACTATCCTCTATGATATTTACCATAATGTTTGGGTTCTGTGGTTAAACGTTAACTATACCTGTTAGCGTTATTTTCTGAATCACGATTGGTAAAACTTGTTTACCTTAGAAACAAAAAGCTTATGTCTTTGGTTGATTTGACATTCTCTTCCGTTACCTTCGTAAAATTAACCAACTATTTGAGAAATAAGCTTTGGTTAACAGGCTTGGAATACCTGTGGTAGATTGTTCAGCTAACCAAAATTCAACAAACGATTGATGCAATGCCTAATTCTTAGTCGATCTGCTCTAGTCGTTAGTGACACCGTTGTCAATATTTATGGCTGTTGGCAGTTGCCGCCACAGTTGTACAAACCAGTGCATGCCAAATTAGCTTTTAAGCACTTGCATGGTCCTCTACATGAAGCTCGGCATCGAATAAGTTCGGGACAAGATTTCTTTGCTTGCGGTAGAGCTTTTCAGAATGGTGACCATGAGTTGTTGGGCTGCCGCCACCCCCTGTCTGATGGGCTTGGAAGCACTGACTGACAAAGGAAGTTTTGTCGCCATACGTAAGCTGCACAGCCTAATCAAGTAAATGGACCATGAGGCGAGTATCTGCCTCTTCATGCGTGCAAGGCACAAGTAATCTCATCTCCGTTTTTTCTCCGTTTTTTCAGTACTTGATAGGATACCATCGCCATAGGTAGAGTAGATTCTCTTACCCTCGGGGTAAAAGTATTTCCTGCTCGTGCGCATCTTGCGCACTGGCAGGAAAATACTAATGTCAAAGGCGAAGGAGGCGCAGTTGGTCTCACGGAGAATCCATCAGCTTTGAGAAGATGGATGGTGAGTGGTCCTGAACTCTCCAGGATGATTCAATAGTTCGAAGGTAGCAACAATCAAACAGAGGAAAATGACCATCATGAGCAGAAGTCAGGTATCCAGAAAGCATTCTGCAAAGACGTACTGAATATACTATCTTCATTCAAGAACTTGGCAACCCGTTCCTAGAAGGAGGAGGAAACCTGATGGGGATCCATATCTGAGATATCATGGATGATACGGTGGTCAAAACTGTTCGCAGTGTTACAAAAATTGGTGAGGAACAGTCCAATTCGTTTGCCAATGAGCGGTTTGTTTGCCTGTTACACAACCTTTCAAGAAGAACAATCTTCCCACTTTCACGTCGTCGAACAAGAAGACCGTTTCAAAAGACAAGACGAAAGTGGAAGTTTTGAAGGATGACTGTGCTTTATTATGAGAACCAACCATGGCCGCCATCACTTTCACAGCTTGGTCAGCTTAGAGGAGGACAGAAGGCAGACTTGGCGCTGTGTTTGCCCAGCACATCAGCAGAGATCGCAACTCAACCAGTCGCTGATGTAGTTATTCTTGATGGAACTGCTGTTGTGCAGATGCTACAGCCAAGAGAACGTTTGATGAATACTTAAGTACCGTGTACGCTTCTTACATCCTTAAACACCTGGAAACGGCGAGAAGGGCTGACTTAATCTGGGATGTCTATCAGGATGATTCACTGAAGAGATCATTGCGAGAAAAGAGAGGCTCTGGACAAAGGCACAGTACACTAGCATCAAAAACAATTCCTGCTGACTAGAAAGGCTTCCTGCGAGTGGTTTAATCACAAATATTTACATTCATTTTATTTAAGGTGGTTTTACTGAAGGTTCCCGAGGGTAAGAGCATCTACTCTACCTATGACGAGGGTATCCTATCGAGTACTGAAAGAACGGAGATGAGCTTACTTGAGCTTTGCACACATGAAGAGGAAGATTCTCGCCTTACGGTCCATGTACTTGATGCAACCTCAAGCGGAAATCGATGAAATAGAATTAGAAACAATGATACAGATGTTGTTGTACTTGTTATTTCAGTGGCTAGCACTCTTCCAAGAGATCAACTCTGGATCACCTGTGGATCTGGAAAGAATGTACAGAATATCCTTGCACTTGCCATAGCAATGTCCCTGGGTCCTGATAAAGCCTCGACCCTACCAATGTTCCATGCACCAACTGGGTGTGATACTGTTTCGTCTTTTAGAGGGCGTGGAAAGAAAACGGCTTGGGATGTGAGGAACTTGTTTTCTCAACTGACACCAGTGTTACAAGTCCTCAAAGTATCACCACAAGAGATCACAGAGCAATGCATGGTTGTGCTTAAGAGGTTTGTTGTCCTTATATATGACCGTAAAGCAGCCTTACGAAAGTAAACAAGGAGCAACAAAAGCTCCTTTAAAAGAGGTCTAGAAGCTTAGACATTATCCCTCCCACTGGAGCATGACTTGAACAGCACGTCAAAAGAGCAGTGTTCCAAGAAGGTTACGTATGGGGCCAAACCCTCCTTTGTCAGAAAATGCTTCCACAACTCATGGTCACCATTCTGAAAAGCTCTACCGCAAGCAAAGGAATCTTGTTACGAACTCAGTCGATGCGGATGCAGAGCCTCATGTAGAGGACGATGCTATCGCTTAAAAGCTAATTTGGCATTCACTGGTTTGTGCAACTGTGGCGGTAACTGCCAACAGCCATAAATATTGACAACGGTGTCACTAACGACTAGAGCAGATCGACTAAGAATTAGGCATTACATTAATCGTTTGTTGAATTTTCGTTAGATAGGAGAACATTGTAGGATTTCACCTACAGCGCCGTTCAGAGAAGTGTAGCTGAACAATTTACCACAGGTATTCCAAGCCTGTTAACCAAAGGTTATTTATAATAGCTGGTTAATTTTACTAAAATAACAGGAGAGAATGTCAAATCAACCAAAGACATAAGCTTTTTGTTTCTAAAGTAAACAAGTTTTACCAATCGTAATTAAAAAAATAACGTAAACAGGTATCTTTAACGTTTAACCACAGGGAACCCAAACATTATGATGAATATCATAGAGGATAGTCATGTAATAGCATATGATGAATACGAATGGACAGAAAATGACTCGGTTGTTATGTTTGAAGGCTTTTGTCGCAAATTCCCCCAAGCAATGTTGTTAAAGAGAATTTTTTATTCTTAGCCTCTTTTCCATGTTAGCGAATTTCTGACATGCGTGGTTCTCGTCACCAGAGGTTAACTCGGATTGGCCCTCTATCAGAAAATGTTAGTCTTAGGGTCATAAGTGCTGTGGTAAAGCTTCATGCTTTTATCAGTAATTTGAACAATTTTGGTCGATAACCGCTAGACATGTATCACAGAGGTCATGGGTTCAAATCCCTTACGGGCCCGAAAATTGTTTTTCTGGTCTTATTTCAACTACTAGTTCAGTAGTGTTCTTAGCTGCGAGGATCTCTTATATTCGAAATAAGCAGTCTCGGGTGTGGCGAAGACATGTTGCGCACGCCCTTAATTTTATTTTTGATGTGCCTAATCCTTCGCCTCTCAGGAACAAATAAATCTAATGCAAATTGAATCATTACAGCAATATTGAAAAACGATTTCGATCACAAACGTTGAATAGAATTGCAACCGGAAGTCAATATTTCTTACAACCATTTTTACACATCTCTGTATAACTGAGTATAACTCTGTATAGCTCTGTTAAACTGTGTATAGCCCTGTATAGTAGTATATAGCCATGTATAGCAGTATATTGCCCGGTATAGCCCTTTATAGCCATAATAGCCCTGTATAGCTGTGTATAGCCCTGTATAGCTGTGTATAGCCCTGTATAGCTGTGTATAGCCCTGTATAGCTGTGTATAGCCCTGTATAGCTGTGTATAGCCCTGTATAGCTGTGTATAGCCTTGTCCAGCGTCTATAGCTAAGTATAGCTCTCTACAGCTTTGTATATCCTTGTATATTTATATATAGCCCTGTGTAGGTGTGTATAGCCTTGTATAGCTCTGTGTAGCTATGTATAGCCCTATATAGTCGTGTATAGCTGCGTATCTCTCTGTATAGCTGTGTATAGGTGTGTATAGCCCTGCATAGGTGTGTATAGCTCTGTTTAGCGGAGTATAGCTCTGTATAGCTTTGTGTAGCCCTGTATAGCTATTTATAGCCCTTTATAAGTATGTATAGCTCTGTTAATCTGTTATAGCCCTGTATTGCTGTGTATGACCTTGTATAGCTGTGTATAGCCCTGTACAGCCGTGTATAGCTGGGTATAACCCTGTATAGCTGTGTATCGCCTTAAATAGCTGCGTATTACCCTGTATAGCTGTGGATATCTCTGTTTAGCTGTGTAAAGTTCTGTTTAGCTGTGTACAACCCTGTATAGCCGTGTATAGCTGTGTATATCTTTGCATAGCTGTGTATAGCCCTGTATAGCTGTGCATAGCTCTGTTTAGCTGTGTATAGCTGTTTATAGCCCTATATAGCTTTGTATAGTCCTGTATAGACGTGTATAGCTCTGCTTAGCTGCGTATAGTTCTGTTTAGCTTTATACAGCCCTATATAGCTATCTATAGCCCTATGTAGGTGTGTATAGCTCTGTTTAGCTGTGTATAGCTCTGTATTGCTGTGTAAAGCCCTTTATAGCTATGTATAGCCCTGTACAGCCGTGTATAGCCAAGTATAGCTCTGTATAGTTGTGTATAGCCTTGTATAGCTGTTTAGCTCTTTATAGCTGTGTATAGCCCTGTATAGCTGTGTGTTGCTCTGCATAGCTGCGTATAGCTCTGTATAGCTGTGTATAGCCTGTACAGTCGTGTATAGCTGTGTATATCTCTGTATAGCTGTGTATAGCTGTGTATAGTTGTGTACAGCTTTGTATAGCTCTTTATAGCTGTGTATAGCCTTATATGGCCCTGTATAGCTGTGTATAGCTCTGTTTAGCTGTGTATAGCTCTGTATAGTTGTTTATAGCCCTGTATAGCTGATATTGCCCCGTGTAGCTGTGTATGGTTGAATGTGTGTGTAGGATATTACATGTAAAGTATAGGACATTATATGTATGTAAAGTGTAGGACATAATATGCATTGGGGACATAAAAATTCCCCAACTTTTGCAACTTTTTACAAACCAGCGCAATACTGAATCAATAAAGTATTTGTACAGAATAAAAATCCTGTATTCGAGCAATTGTATGTCTACGAATTTAAAAGGGATGAAATAAAGTGCATGGTCATAGAACCACGAGTCGTGCAATTTTGATCTGAAACCATACATGCGATTTCAAATAAAACTCGCGCTGCGCGCTCGTTCAATTTTGAGATCACGCGTACAGCAGACCAAATTGCACTCCACTCAGTTCAATTACAATTATTTATTTCAATTAATAATTTTTCGAATCATAAATCCGGTAATTTGGACATTGTCGGGCGCGCTGGGCTGCTTTGTGACGTACTTGACGTATTTTGCACAGAATGCGCTCTTGCGCGCGGCCCAAAAGTTCTGGACATGTTTGGGTTTGCGTTCCTCTCAGTTCTGATTGGTTTTAGTGTGCTTCCTTTCGTTTATGTCATCACTAAATTAATACCTTTATTAGAAGCATTTGGGGATTGTTTCAGAAGCAAAGAAGAAGTTAGCAGTCAGAACAACTTGGATGAAAATGCTTTTCTACGGGGTTACGGTTACGAACTTGACCGGGTTATAGGCCAAGGGTCATACGCAGACGTTAGGAAAGCTTACTCCATAAAAAGTGAAAGGGAAGTTGCAATCAAGATTGTCCGCAAGGAAGAGGTAAAAATAGCTGCCGTACTTAAAATTAGAGTGAACAGCGTTTCAATAACCTTAGTGCTAATCCATCCGAACAGATGCATGAAAGATAGTTTAACTCGGCTGAAAAACTTTTCAAAAACATTTTAACATTGTGTAGGTGTGAAAACCATGTTCAAAATTTGTCCAAAAAGTTTAAATAACCAATGAATTGCTTAATATATATGAATCAAGTGAAAGATATTGCGCCACTTTCTGCTGTAAGACCTTTTTTGGTCCAGTGATAGATGATACAGTTTGAAATTGATAGATTAATCTTAATGACTATCTTTAAAAAAACTATGAAAAACATGGACAATAAGCTATCTGATTAATAAGAGCCAAAAAGGTACAAATTGAATCAATTTTCTTTGATGGGGAAGTTACGACCGGCAGCGTTAAAGTGGCACTTCATTCAATATTCATGATTTTGCAGGTAGCTTCTTCCAGTATTTAAAAGATAATGGAAAGAAACTGTTGATGTGTTGAGTAAAATTTGGATAGGGTCGATGGAGGTTTAGATGAGGTCGTGGGAAAATCATTAAATCATCATTAACTGAGGTCCAGGAAAAAGCTACGAAGATCAAATCCCTTTTTAGGTGAATATTTCTGTTTATCATAAAATCTGTGATATAAGGGAAAGGCCGATCGATACGGCTTTCCCCTAACCTCAAAGAACTGCTACTCTAGTCTTTATAAATTTTTTCACTTTTCCCCGATTTTTTAAAGGACGATGATGGGAAAAAGAGCAGATTCTTGAAGAGAGAAATAGAGATTCTTAAATGGCTGAACCACAAGAACGTGATCCGAGTATTTGACGTGATTGACGGAGAGAATAAATTCTTTATTGTGATGGAAATGGCTCCTAAGGGTGATCTCCTGTCTCTCTTACTTAAACGCTACAAACTAACAGAGAACGAGGCAAAAGCTATGTTTAAATCAATAGTGGATGGTGTTCTATACTGCCATAAAAAGGGTGAGTGTAAAGACGGGCAAAAAGTTGACTATTCGTGTTTTCCCGTGTACAGTAGATCCTTGTTAACTCGAGCTTCCTGTTGACTCATTTTGAGCAAATTTTGTTGTCATTTCGACTTGAACTCCTTTTACTCCTGTATTGCCGTGTTAGACATTTCTAAGGAGTTTTATGTTGCGTATGCGCAATTTTTCTAAGTTTTGCGTGGAACATTTTTTGCGTTTCGGCCGGGATGAATTAAAATTTATTTCGGGAACTTAAATCTGCGATTTTCTGTTATAGTAGTAGAACATAAAGCAGGAATTTTCGAGTTTTTCCTCTCCGGTATAATTTCTTTGTAGATCAAGAACTATCCACAAAATTCATGGCAAAAATTGAAACCTGGAAAAATTTTCTTGCTCACACGGCAAACCTCATTCGGAGTGAGGTAATACCTTTTATGCTTTCAGGAGTTACCCACAGAGACCTCAAGCTTGAAAACATTCTTCTTTCTGAGGAAAACGAACCAATTGTTACCGATTTTGGCTTCGCTCGTTACATCGGAGCAGCTTCGGATCAAAGAACTCGAAGTAGAACGTTCTGTGGCTCATATGCATACGTTGCTCCAGAGATTCTGCAAGGTAATTCTATGGATAAATATCAGTCTTCTATAAATCCTTCATAAAGAGCCAAGAAAGCTGGTCACCTCGCTGCCCATTTATGGAGTGTCGAAAGTAATGCGGGATGGCATTGGTTTTGCTTTACTAGCTCTGTGATTGGTCCAGAAAACTCGTGCCACTCTTTCAACCAATCTGATGCAAAACTAAACCCAATCATGACTTGGCCGCCTGCGTTTCCTGCTCTTTCGGCAGTTTTAATGGTTGCGAACGATGATTTGTTTTGCTATACCTCCTTACACCAATTTTTAATTAGTTTTTCTTGCTCAAATAAAGTGCTTTTGGCACTGGCTCCATGATTAGTATTCTCAATTGTGGCTTGATGATCATGTGTAAAAAAAGGAACAGTTAATTTTCCTTTAGAGATGTCGTTGATAACTTTCATGCAGTTTTCTTTTCAGTGAGTAGTGTTGTCTTTTGTCAGGTATTCCTTACGATGGCATGGCCAGTGACGTGTGGAGTCTTGGGGTTGTTTTGTACACCTTGTTATGTGGAAGTTTTCCGTTTGATGACTCAAATCCAAAGACTCTTTTACAGGAAACAACTTCTGGTGAACTGGAATATCCCACTCACGCTTCCGATCTTTCTGATCAGGTAACTACTTCTGAAATTCTTTTTGCGCACTTTTTATTTATTAATTTTTTGTTTTACAGCCCATTCGACGACGTGCTGCTTTGAAGGGACCTTCAATGTGAAACTAGGGTTTCTAGCGCTCAAATCCTTAGCGCTATTAGGAGGAATACTTAGAATTAAATTAGTTGTGATAATTTTTCACTTAAGGACGAAAACGAAAACCATCAAAAATCCTTTCACCAAAATCTAACCTCCCAAATCCATTTTTCTTATTTTTTAATCTCAAAAACAGCCAGAGGTGATTTTATAAAAAATGAAGAGTAGTGTTCTCAGGTTATCGGAAATATATGTTCTCAGTTGTACTGACTGCATTCCATCTTTCACCCAAGTCAGTACATGTTACAAGTATTGGTTTACAACAGATGACATGCCTTGATTAAAAAGATTGCGTTATATGTCACGACCATACTGGTTTACGATTCGTTTTACCTTGAAAACATGCCATTCCAATTTCAACTTTCAAAACTTACAGTATGCAAGGTGGTTGTTACACGAGTTTTGTTTAACTGCCCACGTTGTCAGCTACAGTTGGTTCATACACAGGCAGCCCAAGCTCCAGCTGTGAGATGATCATCTTGCGCATTAACAGTCATGGCGGAACTATAAGAGTTTGAATGGGAATTTTTACGAACGCTTGAAGGAATTAAAAAATACGACAAATTCTCAATAAAAATAACTCACCTTACTTCCACAGCGTATCATTTGTTATCTGGCCGCTTACTTTGATGAAAAGAACCCATTTTAGCGAGTTGTCCATTTCGAGGTTTTCCAAGTACATAAGAAAAGCCCAAAGCTGAACACTTCATTTCCGGACGCCCGATCCGAGAAGCGAAAAATCCCAGCGCAAAATGACCGGGTGGCCACAAATCCAACGCAGAATCCGAGCACATGTACTTTAGTTTCATTTCAATTCACTACAAACTCAATCTTTCCCGTGAAACCGACGCTAAGCCGCAGTTTGCTTAAAAAATTTCCGGTTTAAAGGTTTCTAACAGCCCACGTACACGTCAACTTTGACACACGGCCATTGAAAACCAGCTCGGTAACCCTACCTCCTTTTTAAACTGAGCCTCGCTGGGGACTACACAGTAACTTGGCCATCATGGTGCTAAGACAATTTATTCGTGCCAAGTTACGGTGTGGTCCCTGGCGAGATTCAATTTGAATAGGAGGTGGGTTTTCAACGGTCGTGTGTCAAGGTTGATGTGTACGCGGGCTGTTAGAAACCTCTAAATTGGAAATTTTTGAAGCAAACTGCGGCTTAGCATCGATTGCACGGGAAAGATTGAGTTTGTAGTGAACTGAAATGAAACTACAGTACATGTGCTCGGGTTCTGCGTTGGATTTGTGGCCACCCGGTCATTTTGCGCTGGGATTTTTCGCTAAAATGGGTTCTTTTCATCAAAGTAAGCAGTCAGATAACAAGTGATACGCTGTGGAAGTAAGGTGAGTTATTTTTACTGAGAATTTGTCGTATTTTTTAATTCCATAGAGCGGTCGTAAATATTCCCATACGAACTCTTATAATTCCGCCATGACTGTTATTGCGCAAGATGATCATCTCACAACTGGAGCTTGGGGCCACCTTTGATTTATATGGATCCTGCACCACAGTGGTAGGGCACACAAGGTACTATTGTTTAGAGTACCATAGGTTCAGCTCCAAGTGCCATTGTGACCGAGTTACTGTATACTGACTGGAAATACACTCAATAGCCCTAACTAAACCCAAAAACTATCTCCTAAGCAATTAAATATCGTCCAAAAATTCCAGAATAGAGTCTTTCCAATGAAAAATTCCTCGAGTAAGCATTACCCATATCACAACAGAGTGATCTCAAGCTTTCTTTCATTTTGTTTTTCTCTCTTTTTCTTTTCAGACAAAAGATTTGATCAAAAAAATGTTGTCAGCTAATGTTAGAGAAAGAATTACTCTGGCTGAAGTGATGGATCATCCTTGGTTACAAGAGGACGCGACTGCCTCATAAACTGACAAAATGCCTGGCAGACCCTTACTTTTTAATTCCTCTTTGCTAAAACGACTTGTCTCGAGAGGCTTTTGAAAATCAGCGTGATTAGGAAAAATTCATAACCATCTAGACAATGACGATATTTGGTACAAGGCTCATGAATCAGGACAGTGAGAGCGTTTCAGCTCAAGGATGATGTTTATTAATAGGCCGAAAATAACTCGTTACTGAAAAAATTGTCTTAATGTTCTTCTCAACAAAGCGATTAGCTGAAAATAAAGTTGCTTATAGCCGCCTTCGTTTTGTTAACTTTTTTTACCCATAATCATTTCTTTATCTCTCGCTGGTCCGTACCATATCAGAAAAAAAGCCGGCAGAGGGAGACGTCCACGTGCAAATTTCATTATCTCTCCACGTGTACATTTTTACCCGTGCGATACTGAGTCAACTTCTCTCGGCGAGCAGCAAAGTGAGGAACGTAGCCTTCACTACGCATCATTAGTCAGTTTATTTGGCTATTATGGATTAGAACTTTTGGTAAAATTTCCGCACAGCCCCATACTACATTATGCATTCAGTTCTTGGATAGAGAAAACAATGACAAAAACAATAGATTGCCATTGGAAAAACAGATTTGTTTTACAATAGTATGAGGCTGTGCGGAAAATTTTTTTCGGCAACCTGTCGTCCAAATAATTCGCATTCTGCCTTTGTCCTCAAGGAAGGTCAAACACTACTGATTTATTCTTATTCTCCCCAGGCTCTCGCTCGTTTTCTCCAGTAAAAGGTACGCGTCCCAGATTGTACATGCTCTCGTGGATAATTTTTTTCAAAATCCTTCGATCTTTGAAAATTTTGCCCTGAAGTAACTGATTGCTAGTAAATAAAGCTTGAATATGAATGTAGTTCAATCCTTGATCTGCGATGACGAACCGTTGGGTTATGTTCAAAAGATCATTTGCATAATTTATGTCACCTATCAAATTCCATTTCCTTAGCAGCAGGCAAGCGTCTCCAAAAGATCAAAACGCCAAAACTTCAAAATGGCGATATGGCTAACAGCCTTGATATCTGTATTATTTGTTGTCATCCATTTCGCAGGAGTAACTTGGGCGGCTAATGCAGCCCGTAACAGGGAAATAACTGCAAACTCAACTTGTGGTTCGCCGCCAGAAATTTTTTACAGTGTTGTGGAAAGAAAAAAATCACCCAGATACAGGATCAAGTCTTATTGCAATGCAACCGATTCCATCCTATCGCACAACGCCTCGAAGATGGTGGATGGAAAATATGAAACGTGGTGGCAGTCATCGGCCTCTATTGATAAAGTATCTATCACAATTGATTTGCGGGGAGAATATCAGAAGGTACGATATGAGTTTAGGAAGTTAATTTACGCCGATATTGATCGGTTGCCATAGAGCGATCGAGAGCTAGAATCGTAATTTGCCGCTAAGCACGTTTGGCTTCTTCACTCGATCATTTCGTTGTAGAATTCGCGTTCGATTGAATGTTTGTTAGAGAGAAGTTCATTTTCGCGAATCATGACAAATTTAGTTTGGCGTATTGGTCTTTCGCCTTGATTCTGACACATACCGTTAAATTCAATTTAAATTCCACTGTTACTAAAGGTTGTAGCCGGAAAACTCTCGCTTGTGGCTTTTGCAGTTAGCTGCAATAGTCGCTAATTTGTTAATTTTTATGTTCCTTTTTTTGTATCGAGTTTATGGTTTAATGAGTCTATTTACCTTACTAACTGCTGTGCTTCTTATTGGATCCTGTTTTGTATACGCTAATGTTAAATTACAATTTTAAATATTAAGAGATCCGATCCATAATATCTGGGGTTCTGAAGATAGAGTATACGTTATCTTCACATTGATTCGATGCACAAAAAGAAAGGGAAAAAAAAGAAGAAAATCGATTGGCTTAATATAATACTGTTGTTGTTAGCAGCGGTCGATGTTAACAGACAAACATTGATAGTATCAAACTGAGTTATTATTTAATTAATGAGGAAAATGTTTTTGTCGTTCATTTTTGTTACATTTGATATTATTGTACTGATACCTATCCCTAAAATTTGTATTTTTGGATGATGTTTCTTTTTACTGTCAATGAAAAGAACACAACGAGTACTTCAGGACGCTGGACGTCGGATTTGTTTAGTCCCTCTCTAAGTATAGCATATTGTGCAACTTCTTTACTTTACCTTCTTTTTGAAAGTGTTTTCTACATCTCTCAAAAAGAACCCGATGGATTAGGAAGTCCTGGAATTTTGTTAATTAGAAAGCATAAAATATATTTCTGTTTTTTGATATCTAGATAATCTCATGAATGAAATAACATTCAATTAACCATTCTGCAATCATTTTGATCTGAAATACATTTTGAAGTATGGCATATATAGATCAATGTTTTACTATTGGTAAGACAGCTGCTAAGATCATACAATAACCCCACAAATGTGGGTTGTTGGTCTCATCTCCAACCTGGATCCTTGAATGTCAAAAATTTTTGAAAAAAGAGTGAAGTTTCAAACTTCAATCTTTAAGGCAAGGGTGGCCACTAGACTTGTTTGTTGATTTCTTTTTGTGATTTTTTCTCAATATCAGTATTACTACGTCAACAAGTTGGTGATAACATTTGGAGAATACTACCGACCAGGTCAACTTGTCTTCTATAAGTCCAGTGATTATGGTCAGAGTTATCAACCCTGGCATTATTTTGTTTCAACTGCTGATGAATGTCAAGAAAAGTTCAACAGACCTCTTCAGTCTAATCCTGTCAGAGTAGACCAAGTCCTCTGCACTGTTTATCCGACTGAATCTAAGGATATCAATGATGTTGTAAGTAATCTATGATTTAAGTTAACATTTTATCGCAGGCAATTTTTGATACTTGATCACAGAGACCCTTTACACATTTACTTCAAATGCTTTGATGTTTTGGCTGAGGTCAATGAATTGGCCATCTAGCTCTCGCTTATCATTCCCTTATTTCCTCATTCCATGGTATCATGGGGAAAACATGGTAAGCGGTTTAGAACATCTCCATGCAGGGAACAGTGCTCAAGTACTACCCCTGGAGATAGTGCTCATACTCAGCAATGGTGCTCAGATTATTATACTCGGTCATCAACCTAAAGCAGTGGTCAGACTTAAGTGCTACAACTGTATTCTCAAGTAGGTGAACAGCCACATAGTCTGAAGATGGCCCGAGACTCATCATAATCTCAGTCTGTTTGTCCAAAGATTGTGTTACATTGCCCTTAATTATGTCTACGTACTGTAAGGCATTCCTGCAACATTGGATTTAATGTCACCTTAAAATAAAAATGGTAACATTGAAAATTATCAGTGTTAATGTCCTCTGTACCTCAGTACTCAGCTATGTTGTGCAGGTAAGGACCAATCAAATTTACTGGTAGAATTATTAAATGCATTGTATTACATACAATCTGGTGATACTTAGTTGAACAGCATCTTTTCCATTAAACTAATTGTGATGTTTTCATCCTGTCAGGTGTCTTTATTTGTTGTTGGACCAAGAGGAGATGTCGATAATCCTTCAGATAAACTGCTGGTTTGTTAACTGATGATGCATTGAATTGTTATTCTACTGTTTTTTAGTTAAATTTTGTCAAAACATCACTGTAAAACTCTTAAAGTATACCAGAGCTACAGCCGGAGAAAAAATATTTACATATGCAAATTAACATACATTTTAAGTCAGTCAAGTGCTAGAATTTGTGAATTATGTTTTCTTGTTCCTTATACTATTCCCCACAGTGGGAGAGCCAGTGACTTTATGGTTAGTGTGTAGGACTCCTGCATGATAGGTCTGGGCTCTAGATATGACCAGGTCATTGTGTTGTGTTCTTGAGGAAAACAATTTACTCTCATGGTGCCTCTCTCTACCCTGGAGTGTAATTGATTGAGCACTGAAAAATTGTCAGGGAAGCCTGATGAAATACTGGAGGGTAGCCTCATGTTGGACTGGCATCCCGTGGGGGGAGTATTAATGCTTGTAGTTGCTTCATGCTATGGAAACTGGAATAAGCTTCAGCTGAATGGGTCATTTGACTCATGTACAGACTTAACCTTTCACCATACCCCACAAGAAGTGAACATGCAAATAGCAGTTTAAGAGTAAGAGTTCCTGTGAGCATATCTATCCATCTATTGTAGCCCATTGCTCCTTCTGAGGCAATAAGGCCATCAACAATAGTCTGCCAGAGACCTCTGTTCTGGGCCATCTTTTCTAATTGATATCCATGATATCAGCCTTCAGTGCTTCTGCTAGTATTCCGTCAGATCCTGAAGCCTTTCTATTTCTCAGAAGCTAAATGGCCATCTTAATCTCTTCTTTAATTGGCTTTCTGCAGTCTATAGGGAGGTTTTCTTCTGCTGGCTGAATGTCTGGAGGCTTTACTGGACTTGGTCTGTTGAGCAGCTCCTCAAAATATTCTATAGCAGTGGTGTTTTTCAAGGGTGGGGTTGCTGACCCCACGCCTAACCCTCCTCCTTTACATAGGCTTGGGACCAGCAAGTAGCTCAAAATAACCACTAGGTGGAGTTAAAAGTTTGTTTTAATGGTGTCTACATTTTTCATTTGTCAAAAACTCAGTTTATAATATGTAGGAGAATCACTTGCTATAGTAGTTTGGAGCTGTGAGGGTAATAGATGCATAAATCAGAAGAATTCATTTGATCACTTAATATGTATACTATGATTATGAAATACTTTTTAATATAGTGCTTTTTGATAGGGAAAAGTAATGTTATTCAATATAATAATTGTTTGATGTAGGAATGGATGAATGTCACCAATGTGCGCTTGCAGTTTATGTCACTTTTTCGCATTTTTGATCCACTGGCTGTCAAATGGGTATGAATAAAAATTGATGCATGTTATTTATTAATTCAATTGATTTTGCTGCTCTTTTCTAATAATATTGTAAATAACACATAATTCTTGGCACCTGCCAGTGTGTTAGAGATTTGTGGGTGCAATGGTCAGTACCTTGGTCACGACAAGGAGAAGTCAAAGTTCAAAGCATGGCCAGGTCATCATGTCACATTCTTGGGCAAGACACTTTACTTCCTTAACTCTCCCAAAGTGTATGGGAAAATTAGACTTATTAATCCTTTTACTTATAGGAGTGACTGACTTCAGATAAAGGAAACTATCACCTACTTAGGAGGCTCCTGATTGCCAAAAAATTCTCCTTGTCACTTCTGTGGGATATGTTTAAAGAGTAGTGTGGAGAATACAAAATAATGCCTATTTTAGGGAAAAGGTTAAAATGCAGATTTTCCCAAACAGAATGACCCACTTGGCTCATGTGTAGACCTAAACCTTCAGTTATTTATTTTTTCAAGCAATTTTTAATTTTTTTTCCATATCCTTTTACCTTTTGTCAAAACCTGATATAAAAAAAAAAAGAATCAAAATGCTTTCAAGACTAAAGAAATTGAATATTTGAACCATTACATATTCAATTTGTTTCAATCACTTCATATTTCTTATTCTGTTAGTTTTGAAGTTTTTTGTGATAGCATGAACATTGAGAAAATAATTAAAATTACTTCAGAGCGAATGTTAAATTGTGGAATGACACGGGCAATTAAAGAAGTTGTCTCAAATTAACTCCTGTTTTTGTTATTAATTTTATACCATAGCATCACTATGCTGTAAGAGAAGTTGAGGTAGATGCCTACTGTGTATGCAATGGACAAGGAAATGGAATAGATTGTAAATTCAATGATACACTGGGTGAAAATGAGTGTGTTTGTCAAGAGGGAGCATGTGGTATTGATTGTGGAAGATGCTGTCCCGCCTACAATCAGTATCCATGGAAACCAGGAAACAGGGGCCCTCTTGTAGCTGATAAGGATGCCGCATGCCAACGTAAGTTACTGAGGAAGTTGATCCCATTAACTCTGTTTACTAGGTAATGATTGTACATTTTTCTTTCGCTATTGATCCCTTTCAACTAAATTTAACTAACTTGTAACTGTGTATGAAAATTTAGAGAGGTGATTCTTAAATTTTAGAACTGATTAACAAAAACTATATTGTAACATAGCTAGTAAATTTGTCTGATCAAATTCAATTGTGTGAGCGTGCTTCATATTCCTATTGTGCATGCTCATGACATCAGCAAACAAATCCCTTGAGAAAAAAAATTTTCCATTGGGTTGAAAATGCTATTAAACAATTGGTTCATATGTCAGCTGTGTGTTCATTGAGATATGAAGCACTTGGGAAGTTTGGAGAGCACTCAAGAAGCTAGAGTTGCTCTTGGTTACGCCTTGAGTAACTCTCACGTATCTTTCATGCTCTCCAAACTTCCCTTGTGCTTCATATCTCGATGAACACACGCTGACGCATGCACCAATTGTTAATTACAATAGCAAGATTTTATTACTCTCCTCAATTTTTGTTCTTTCTTTATTTGATATAGTTTGCAACTGTCATAACCATAGTGCAGTGTGTGTTTACAACGAGACAGTAGCTCAGATGAAGAAGAGTTTAAACATCCATGGGAATTATTCTGGTGGAGGTGTCTGTCAAAATTGTCAGGTAATCCTTGTTTTACCTATGATTTCCTTACCATGTACTGCTTCATGTTAGTCTTGTGAAAAAATTTATTTGAATTTGTAACAAAATACAGGCTGTATAGGCAGCACACAAAAGCTAGCCAGAGTTGGTGTGTTTGCAAAGCTGCAAGAGTGATGGCAACCAGTGACTTACACCTCATACCAACGAATATTTTATTCTTTGTTGCAACACTGTTCAATGAATATGTCACAATTGATTTTGTGAATTATTGTTGCATTCTTGTAGGACAATACTGAAGGGATTAACTGTGAAGTGTGCAAGCCATTTTTTTACAGACCAAGAAATAAATTGCAGTGGGACAAAGATGCTTGTCGAGGTACTACATTAGTTTTCCCTTTTGTTTTTAAAACTGATTTTGTTAACGTCTCTGTTACATGTCCAAAACTGAATATTTAATGCATGGCAATCTCCAAATAGGTACATAATACATAATATGTATGTAAACTATACAAAGGTTTGTGCGATATTATGGTAATGTTGGTGCAATGAAGCATGTGATACATAGTTGTGTAAACCCAGAGGTTTCATTAAGGTTTACAGCAGGCCTTTCTCTATCTCTCTAAGCTAATATGCGGAGTTATGCTTTCCAGGAAAGTTTTGAAATTGGTCAACTACAGATATGTATTCTTGCACATTTGGAGCAGAAACTTACCCGTTGCCAAAAAGGTTTTGAATTTGTTTTCAAATGCAAATACAGAATCCTTTACTCATTAAATTTCTGCATTTAATAAGTTCAAATATTTTTTAAGAAAAATATGACATAGTAACTTATATTTAATTATTTTGAATGCAATTTTGAAAGCAGCTGTGCAAAGTCATTTTCACCACCAGTCAATTTACCTGGTGCCTGGCCCTAACTGAAACACAGGACTTTGTATAATATTGTTAAAACTTATAAACTGAGGATTTCTACTGACAGTAAAATATGTAGTATATGTACAATTGATATTATTTGATTTAATAGTTGTTATGATAAGTGATGAAAACAATTATATTTGTCAAAGGTCTTTTATTTTATATGCTGTTATTGGATCTTTGTTTGGATATATATTTGGATTTTTTTTCTCCAAGTGTTGCTTCTTTTAATAATTTTATGGTTGAAAAGTTGATGTGTTGCTTTTCTCCTGGCAGCATGTAACTGCAGCGTGGCAGGAACAAAAAATGCAACCCTCCCTGGAGTGCTGTATCTTGATTGTTTGAGAGATGAGAATACAGTTCCTCTTCGTCCGGGAATGGTAAGTGCATTGTCAGTATCAATATATAACTGCTTAACCATGACCTGGGTAGGAGATATAGCAGTATATTATGAAAACTCAGTTCTGAATTCAGATTGAAAAAAAATAGAGATTAGGTTAGGACTTCTATTGTGTTCTTACTAGACTGCAAGCAGTTCCTCCTTTTTGACAAAGTGGTTCATTGCAATTTTGGAAATGTGTGACAGGCTAGCCTGTTTATCTAAAGTAGGTCCATGGTGACATTAACATACTGTTGATACCAACACTACATTTGTAATTTTTCTTCAGGAACCTGGTAGCTGTGTCTGCAAAAACAACACTTTTGGAAGACAGTGTGACCAATGCAAACCTGGATTTTTTAATTTATCTACAGAAAATCCTACTGGTTGCCAAGGCAAGGCAGTAATTTTTTTTCAAAAATTTTCATTAATAGTAATTCATTTAGGGTTGTCCAATCTTGTTTAAGTGCTTTTAAAGGACTGTTTATGTAAACTTCTGTGCTCCAACTGTATCAAAGGATATTGCAATTGTAACTGTCAAATGAGATGTGATTTCTTCATCTGTCACCATTTTGTGTAAAAACCTTGTTCATAACAAGTTTGGAATCAGCATGTAGCCAAAAAATTGAAAAAAAAATGAAAAATTAAACTTGGTTATAAGGTGTGTGTACCAATGAGATTGTTTATTTTGTTTGTTTTGTAGAATGTATGTGTCACACCCCTGGTACAGTAAATGGTTCCAATGTTTGTGAGCCAGGTGCAAGTGGCCATTGCACTTGCAAGAAAAATGTGGAAGGAAAGCATTGTATGCATTGCAAAGATACATACTATGACCTGCACAAGGATAACGTCTATGGATGTACAGGTGATTAATAAATTGCATTCATCGTTAACTATTGGATTTGATTTAAATTAATTTATAGTTTGTTTAATGTTTACTCTGAGAATTTTGTCAGCTCTTATTTTCAATGACTGTGTATGGAAAAAACTTTGCAACTGTTGATAATTTAATAATAAATTGATAATAACAATTGATAATTTTTGCAACAATTTTACAATGGAAATAAAGGGGGGCTAAGTCTTTTAAATTTCTATACTCACAATGTTGATCAATATCTTTATGACATAACAGTTATTACAAGGCTGATAATTTTGATGAATCATAATTGTCATTCAGTGTTATCAGTTGCTGGTAATTTTTACTGATTTCTTTTTATTTGTTGGTTTGTGGGTAGAATGTGATTGTGATATTGGTGGATCTTATGGACCTGTGTGCAACAAGGCATCTGGCCAGTGTAAATGCAAAGCTAATGTTACTCAGCGACAATGCAACAGGTTTGGAAAAATTACTGTTCTGAAGAAGATAGAGATGCTTTGTTTTTTTTTGTTTTGTTTTGTTTTTTTTTGTCAAGAAAGATTAAAATAAAAAATAAAAATGTTATTCACCAGCCTAGGTTGGTCTGTATGCCTTGATCATTATCCAAGACCTCAGGCACAGTTTTTCCCAATACAGACCTCCCACCTCATGAATCACACACACACACACACACACACATATATATTTTGTTCATATGAAAAGCTTTAGAATAAAGCTGACCTTCAATGCTATCACTGTATATGCTCAACGAAATTAGTAAGTGATCAGGTCAATACCTGTCAACAAATACTGTACACTCAGGTAATTAAGTTCTCTTTTTCTTTTTCTTTCAGTCCTAAGGATGAATTTTATTTTCCAACCCTGCATTTTATCAGAAGTCATGGATATCATATTTCTGCCTCTCAAGAGGTATTTATGTTTTTAATCATTTATATTGTATACAGTATTCACAAAATGCCTCTAAAGAGAAAAAAAATGGTATGGATTAAGCCATCATTGCATTGGAGTGTAAGATACTAGGTGAAACCTTTGGCTACAACTTTATTTGTCTGGTATGATTGTTGTTAATATTACTAAGGTAGTAATGAAAGTTTAAAATATTACCTAATCCTTCCTTGTTAATCTTCTGCGGATTGAGCAACAACACTTTTTACCACCAAGAGCAAAACATTTGCTTAACTGCAAAATAAAAAGAGTTTCTCTGATGAGAGCAAAGTAACATGAAAATGCAATTTTAAGTTAAAACTGTTTTTACTATCTGTTTGTTCTAGGGCAACAAGACGTGGTCAGCATCAGTGGATATCGTTCAAGGAGTGAACTCCACTGGTATATTTACCCTCATCTTCTCTTACACCAGCGCAGTAAGAGTTACTGTTATGATAAGTGTGGAATCTACCATAGTTGCAGTCTCTCTGGACAGCTGTGCCCAGAAATGTTATCAAAATCTGTCTGCAGTACTTGGAGAAAGGTCTCTGTCTGGTACTCTAGTGGTCAACGTCACTTATCCTGCATCAGTGGTTGATTTTAAACCCCTTGAAGTTGTAGCTATCCCCCAAGAATTCTACCAAGCAACATTATTAATCAATTCAACGGGACCAGAATTCTTGGCAAATTGCTCTGTGTTAGATAACAACATGGGAGATGGAGTTGTCAAGGAGTTCTGCCTTGCACAAGTTTTCTCTCTTACGGTAGACTACCTTGGAGGAGCTTTGGGTATGTTTGTTTCCATTTTTCAAGCAATGTTAAATTGCTTATTGAAAGTAGGCCAATATTTTGCACTGATTTTGCAAAAATTTAGAATTATTAATGATTGCATCCAACCAAAGCTGTAGACAGTCAAAAGATCCTGACCAGATCTAGAGTTGTATACTTTTAGCTAATTAAGAGGAAGGGTTAAAAAAAAAAAAAATTCTTCCCAAGAATGTGACATTTCTGGCTTAAACAAAATACAGTGACAGTCATGAAAATGCTTCAGCTCTGTTAAAAGAAAAAAGTAACCAATAAAATGCTCCTTTCTGTTCAGAACACAAAATGGTAGCTACACACACGTTTAACCTGTGCATGATCTCCAGAATTACAAGACATAACCAAATTAAAATCATACATTGCTACCTAGCAAACCAAATGAATGCATTACCCTGCAATATGGCAAGGTTTAAATTTTACTTTGTCTAATGTTTTTCAATCGAGTAAATTTATTTCTTAACTTTTTAAACCAAGGAATAATTTGAAACTTATCATGTACATTTTACAGTAAACAAGTTTGCCCTATAGATGCAGTTTAAGGATTCATTAGTCAGCTTGTATTTGTCTATCTGGTTAATTGTGAACTGAGGCAGAAAAAGCAACTGTTTGTTTTTTTTTTTTAGTCTTGCTAAAGCGTTACTAACTTGCTCTATTTGCATGTTACTTTCCAGCATGCAATTGCAGCATGACAGGCTCGGTAAATAGCACCTGTCAAAAGTATGGTGGCCAGTGTCACTGTAAACCAGGTGTTACTGGAAGGACCTGTGATCAGTGTATGGCAGGATTCTACAATTTCACCTCCAGGGGATGTTCAGGTAATTAGGTGCACTTTTTTTTAAACGACTTAGTTATTGTTGCATTTGCCCAAAAGTCTGGCCCTGGTTGTGTGAAGGTTGGATAGTGCTATCCACTGAATAACTCTCTATCCGCTGGATAGTGTAATACCTTATGCTATCACTTATCCACTGGATGACGATTTATCCGTTGGATTAAGTTATCCTACCTTTATGCAACTGGGCCCTGATGAATAACATTAGGGTGTAGTTTCAACAGAAATAATGCTTGAAATTAAGGGTTAAATTGCTTTTTGATAGAACATTGAACTCTTGTGGTTTGCATGAAAAGACCAGGTAATATAGAAAGAAGAATCTAGCAGTATATCAGGACACTTTTGGTCCTTGTCCCATGTGGATGTGTGTATACTGTGCTGTACTTAGTTCCTTTTCACTCAGATGATGTGCAGTATGTGAAGGTTTTTTCTTTGTAGAATAAAGTATATGTTTAAGATTGATTACCACCAGAAATAATACCTTAAAGAATATGCAATCTCCTCCTCTTTTTTCTTCTAGCTTGTGGTTGTGTTGGAGAGGATAAAATTTGTGATGCTGAGTCTGGCCAGTGCACCTGTCCTCCTAACATTGTTGGTCGCACATGCAATCAGTGTAATTACACATTTTGGGGATGGAATGAAACAGTTGGTTGTGAGGTAATTTTTTTTACATGCTTCCCCTTGGATGAAACATTGAACTAAATTTCTGGCTCTCTGGAAAGGTACCCAAAATTTTCAAAGTAACTTTCTTGCATAAACTTGTCTTTTAGGCTTGTAACTGCAGCTCAGTTGGATCTATGAATTTGCAGTGTAACCTTACCACAGGGATTTGCAGGTAGAAGATGTAAAATAATAGTACATAATTTCATATTTTCTTTTCTGAGTATAAAAACACATTTGACTGTATTGTGCAAATGTTTTATAACATGCAGCTGATCGTGTACCAATACAACCCATTTGTTTGATTGAGCTCCTTATAATGTCTTTAGGAGTGCTCCCATCAATTTTCACCTTAAACCCCAGTGTCAGTTTTAATTAGCTTTCTCGTGATAATTGGTGTCAGTTAGTATGTGTGCTTTGATATATCAATGTAGCAGGCCATTTTTTACTACATATGGTCTGCTAAATTCAAAGATTTGTTTGAATGGAAATCTTCCTCCTCTTCTTGAACCTAGGGATATAATAAAAATTTGCTACCTTGTTTTTTTGGTTCATATTGTAAGTTATAGCACCTTGTTTTTGCCACTCATATTTATGGCTTGCACACTTTGTACTTGGGCCATAAATCTGTGCATAAAAAAAGACTTGGATACATAGCTTACAGTATGGGGCTCAAACTCAGTTAGTGTGAGTTATTTACCAATATATTTTTCTGTTGTAACTCATTATAGCTGTAAGCCTGGTGTACAAGGTGAGAAGTGTACTGAGTGCATGAATGGCTACAAAAATTTCTCCACCTCTGGTTGTTCTCCATGTAACTGTAATGGAAATGGAAGTTTGAGTGAAGTGTGTGACAAAGTCTCCCAGCAGTGTCCTTGCAAGGTTAGGGCAGTGTAAATTTAATTTACCTCAGTGAAGAAATACATTTATGTTTACTTAACTTAATATACATTCAAGTGTAAATCCTACAGGCTATTGCTGTGTTTACTGTATAAAGAAAAGTTATCAGCTCAAACAACACAGCGATATTTAGTGCAGAAGCCTTTTGAATAAGCTGGGCTATGCACTGTCAAAGAAACTAAAAATTTTTCTGTTAGATGTAGTTTTAAGATGGCAGTCACTTGACACCAAAACATCTCCAAGTAATTGCCAATACAGTAGTGATCAAAATGGTCTCTGGGTAAATTACACCTGATACATAAAGGAAAACAATGAATGGTGAACAGAAACCCAATGCAACAACTTTAAACTCATCTAGAGTAATCTGTGTTTATACATTTCCTGATAACTCAGTGATTCATTTTGATTAATTTTCTCCAGAACAACTCGGCTGGTTTGCTTTGTGACAGATGTAAGAATGGGTATTTCTACTTGACAAGCAGTAACCCTGAAGGATGTACAAATTGTGTGTGTATGGGAATCAGTACCAACTGCAGCAGTACAAGACATTACAGAAAAAAGGTGAAAGAAAGACACTGATTATGATTGTCAATGATGTTAGCAAATCATCTCACTGCATTGCCCTTGTAAATCATTGTGTACTTTGATGTTGACTTGTTACAAAGTGTTTAAAGCCTGAGCTATGGATGGTGTGTAATATAATTCAACTCCCATCTTTTTTATATAATGGGATCATGCCATCAGTGCAAATGACGAGAGAGTATTACTGACTAGCAATGTTTAATCAATGAAAGTTTTGAAGGAATCATATTTATTGTTGAACTATTTGGTAACTCTGCCACTTCTTAGAATCATTCTGACAGCATGGTAAACGTGATATTTTCCTGGTCATAAATTTTGCCTTGTAGAAATGTGATGCATGGAATTGTTTGATAAGTACCTAATTTTGCAAGGAATATCCAAAAGAACTTACAATGTATGGTAAATGTTTAACTATGACTGAAAGTTGTTGTTAACTGCTTTAGAATCAAGTTGACCTGAATGTTTGGAAATTGGGATCATATACTGACAACCAGAACTACATAGAAGTCTCTCAAATCTCTGTAATGGTAAGAAAGTGTTTGTTCAAAAAAGCGTTTTTACTATTTGGATGTGCAAATTAAGATGTGGATGCATGGTTGAGTGATGTTATTTTGAAATTCTATTTGGGAATAGACTGCAAGTATTTTGTGATGCCATATTCATGTATTCATCTCTCGTGTGGAAGGAGTTACTTAAGCCCTAGAAATAACCAATGTTTCCCTTTTAGCTTTTTCAAAGTATCTTTCAAAATTAGTTTAAATAGCAGAATTAGAATCTCCTACATTGAAATCTATATTTTTGTTAGGATGACAGTGTCCCAGTAACCATGATTGCAGCAAATGTGTCAACTAATAAAACGCTCTATTGGAAAGCAAGTGCTAACTTCACTGATCACAGTCTGGTGAGAACACTAGTGCTGAGTTATGTTGTATTCAGTTAGAGAATATATAGTCATGAAACCTTTAGTCATGTAAATGTAGACTATGAATGATTTCTGTAGTTTTAATTACACTTAACAAGCAGATAAAGTTGAGAGGAATATGGTGTTAACTAAGTTTCAAGTTTTGCAGTTTATTGGCATTATGATTTCACAACTGAATGAGTACATTGGGAAAGCCTTAATGATAACTGGAAATGCTCCTTTACTATCAGATATAACATACAACCCTGGGTCATCAAACAAATGCTTGTGAAGTAAATAAAGACAAAACTGAGGCATTTTTTCTAAGAATGAACTGAATTCCTAGTCTGAGGAAGGAACCCTTTCAAGTCAAATTACAGTTTACTGAACATCAGATATGAGTGGAATATGCCCATCAGTGCAAGTGAATGATAGTAATGTTGTAATTTTTTGTCCTTAGATTGGAGCTTATGGAGGAAATATGAGTTTTAAACTTTTCTTCAAGCCACTGGTGAATGGGACTCTGGCTGTGTCACAGCCAAAAGTTATCTTGAAGGTGAATTATGAATAATTTTTGTTGTGTGATAAATATTTATGCCTGCAAAACTCACAAACTAATATAATTTAGGTATCTGTGATGTTAAGTACTTAGCCTTTAATTTTTACCAATTTTGTATGATCTAGGGTATCAGAAACATATCCATTGAGCATGCTTTAGCAGCTGTATCTGCTGACCAAGCAACTGCAAGAACTGTGACAATGAGAGAAGTAGGTTCTTTGTTCAATAGTATCACCTTTTTTCATTATAAATTTAATGAAATTAATTATAAGGAAGATTGTATTAACTCCTCACAACTTGTTCCTTTTTTTCTCAGATTGCTTGGGTTTACAGTGATAGCTTATTACTAGTGTCTAGGGAAGATTTCGTCCTTGTACTAGCCAGGGCACAAGCTCTCTTTATTACCGCATCGTTTTATTCTGCTGGCCAAGGTTTTTACCTAACAAGGTCAGTTGGCTTTCAAATATTTTACATAAAAACTACTTGTATGTTTGTAATTTAGGTTTTGTCACCCTCAAGAGAGGGCAGAATCCTTGTGACTAGCACTTTTCATATGACAAATGCTGACAAAACATATAGACCATTTTGACATAAATTACATTTACAATCATTTGCCGCATAAAGTGGCAATGGTTTTCATAAAGCACCATTTCTGAGTTGAAAATTTTTATCGTGAAATGAAAGTGCAATTTTAATTTCATTTCCAGCCTTGGTGATGTTAAAATTGATGACGTAAGCGAAATGGTATCAGATGCAGGAAGAGCTTATGATGTAGAGCAGTGTAACTGCGGAGATGGTTATACCGGTTTGTCGTGTGAGGTACGGTAATAATGATTACATTGCTCAGACTAGTTTTCAGTTAGTAGTACGAGGAAGCTTTCTCAAGCTTTCTCTTAAGAGTCTTCCTTGTTTGTCCAGTTATTTACTGAACCATAATGTATCATCTTTGCCCCATCATAAGTGATTACAGTACTTGTTTACAATATTTTATACTAATTTTCAGCGATGTGCCAGAGGGTATCACAGAGTGAATGTGTCAGATGACATGTTTCTTGGGAAGTGCGAGCCTTGTAACTGTAACGGACACACAGAAGACTGCGATCCAGCCACTGGACAGTGCTTGGTAAGGAATCAGTTTTCTCTCCATTTAAGTTTATATTAGTTTTTTTATACTGATAGAGCAATTTTCAATGGAGTGGCAAAAGTAATTTGCGATATCTTTGTTTTTGCTTCACTACGCTCAGTGATTGGTCCAGAAAACTTGTGTCGCTCTTTCAACCAATCAGATGCAAAACTAAAACCAATCACGACTTGGTCGCCTGCATTTTCCCGCGCAGTTCTCATTGGCTCTTAAACATATTTTCCTCTCTTCCGATTGGCCGTCGTTATTAATTTGTAAAAGCACTCTATTTCTTAGACTTGATTGGCAAACAATGAGATTTTTTTTACAGCATAGATTTTTGAAGATGTAGCTTCCTTTTTTTCTAGTGACAACAGTTATGCCTTTCTAAAAGAATGAGTTATTCGTCAAACTTTCCGTATTCTGGGTATCAAGTTTAGTCACTGATAGTTAAAAAAGCATAGTTCTATTTCAACATGAAAAATTTCGCGAGTACACCATTAAAGGGCTTTGTACATGTTTTGTTTCATCAGAACTGTGCTCATAATACCACTGGTTTTCACTGCGAGATCTGCCTGGATGGTTTCTATGGTAACGCTACTCATGGAACTCCTGGTGACTGCAAGAAATGTCCCTGTGAGGAACCACGGACAACCACGTGAGTATAGATTAGTTTAAAGTACATGATAATGTTGGGAAGTAAAGTGAATTGTACTCTGAGAAGAAGAGGGGAACCAAGATGGTTGTTTGTAACGCCAAAAGCGATATTACCTGCAAGTTTTGTTAGTATGGTCAAAGTTTTAAATGTCTAGGGGCTTAGGTAATGGGGAATCTGAGGAATTGGCGTGGCATTGATATCGGATACGAGCCTGCTGATACACAAGGTAGAGCAGCGGTGTAAGCCATCTCACGCAAGGGCGGCGGAAATTTGTAGGACTCCCCTCTCTCCCCCCTTGAAAAAACCTGACGCTATGCCCCTGACGCATACCGCCCTACACCGAAAAACGAACGAAAAAAAAAGAAGGGCAGTTTCATTCCGTTAGGCCACGGTGCTCTTCACCTTGTCTTGCACGTGTAACAGACCTGAGTTATTGCAGCTAAGTTTTCTCTTTCATTTTTTCTCTCTTTTTTATCTTTTTTTCAGTGCTCTGTGCAAAGCTGGAGCTGATGGTCAACCGGAGTGCCTCAACTGCTCTGAGGGATACAAGGGAGACATTTGTGGAAGGTAAGGCTTTGTCGAACTTTCAGATAAACTCGTGAATGGAAGAAATGGATGGAGCATCGTTTCTTGAATCTCATTTCTGTCTTGTTACAGTTGTCAGCTAGGGTTCTTTGGCGAACCACTCATGCCGGGAGGAAACTGTTCAAGATGCCAGTGTAACAATAATTCAGATGTGTGTAACACAACAACTGGAGAGTGTTTGAACTGTCAGTATAACACGACTGGATTTCACTGTGAACGCTGTGAGAATGGAACATGGGGAAACGCTACCGCACAGCAGTGTCAAGGTCCTTGAAAAACGTGTTTCTTATTTGAATGGCAGGATATTATTAGATAATAAGTTGATGTGAGAGGTGTCTACCGCAAACTGCTCCATGATGTGTATTTATTCCATAATAAGTCATTGCGCTTATACACACAAATTCAAACCTGTTTGAATTTATGCCACAGCCACACGAATTCATTTACGACTGCAACTTGTCCCGCATTGTGTCGCGAAAACATTCCCCCTTGTTTTTTCTGACTTTGAGGCTCCAGTTGTGTACACTTGACGGTGAAATAATTTATTAGCACAGGGGTATGAATGTGAATTTAATCAGAGTTAGATTTTGACGTACGGATTTAATAAGAAATCTAGCCCAGCTATTTTTACTTCTGAGTGTCTGCTCAATGCGAGTGCCAACTAAAATCGAGCTTTTTATTCAGAAACAGTGTAGGGCAAAATGATAAGGATGAAATTTATAATAATTTTATTAATAATTTTAACGACTTTGATTTTCAGCTTGTGTCTGTGATGGTGTTGGAGCTTATCATAACGTTTGTAATCACGTAACCGGGCAATGTGAATGTAAACCGCATGTAACAGGACTAAACTGCTCCAGATGCGAGGTAATCAATACATTGTAGCTCTGAGAAAGTAGTTAGCTCTTTAACAAGATTCTATAATTTATCGAAAAGTCTGGAAAAGTTTTATCAAAACACAATTATTAATATGTACGGCTGTGTACTTTTAGAAATCCGTTCAAGTCTTTCCGACGTCTTTTGCTTTTGAAAAAGAAGAAAGTTTTATCTAACGTGTATGGTGATCATGCGAGTGTGGAGGGTCCCAGAAATGACTGTTTTCGGTGGCAGTGACTCACGGTTTGACCAGCAGTCATCATTTTAGTTAAGTTAGGATTGTTTAGTGGTTGAATACCATAACTCACTTCGTGAAAACTGGGTGGTCTGTGATGCCGTGTTACGTTTCTGGCGGTCGGACTTGGTCACTGAGTATCAGTGGTGAACTAGTGAAGTCGTAACTGTTTATCTATCTTTAACTACGGTTGACATGAATTCAAACCACTGCAACTGTGTCAGCTCTTGAGGGTATGGAGCTTGCATTTACTCCTTAACTTCCAGGAGCGAGAAACAAGTAATTTCTCCTTAAAGTATAAACATTTTTAGAGCAGAAAGCGATAAGAGGATAGATTTCAAGTAGAGGAATTTTTTGACTTAAAACCAAATTCTCAAAGCAAAAAATAAGAATTGTAAAAAGGACAGTTAGGAAAATTGATATTGAAATCTTGGCTATGAAAGAGTAGAACAGTGCTTGTAAACGTGGATAGTGTTCGCAATTAATTTATGATGGATTTCTTGTTATGTTTGTAGCCCTACAGCTATAACTTTACTTCAGGCGGATGCACACCTTGCGAATGTAACAAATTTGGATCTAGCTCTCTTCAGTGTAATGAATCAGGAATCTGTCAGTGTAAGAACCACACCCTTGGTGACAAGTGTGACCTGTGTGAGTGGGGGTATTTTGGACTTCCTAACGCCACGTGTCAAGGTAATGATCATGCTACGTGTCATCAAGTAAATATGAAGGGATTGTTATTTGTTAATAGAAAAAAGAAACTAAACAGTCAAGTATTATATCTTCATTAGATCTTGTGGCTCCGGGTGTTTTGATAATAATTGTAGGAGCTATTTCGCCTTGCGAAGAGTTCTTTTTTAGCTGTGCTAATCTAACTTTAAGTTAAAGAAAGTACAGCATAATAGTTCAATTAAATAAAAAAGACGGAAGAGGTAATTCTAAAACATAAAAGGTTTGCTAAGGATGGACGAGATTAAAACAGATTGCAAATCAAAAACTTGAAAAACTCAGTCGGAAGTTACGAGATGTAGAAACATAACATGGTTCCTTCAAATAAGGAGCAAGGAATTCATGTGTTTTCATTTTATTTGTTTGCTTTGTTTTTGTTTTATTTTCTATAATTATATCTTCTTGATGGATTCATCAGGTGGCAGTTTATTCAAAGATTGTTATTTACTGATGGTGTGTTCTTTCTTCAAGACGAGCAATCCAAAAGTTCTAACAATATTTCGCACCTCTTTTTCAGATTGTAACTGCAATGACACTGGCTCAGACAATCACACGCGATGTGACCGCACAACAGGCCAGTGTTACTGTAAACCCGGCGTAACAAGTAGAGTGTGTGACCAATGCATGGTACAACATACGAACTTCTCAGGAGATGGCTGTGACCGTGAGTACAGTTTCATCGTTGTAATAAAATTTCAGAAAACCAAGTCAATAATTTACTTAAAGGATAAGTTCTACAAGCCTTGCCAGTAAAAAATGATGATGAAAAAGATGCCTTTCTTACAGATCAAATTGTAATCACAAGCTGGGTTACCATAAGATATAAGTAGTCGATGTTTTCTACAAGGCTAATATAACAACCGAGGATTTCGTTCTGTTTACAGCATGTCCACGTTGCACCAGACTTGGTTTACAAGGGGATCTTAACACAACTCTAACAATCTTGAAAGATGCTCAACAGAAAGCTGATACGGTTTCTAACTTAAAAAAGTTGTGGCCCGAGCTAGAGGAAGTCGAGGGTCTTATCGCTGAAGCAAAGGTTTGATTGTTTGTGGAACTTTACAAAGTGCAGTTGAAGGACTCAAAAATATAATATCACGGAATTTCAGTGTGTAAAGAGGATTTCTTCTTTCTGGAAGTCGTGAAAGTACTCCAGTACATTTTCAGTGCATCTTCTGGAAACGGGCCAATCACGACAATTTGTAAAAAGCCAATTAGAAGGCAGAACTGAATTTATAAAGTCCGACGTTATCAATTTCATCCGATCGAATGTCAGCGAAATCTCATTTTTTTTGTTTACCGGTGATGTGTTGACGCCACTAATTTGTTGGGTAAATGTGAACACTAAACCTTTGATCACAAAGTACTTTCGCATACTTGTGGCTCGCATGGGTTTTTTGAATTGGAATCATTACGGGGTGGTTGGCTGTTGGAAAATAAGTGGAAACCAAAGCTGTGTGAATAGGGTGTCACTCAAATTTAAATTGCCAAAGAGTATACGGGACTTGTATTGTCGAGTATGAACAGGCCTTGCTCTGATTGGATGTCCTAGTTGCATCAGATACACTGTAAAGAATCGAATTATGCATGTCAACTTTTCATCAGTGGTCATGTAAAGATTGATTCAGTAACCAAGTAGGCAATAGTAAAATCTGCTATACTCCTGTCCAAACGCTATTTCACTAGATCGCTAATGAGAATCTAAGGCTGACAAGCATGCATAGCATGTGAAGCTGGTGTTTTTTGTGTGCGTTTTGAAGTGTGGAGCAGTCGAACTACGGAAGGCTTGGAACTGGAAGTTCCGCCGCGTCTATTTTCATCGAACGCCTTAACAGCTGCCAGTAACGCCGGCTAATTGATATCCATTCTGGAAATTTTACGTGTTTGGAAATGTCAGTTTGCATTTACATTTACACTTAGCCTTAACATAGATTCTTTTTTTCGTAGAAATCTTCAGCTGAATTTGACATATTGGTGAAAGGCCTTCTTCAAAACATAACTGAACTAGAAAAGAGCACTCCAAACAGAACTGTCGGCGAATTACAAGACATGGTAAGATACTGAAAATTAAACAAAAAACGATCTAGCTATCGCCATTAGCTTTTCTGTTGCTCCGTTGGTTTGGCATCCAGTCGTCAATTCTGAAGGGGTGTCTGAAGTTTATCTGTTTGTTAACACCTTGATATTCATAGGTGAACGTAAAACAATGTTTATGGTCTACACCAACACAAGTTCTGTAGATTTAGAGAATTCTATCGGTGTGAAGGCAATCGTAGTTCTAATGGGGGGACTGAGTTCCTTTCCTTCATCCCGCCATTAATACTCTGACAAGAACTGATTTTAACTGCTCTTAATATCCCTTCAGTTGACAAGGACATCACAAGAAAGCGAAAATTTGACATCCATCGTCTCTCGCGAGTTACTCCAGATTGAAGAATTAAATGCGAATACTCAGTCTTCGAAAGACAACGTAACAGGTCAGTACAACGCACTATGCATAACTTGTGTTATAAATTTACATTAGTGAAATTTCGCTGAAGTAGCCAGTGAATTATCTACTATTTATCTCAGTGTCTGTGGTTAGTGGAGACTACTAGGTAAATATTTTCCGAGGAAATCCCGTGCGCGTTGCCCAGAGGTGAATAGCAAAAGATATTCGGCCTTTAGTGCTATCCACTGTTGTGCTAAATCATGTGACATACTGGTTTAGCTTGTCACGTTTATGGTCTTCACTGGTAATTTTGAACATGTTCCATTTCCTTGAACAGTCTTCATATACTGAGCTAAAAGCAGAGGCAGACAGTGAGGACAATGACATTCGTTACGTAGTTTCTAAATGGGTAAATTTTTACATGGCGTGGATACTGCTTTAGTAAATTTTACTGGAAATTGATGAAATTAAAGCAACTATACTTTGAACTTCTAAGCTGATGTTAACTACGATTAAACAACAAGCTTTATTACCAAATTTAGAAGTTAAACTTAATTTACACGCATAATATATTAATACAAAAAAGGTAACATTTACTCAGAATAACTGAAAATCTAATCTAGCTGAGTAAAAGGAAATAATGTTTAAATATAGGACGTAGGTTGGCACTAAAGCTTGAGCAAAGCAAATTATCGGTCAAAAAAAAGAGGACAAAATATAAATAAATAAAAATAAGATAAAGAAAAAAGAAGAAGAAGAAGAGACCAGTTGAAAACTCATGAACAGTAAGACTGTGAGATGTTTAATTTGACTTTGTTTTTAAATGTTAAGGAAGATGGAAGAAGATTATAGTAATAGTGGTACATAAAAAGTGATTTGTGAAGGATAACAAGATCAGTTAATTTAAGAATCTCTAATTCCTTAAAGAGAGGCTCAGATTGTTCATCTGGTTTTGAGAAAGTTATGGTACGTATAGCTCTCTTTTGAAGAATTATTAAAGGTTTAAATACTTAAGACTGTGTGTGTTTCGCTTACAGCATTGAATGGTACTGTTACTGAAATATTGGATCAACTGACCAAGCTGAGAGACCATGCAGACAGTGTATTGGGAAGTATAAGTGGCATTATAAATAAGACGTATGAGACGGAAATGCAGCGAGTTGATGAGGAGGTTCAGTCGGTGGAGTCCGCCCACAGCCTTGCTATGTCAGCACAGTACAATGTGACATCTCATAAGAACATGTCAGAAAACCTCAACAAGACCATGCTGCAGGCTCAAGGAAGCTACTTGATCTCAAATGGAATGTTTGATCGGATGAAACCGCAGATTGTTACAATCACTGATAGAACCAACGAAGCTGTTGCTCTTATGAACCAAACTAAGGTATGTTCTACTGCGTCAAATTTTTTGTTTGTGCGATAGACCTTTCTTTAAATGTCTCGGCTGAACATCGAAAGTACCTTATTCAAGTATCAAGCTAGTTTTTACCACACAACAGGGTATTCAATGAAGCCCCTGACGAATGGGTGAAACGTCTGCTTTAGAAAGTCTTTACGGTGGCCAAATTAATTATCAACTCAATTGATTAAAAACCTTATTATCTTGTGATAACTGCATTATCGCAGCACCACAGTTTCTTTAGCAACTTATCCACTGCACTAATTTGATGAACTTTGTCTTACAGAACTTAATTGATAAAGCGAGAAACACAACAGATCATGCTCTTGAGTTGCTTCAGATTGTCACTGGAATTTTAAACAGCAGCAGCCAGTACGTTTCAACTGGTCATAGCTACTACAAGGTAATGTCAAATGTTTGTCACAAGTGACTTGAGTTCTAACAAAGTACGGAAATATTGTGCAGCCTGTATGGCTGGCGGAAGTGTTTGGTCTACAGGTGCATAAGCCGCGGAGTTGAATGAAGAGGAAAGTTGAGTAACTGGACTCGCATGATGTAAAAGGAATATAATTTAGCTCGCTATTTATGGAAGATGACTTTACAGGCTCTGGAAAGTTTAAAAAGGAACTGTGGTTTTCTTCAGGTGTAAAGAGACGAACTGGTAAACATATGAGGACTAAAAAAAAAGAGAAGAAGAGATAGAAAACACCAAACAAATTGATTTGAGAAAGAATAGACCTTTAGTAAATCATGGATTCTGTGAGTTCTATATCGCTGTGTCTTTAGGGAAACTCTTCTTTTGACGAGATGGTAGATAATATTGTTCCTGCTGAATACTTTTTAACACTGGCGACAACGTGTGCATATAAAAAGTTAGTTGTGGTGAATAATTGATTATTTACGATGTTGGACTGTTTTTGCTACAGAATACAAGTGATCTTATCGGTGGTCTACAAGCAGACATGAATACACTGGAGAACTCTCTAACAGCTGTGGGTCCAGAGGTGTCTGCTGCAAACCAAAGTGTCCTGGAAAATGCTACTAAACATGCAGCTAATTTGACAGCCTTGGCCAGGGAAAGGCAAAGGTAAGGGAGTGCTGATACAACTTAGGCTTCTTAATACCCACTGGTCGAAAAACTCAACGCTGTTTTTCCTATTTGTTGTAAAATCAATGCAGGTTCTATTACTCAGGCTTCTTATGGAAAAGCCAAAGTCTTAAAATTACTCTGCGGTCGTGGCATATTTTCCGAAAGGCTATTTCCGGCGTTTTTGCGTAGGTGTTGATTATCAGGCTCCGACAATCTTAAAAACCGTGCGGCAACTAGGAACGAGAAAAGCAAACAAAGTGCAATTTTACGTCCTTCCTCAATGGTCAGAGACTTTATGGAAAGACTTTAAAGAGGAGCTGGACATGGCCACAGGTATGGCAAAGGGTGTTATTGCCTGTACGCTCGAGTCACATACAACCGTGCACGACTATCGCTCATTTCCATTTTGGAAGCACAAGTGAAGGCCAAACTTTCATGTCACCTTCTTTCCCTTCAGCGTGTTTAACAACACTCTTGCGCACGGGGCACGTGCAGTGGATGCTATTAAAACATTCGAAGAAGTAGTTGTGCTGGGAAATCAGTCACTGGAAACCTCACAGCAAGTGAACAGTTCGCTACAGGAAATCATGAACCGAGTGAGTAACTTGATTGTTACTTCCTGATCTTCTGCTTTATATGATATTTCTGGTCAGTCTTTTAAAACAAATAAACTGTTATCCTCTTCTTTACTTTCGAGCTGAAAAGCCACAGCGGACAGCAAGTGGTAAAACAAGGGACAGTGAAACTTTTTTACTTGCGCTGCAGAGTGATAACCATACCCATGATCTAGATTACGATGCATTTTTTTTTAGCCTTAGGAACCACTGATCGAGAGCTATAAGACAACGTCCTAGTTACTTCCTCGCGAAGCTACCCTTTATCATAGTAGTCTTGGCAGACTTCTCCTCCATTTCCCAATTGTAGTTATGAATTTCTGTTACGTCTCTGTGAACTCTCTCTCATTTATTGTTTTTTTATTATTATCATTATCATGATCATCATCTTTACATTACCATCGTCATCATCATCATTTTTATCAGTAGAAGCAGAGTCATTTTATTTCTTATTTTTGTGTATCACTGACCGTTTAATTTTAATTTTATTTTCTATTTTTTTTCCTCCAGCTCGAGAACCTCACTGTAGTAAGCTCTGACCTTCAAACACGAGTTGCTTCCTCTCGAGATAAGAGTGAAACTCTCTTGAACGAAACTTTAGACAGAGATATAAACTTACCAGGTAAACATCTTACTCAAATGCTTGCCAGCCAGTTGTGCACTATTTTGTTATTTATTTGAATCAACTTTTGTAAGTGCGTCAAAAGCCCTACATCGGGGTCGGAAATTATGTTCTAACGTGGGACAAGAGTAGGTGAGATAAGTAATTGTGTTACATTATTTTCCCTTCTTCAGTATTAATCCTTATTTTTAACTCGTGAATTGCGCGCATGCGCAAGAGCGAGTTATAGATACGATGTGGGGAATGGCATTCGCTCGCTCGCTCGCTCGCTCGCTCGCTCGCTCGATTGGTCGATTCCTGTAAACTTTTTTTAGATTTTAGGCTTTTGAGTGCATTTTATAGTTTTTGGCGAGCAATAAACAGACGAAATGGCGACCTTTGTTGCTAAGAATAGTGGTGGGGTGAAAAAGAAGCCAATGGTAATCTTAAAAGAGTTTTTTTTTTTCGTTTTAGTTTCAACAAGCGGCGCCAGCGACTGGCAGGCATGCAAGGATTCACAATGAAATAACAGAACAACCTTCGTTTTTCATAAAATTGTAATTTACAATCCTTGAACTTGAAAACAATCCGAAGATTCATTGAAAATATCACTTACTGCGAAGCGCTCGGAGTTTACAGATGTTCAAAAGCTTTTTCTGTTATAGCGTGAGGTTGAGGACAAAATTGATCATTACGTTTCGTCGCGTGTGTTTTTCCTGTGTGAAGCAACAGAAGATGCCGGCAACTGACGAAATAACAAGTTAACACGAAAATCAGATAACACCTAAACAAACAATTTTAGCTACCGATTTTCAGTGAATTTTGAAAGAACAATTTTCTTTTAAGTTTCAAGACAATTTGAAGATTCAACATACATACAACGTACTAAAATGCGAAAGTTACACACCACAAAATTGATAAATAGGCCTGAAATGAAATTCTATCTTGTTATTGATCATACGTTGCCTAGCACGTGACTTAAATCTACCCAGGCGGAGATCCAAAATGACGGTGGCAGGCTTGGCTTAGTTATATCACTCAAAACTCGTTCCCGTTTTTCTCATTTGATAAAGAGGGAATCGTTAATGTTTTCATTAAGACAGTATTGCCTTGATTTTCTAATATTTACAACGAAAGACAGTAAATTTCACTTTTCACCCACATTTACTTCCAACCTTTTCTTTTGAACCAGAAACAAAAATGATAGACGTTTAAAACACATGACATCATCCACCTTGTCAAATGTAATAGCATGATCATTTCAATTGTAATGCCTTCTTATCCCAACGTTACTTTGTTTCTTTGCTACATTAGCGAACACTGAACTACTGCTCGTACTCTAGATATGACAATCAACCACAAAATTCCCTAAACCAGATAACATTAAACATAATCTAAAAAATCATGTGTCAATTCACGAGTTTGCTCACAGAGCACTTTGATTTGGTATCTACGTTTGTTTGGTTTTTTGTTCGTTTATTTTTTTCCAACAGATTTCTCTTCGTGTTAGAGAGGAATTCGCGTTTTCCTTATAAGAAGGTAACACTTTTATCTTTTCCTTTCAGGACTACGTGCGAATGTGACATCATCAAACCGGACATACATGAATGCTGTAATGACTGGGGAGTCAGTTGATGCTCAGTATAGTTCGCTGCTATCCAGCCGAGACTTACTGATGCAGGCTGCTGAAGTAGGAAGCAATTCTCACTCTATCGTTTCTGATTCCAAGAGTGCCACCGATAATTTCGAAGAGGCGATGTATCGTTCTAATCCAGTTAATGATGGCGTACCAGCCCTATTGAATCAAGTGGATAGACTCGAGGAAAGGATGCAGTCAATTAATCAGTCAGGGGAGAGAGCTGCTGTGCTGATGAACCAGGCATTTGATAATGGTAAGCCTGTGGTTTATGTGATCAGTGGTAGGTCTGTACTTCTTGAAAATTCTCAAGACATGATTTTCCATTTCTTACTTTCCTGCTTTATAAGTTAAAATTTGATCCAAAATGACTGCAGAGAGCAAGAGAGCTCTTGGTGGGGTAGTCTCTTTAACTAAATGTCACAATTCACAGTAAAAGAAGTAAACAAAGCAATTTTCAGTGACTGGATTGTAAGCTTATTATTAGCTTTCGTTTATGCTGTCCCTGAAATTAGCAATAGTCTTTTCCAAAAATACCCTCAACACCCACTTTTGATTTCCCTATCATGTGCTTTGAAAGTAAGAATTGTCATCACGTAACATTCAGGAGGGAAGCGTTAATATCCCATAGTTGGAACTGATAGAAAAAGCGTTGCCGTTAATGTGTTTTTTCTGATACAGTACAAAATGCTAGTAAATCATTGGACAGTGTGGATGACACGGTACAGGAATCCGATCGTCTCAGGAATATAACAGTTTCCTTACAAGCTCAATTGAAACAAAACATGACAGCACTGGATGAAAAGCTCAGGAGAGCGAGAGAATATGTCGCCAAGGTAACGCAGAATGCGCTGTTAACCTGACTAAAAGTTAATGCAAATTGTAATCAGTACAACGAAAAAAAAGGAAATATAAGGCACAATTCTGTTTAACTTTCTTGCTGGGAAATGGTTGATTACAGGTTCGATTGAAGGACTATTTTCTTTCCTCGGGTAGCTCTTATTGTTCACTGCGCCCTCGACAAAGGATAGTAGCAGGGTGCGGCTGTATTCTGTGACCATTTCCCATGCTATTTATTACTTGCATACTGAAAGAAAGCTGTCAGAAACAACCAGAACACAACAAGGTGTATGTAGCCAGCAATGAATAAGAACTCGTAGTAAAGCTGTAGGGCGTACACCTAGTGCGTTGGACCTTTATTGCGATTGGAAGTCCTTGAAACTGAAAATTGTCTTCAGTCGCTTTTACCTCTTAATGTTTTTTTTGTGATGAAATGTTTTTTCGCTTGTGTGTGGGTTTTTTTTTTCGTTCAAGACAAAAATTCAGCCAGAAGTTGTTGTAAACTGTTCACTTAATTTTTTCCAACAATAAGTCTGTATCTTACTAATTCTTATCTACGTTGTAGATTCGTCTCGCTCTCAATGTGCAAGGAAGCACGGTTGTGCGTTATAACCCAACATCCCGCTTAATAAACAAGACCACGTACACTGAGATAAGAATGGACTTCCGAGCGACACGAGTACAGGGTGCACTGTTTTACTTATCGGATGAGTCTAATAGCGCACTGGCGGTGACTCTAGAGGCCGGGTCCTATGTTAGGTTCCAGTACACCCTCGGCACAGGACCAATAACCATCACCAACTGGGCAGTGCCGGTGAGGCCTGGGCACTGGTACACAGCCTACGCCACCCGGTCAGTAACGTTGTCAGTCAATTGTTAATCCTTCCTTCCAAATGAAACGCTATTCAACCAAAGAAGGAAAATCAGTACACTGTAATTAGTAAACTCTTCTTCCTCGTGTTACAGCAATATACATCTCTATAATAACCTTTTCCTCTGATATGTTTTCTTATTAATAGATACAAGACGGATGGGCGTTTAACAGTGACAGACCACAGTAGAAATTTTAGTCGGACTTACGAGAGCGATTCGGACACAATTTCCTCAGTTATCGACACTGACTTCCGCTTAAATGATCTCGTTCACATTGGAGGTCTTCCGGATGGAGTCATGGTAGGTGAAATGAAATTCTTGAACGTTTCATGGAAATAACTGCGCAGCAACTCTCTGAGTGACCAGCATCTAATTTTTCCTCCCAATATCACCCCTGAATCACACATTAAGGTCATGAGAATAAAGGAAATGATCACCAACTAAAGAACCTCTTGATTGTTGAACAAATTTTTCTTGTCAGTACCTTAGGCGATGTATTGGGAACAGAATGGAGAATATGAACACTGATATTAGAACGTGAAGGATTAACAAAAACGGAGCGAGTAGGAATATAAGACGAAGAGGGAACTCTCTAACCATGTGTGTCTATTCCTTTCAAAAATTCAAACTAACATAACAGCGATCCTTCATTTAAGACCAAAACTCTTTTCTAATGCAGGTAAACAAGAGTGATCGGTACTTTGATGGCTGTATCGATAACGTTGTACTCAATCAGGAGGCCCTGAATCTGTGGGAGCCAGTTGAGGTGCAAGGAAATCGGTCTTTCTGCTCCAGAAGGTATAACGCTCTTGCGATTCAGCAGTGCCAGTGTTAGTTATATTGGGTTAAAGTATCATAGTCGCTGTATAAACTGCACAAGGCGTCAAGTGCTTTACGCTTGCAGAAAACTTCTACGCTTTCTTTTAATAGGCCTGCAGTCCAGATGGATACTGTTCCAGGAAGCAGCTTCTTCGGTATACCTGATGGTCATTTGAAACAGACGATGGGAGAGTTCAACATCACTGGGGAGTCAAAAATGGAATTTGAGTTCAGAACATTCTTTGAAACGGCGTTTTTAGCAGGCGTCTTAAATGGACAGGTGTGGCAGCTCATATGTTTGATGTACTCTAGATAACCCCATTCAGTATCCATAATTTATTCTCCCTACCTTCCACGACCACTGTATTTCGTTTTGCGCCTCCATTGTACAATGCAGGCATGTTCTCGGTAATTCATCCCAAAAGTGCATGCTCACCATCTTAGATCTGGGAAAGGGTGAGAGGTGAAAGAGATTTTTGCACTCACTTCCACTGTGATACAACCCCTAAATAAAAAATGGTGGCTTAACGATTGCAAACATGTAGCGCTAACTCGCCCCCTAATAAGATGCGTCATAAGCTTGGCGTCTTGTGATCCTGGTCATTGTAAAATCCATCGGCTTCAAATAGAATTAAAAGCTCAACTCGTTTGCTTAACGATTATTCTACGTGGGTAAGTCGATTATGAGATGATGAATAATCAACGAGGCGCGTAGCGTCGAGCTGGTAATAATAATAATCTAATATTCGGTAGGCCTGAGTAGAATAATGGTTTTAGTTAAAACGCATACTAAAAAACATTTGTACCAACTAGCTTTTATCTGGTTTGGCAATGACCGGAAGATAAGTAACTTTTGCTTGACGCAAGTGTTATCACAACATGTAAACAACTAATGTTACGCATTTAACAAATAAAAACTGCTCAATTTTCCGTTACATACTTTGAATTATTTCCGCACAGCCAAACAGAACGTTAGAAATTCAGTAACCGTGTAGTTTTTACTAAAGGATGATATCCATGTGATTTTGTTTGGAGAGGAGGGGGGAGGGGAGGGGGAGCGGAGGGAAGGGGCTGAGATGACTGCTATTTTTTTTGGTATGTGTTATTATTCCATCTCAAGCCTGTGAATCGCTTTCACTGACCTTTTGTGTGTGTGTGTTTTTGCAGAATTACGCATACGGAGTGTACTTAAACGACAGCAGAGTAGTGTTTTTCTTTAAAACATACAACCGCACGTACACTGTACACAGTAATAGCAACTCTTACAGCAATGGCCGCTGGTACAAGGTGCATGTGGTGCGCGGTCTCAGAAATACCAGTCTGGCTGTGAGACCTGTTGGTCCGTCTGACAGTGGAGCAGTTGATCACGTGACAATAATGACAAAGACCACTGAGTATCTTGCGGATGGACAGGCTCTGTTATTTGGTGGTAAAGATCCAAACAGGTCAGCTTCTTTGCATCCATAGATATTTTACGAAAGCTCCATTGTCGGAACATGCAACAAGAACAAATTATCTTTACATTCTCTACAATAATACTTGTTGCCTTAAATGGAAGTAAATCAATTTCCTGGTTTTCATTCCAATATTCCGTCAGGCTGCCATGACGCATTTTTTTTTCAGTTGTTGGAAAAATGCTTGTTAAGCCAAGAACTCGTTTACACGCATCAGTTTCACGTTAGACGCGATCACCTTCATTTTCTATCCTTATATAATGTCCTTCATAAGATTTTTAAAAATTCCTTACATTCACAAGATATCCCTCTATTCTTTGTAGCGCAATCAGTGCTCCTGTGGGTTCTCCATTTGCTGGGGCTCTACGGTATGTCAACATCAGTAGCCCTCTTTCTGGGTCCCTGATGACCCGACCACTCAACAACGCCAATATGAATCTGTCATTGGAGGGAGTGAGCTTTAAGGGGCTCCTTCCTGTGGTAAGTGAAGTCTACTCTCTTACTAGGAAGACTTTGACTCTTACATAATTATCACAGCAACGTTCGTTCAATAATTATTTGAAAAACGTTTAGGTTATTATTTGAATAAGTTTCAGTTAAGATCGTCACGCCTTTAAACCAACGGGTCAGGAAAAAAGATTTGAAGTTACAACTTTGAGGTCACGCATTGAGTTTGATCTGAAAAGCGTAAATCACTACCCGAGCGATCAAGTCAACCAATGTCACAGTCGCTTTTAAATAAACTGTAATGTAAACTTGAAAGATATTTTGTGACTTTTCATCTTCCATAACAAGGTTAGTTGATTGTTTCCTCAAGCATTTAGTTACTAAGTGGACGAGACTGCCTAAGGGTCAAAATAAGAATCCTGATAACACCTTTAATGAGTCGGGAATGAACACCTGGAATGTTTCTTTTGTTATAATCAACTGTTTCAGAACATAAGAAAAGAGCATAAAACCACAAACTAACAAGATTTCCTGCCTGTTTGGCGCGTTTCCTCTTTACCATCATATTCGAGAAATGATTATGAAATTAATGGTTTTCTGAGTTTCAAAGTGAAGCCTACAACAGATACTTCACTACAGATCCTGCTGAATGAGACGAAGAAGCAGTTTTGAAGGAAGTGTCTTCCTCTTTGTGTATTATGCATAATCTAATCTAATTTCCTTCTTTTTTTAAGGTGGAAGAAGGTATTCGTTTCCTTGGTAACAGTTACGCTGCTGTAGAAACTGGCGAAGCACAAATGAAGTCGCTGGAGATCTCCTTCAAAACACTCTCCCCCAGTGGTGTTCTTGTTTATAGTGCGGGTGGAGAGGTAAAGTTGGGTTATTATAACGGATTTACACGGCATGAAAACTTGACTAGCAGAGATTAGTAAAAGAATGGACGATTTTCGTTTTGATAAGATAAAAATTTACTTTTGATGGAACGACTTTAGCCAACCTTTCTTTGGCTTCACTCACCAATGTTTGTGTTTTAGCACCAGGTTCAAATTTGCAAGGGGAGATAGAAAGTGGTACTTTGCTTACACTTTTCCGCCCCTAGCTATTTATCAGTAATGTATACGGAGTTCATCCTTTTGGTCGGAGCACCTCTCTCTACATTCGCTTGACTATCTTTGCATCCTAGAAACTAATTTCGTCTACCTGGACAAGATACATTCTGAGCAAATGAACCAAACGTGCAAAATATTGTCTAAATTATTTGATAAAAGTGTGCTTTCTATTATTGTAGGGTCCATGGTTCTATTTGGCTCTTTTCCATGGCAATATTTATTTAGTGCACGTTACAGATTTGGAAAAAATAGTTGCCACCGTAAGCAAGGGCGAGACACTTAATGATGGTGCTTATCATACTGTGAAAATCGAATTTGGACCAGCTGGGTAAGTCAACTGACTGAATATTGTCGCATATTTTCGTTGCCTAGGGATAGCTGAGAATTTGTTTCACAAGGGGATGGTTGAATAAAATGTAGACCTTCTACCTGAGTGCTGATAGCAGCAGACCAGCTTACAAGTCTTCACTGAAAGGGGAGGGCGTCTGTGCGGGAAGTGCTGAAAGAATATTTATGGCTTGTTGCAATCACAACTGAGAATTATGGAAACTGATTCCAAATTGATACTTTTAAATCGATCTGTGAGAACGCACCTTATCAACTTGAATGTGTGTTAGCGTGGCGTCAATACTGCATTTCGAATGTGAAAATAAAAACTAGTTTGTAAAAGTGTGGAAAAATTGTAATTGGAATACATGAAAGGAAAATTTTTTTTCTTGGAGCAGCCTTGAATTATGGTGAATAAATACTAATTACAAGGTACTTTCCTAAAGCAGCAAAAACTAAGGAGGTAATTTTATAACCAAGAAGACTAGAAAGAACTGGGATTTTTAACAGATACCGATTAAAATGGAATATGCCGACCATGACAAATTGCGTGTGCGGTCTATTTATGCTCTGCCTAAACGTCGACATACCTAAGTCACACAAAGTGACGTAGTTGATCAGTTTGGTTTTGTAAAACGTTTTCGTGTTTTTCTAGGAGCAACGTATATCTTGATGGTAACTCCCTCTCAGAAGTCTTTGCTAAAGGGTACGTTAGTCTTAACGGGAGTTTGTGGATCGGGGGAGTGGATGACAGGACAAATATACCCAGGGAATTCCCTGTTATCAACGCGTTCAAAGGCGACATGAGGATCTTAAAAGTGAACGGAAAGTAAGTAACATGAAAAGGAACCCTGGCCATTCGCTTTCCTCTTTCTATTTCTCATTTGCTGCAAGATTTTTGTCGCTGTTTTTTGTTTTTTTTTCCTTCAACCTTATTGTGTTTGTTTCTTTTTTCGTTAGAGATGTTAACATCTTCTCAGGAAGAAGCCTCGGAGTGTCACTGGCGGGAGTTTCACCTGAACTGAACGTTATACCTACAGCACTTCCCACTACCCCACCCCCTACCAAGCCACCACCCACTTGTGGTCGCTCACATCCTCCCTTGCGGAATTCCTCTCGTGAAGATGAGGCTCGCTTGGATGGTTCTGATTATATGGCCTTCCATGCAAGTGCAGAAGTGCTAAACTTTACAAGAACCCGGTGAGTGCTTTATTTTCCTCTGATATGCCTTTAAGAAACTGAGTGGGAGTTGAAGTAAAGCTAAGTAGACATTCACACTAGTTGTGACCGACACGTCGTTGCGAGCGTTTAGGAAGCGCAATGATTGACAAATTTGCGACCAGCGCCGGCGTGAAAAAAATCCAACCTGCAGAAAGGGCGGGAAGGAAATCCTTACGGCAATTGCAGGAAAGAAGGTCATGCCATAACAGGCGCGGAAAACAAACAGGTGGTGACAGATGGGGGGCCAAAGCACTAGTCACTGAGAACTTGTTAACTTTGTCAACCACCTCTCGGTTTGTCCAAAATTAGAATATTCAATCAAAGGCTGCCTTAGCTTGCTGTGCAGAGATCCTAGAAAGTTGTATTAAATATGGTTGTTTACAGCTTGATTGTATGAAATTGTGGGATTTTTTCAGTTTCGTGATCAGTGTGAAATTCCGTTCCCTTGTTCCAAATGGAGTGCTACTTTATGCTGCCAATGACCTGCAGATGCCGACTCACTTTATCAGTTTGGAGCTGGTGAATGGCCGCTTGGTTTTCAAATACAACGCGGGCTTTAAAACAGTCAAAGTTCTAAGCACATTTAACAACTACTCTGATGGTGGTTATTTCTACACGGTAAAAAAACACTCTTTCGTGTCGTTAGATTAACTAGCTTAACAAAGAAGTTAGACAGACTGTTCCCATGATCTTACGTGATATATCTGCAGTAATGCTCAGGAAACAGAATATACTCTTAAACTTTCGCTCAGAAACTCTTCGCATAGGTGAACTTCTCCAATAAGAAGACATAAACTCATTCAAACCCTACATATCTAATCTCTATTGAACGCTGGCGTGGTAAGTAAGAGGTAATCGACTATGGCCCTTACGGGAGACTCGATTTTAAATCGCAACTTAAAATGAGATAAGCAGGAGTTTATATGAACGTAAAATGTCATTCTCTCAGTCTTGGCCCATGTGAATCTCCATCATGTTTATGCAACTTCCTTACCAAGTATCTGTAGAAACGAACCCGTTTTAAGACATGTTCTGGTGGAATTTACTCATGTATTTGAACTAGTCATTCCTAAGAATCTTAAATTGAAAATCTCATAAGTGGTCGGAGGATCATTAGGTCTCCGTTAATGCTGTTTTCCCTTGGCGGGGTAGGGACGGGGGTTTTAAGTTTTTTGTACTTAACATTGTTTTTCTTGAACTCAGGTTCGTCTCCTAAGGATTAATCAGTTTGGCGCTATGCTGGTTGTTTCAAACAAAGATTATGGTAATCAACGTCAAGGAGATGACAAAGTTCCTCTGGAGATCAACACTCCGTTCTACTATGGAGGGGTCCCACGGGGAATTAACCTTACGCATTTAGAGGTAAAAACCATACTTTTCACTTGATGTCGATTTTGAATTGTCTCATTTGAAATAAGGATAATGACGTCATAATTATTTTTACGGAAAATTCCGAAGGGTTGCTTATGAGCGTGTGTTTTTAAATCAGTCAGCTTGGAGAAATAAGATGATTGTAAATTTTACTATTTATTGTTGTTTGGTCCCTTTCTCCTTGCAGCCAGCTGCAAATTAGTGAAATTTATTCAACCAACAGCTAAAAATCTACCGATATTTTATCTGTCTCTCTCTTTCTCTACATCATGCTAGTGTCATGGCGTCGGTTTCCTTGGATGTATGGGACCTCTTGAAATTCAAGACGGAAACTTCGAATCCAAAACCTTCAATCCTCGGTATGGACAAACACTTAACGTAATCTGTCAGTGACAAAAGTCAAGCAGATGTATTTTTAGATGCTCCTAACGCTGGATTTCGCCATAAGCTTTGTTTTTTTCAGCTAACTGATTACAATATCGGACTTTTCTCCTTGTTTTTTTAATTAGTTGATTCTATGTTCTGTCCTTGTTCTGCAAGTATTTACTTTAGGATTCTGTTTCCCAAACGTAACAAATTCATCCTTTAAACTCTGACAGCAGGTTAGCACTAATTGTGTTGTTTCCCTTTTTGTTTCTTGAAGGACTGATAGAGACGAAAGGGATTCTAACTACACCTTCAAAGCCTGCTACAGCGAGATACAAGCACAAGTTGGTTTCTCTGGTGATGGTCATATTGTATACGGTAAGGAAAAAAATTGGACCACCAAGATTTATTCTGCTCTTACAATGTCTGACAGTTTCCTTTCTTTTTTTAGACTCAAACTACTCATTACCTGAGGAGACAAACATTGGTATTATCTTCCGAACCACCACTCGCTCCGGACTCCTTTTGTCCATTACCAACAGCTCGGGTCCTGGATCTGTTACTTTGGAGCAACTTGAAGGACAGGTGAGACACGACGTCATGTAATCAACATCCTGTGTAACTTGTTCCAGGCGGTACACTAGCGGAGATGCACGCAAGAGCAAAAAAGATTTTTGAAAAGATTTGAAGTTTGGAAACAAATTTATCAGTTTTGAAGTTATAAAATATGGTTTTGTATCACTCTTAAATTTAAACGGGGAAAGTGAATAATTATCTGGTTTTTCGGAAAATGCACTTTATAATTAACATTTTTGTTATAACCAATATGGTTTGTTTATCATTGTCTATCATAAAGATATTTTCAATTTGCTTTGAATTTTAAGGTTATTTCCTGTGAAATGTCATACTCTCTGCCCTCTTTTAATGATAAATGGTTTTCGAAAAAGTAAACAAACGAAAAAATGTCAACCACTTTAGTTAATTAACTTTTTACAGCCAGTCAGCCCATCAGAACATTTTCTCTTTGCCGATTTCTTTCTTACCCAATGGAATATGATTGTTCTTTTGTCTACCCCTGGACCATTGTCGATGTCAATAAAGTTACTAAACGTTCAATTATTTTCTTTTTTTTTTAATCGTAACTTTGCTTTTATTTTCAGGTTGTTCTCATTTTCAACAATGCGCACAACTCGTCCGTGATCCGATGGACAGATCCATCGATCCCAGAAGACGGACAATATAACGCTTCCTTCCATCTGTGTGATAACAAGTTTCATAGAGTTCTAGTTTCGCGGAATAAGGGTATTGTAGAACTCAGAGTGGATGATCACGCACCGCTACAAGGTGTGGTACCCTCAGCCTTCACACTCAACCAGGGAAAATTTCACATCGGCGGTGTACCAGGTAAAATCAAATGGTAGCACTGTGTTTATCTTCGCGTGTTCCAGAAGTTGTTTTCGATGTTTTC